TCTTAACTACCTAATCTTAATTTACTTTCTACTAAAGATAGAGTTATTCTAGCTATCTAAGCTATATAATCTAATTTATTACTTACGTAGTAATAAGCTACGCACGTCTTTAGTATATATAAAAGTACTTTTTATAACTAATACACTAGAAAGACTTTATAATATAATTTCTATTCTAACTTATCTAGACTAAAGAAGAATAAAGAGAAAGAAATTATATAGTATATAAAGAAGCTTAATACGTAAGGCTTTACCTCTACGCTTAGCTATATATAAGAGATAGCTAACTAACTACTAGCTATATAAAGTAGTAGCCTAGTTAGAGAAAACTAGGCTTATAGGCTTATACGCTAAAGACCTAAGATAAAATTCTAGATTACTAGATAATAGAATTACTAAAAAGTTCTATATAGTAATCTAGTAATAATTAGCTTCTAGTTTAACTTTATACGTAATATTAAAGCTAAGTATAGTATTCTAGATAAAAATACTTATAACTTTAATAAGACTAGCTTCTAAATAAGTATTAGAGAGTCTATAAAAGTAGTAATAGTGTCTAAGAGACGCTTTAGACTACTTAGAGTTTAACCTAGTAATTATAAGTAAGTAATATTAATTACTAGTATTAATATAATAAAGTAGTTAATTCTACTTTTCTTTATTCTTAAAGTAAAGCACTATAACTAGGTCTAGTATTATAATAACCTAAAGAATTAGAGAATAGATATTAGTAATAATAGCTAGATAATAAATAAGCTTAGTCTTATCTAGTTATAGCACTTTATCTAGTATATAAAGGTAAGAATAGTTAGTAATTACTAGCTACTAATTCTTAATAGCTATAAAAGCTACTAGTTACTTACTTTCTAAAATCTTTATAAAGAGAATAAGATTATTATAGTTTATATACCTCTCTACTTATTATATATTCTATAGCTACTTAATATAGGTTATTTTACTCTACTAAAGTAGACGTATAAGAAGAAATTTAGAGACTTAGTAAATAGTTATATTTACTATATTAATAAAAAGGTCTTTCTAGCTACTATTAGGCTAGTATTTAATAAGGTATTTTTAAGAGATAATATTATATTAAGCTTTAGAGTAACTAGCTTAGTTCTATATAATCTAGAGGTAGTATTATCTAAGCTTAAAGTAAAGCTTTATATACTAACTCTACCTATATAAGAGCCTACTCTCTAGTAATCTAGAATACTAAGTAACGCCTAGAAGATTAAAGCTTAAATAACACTAATTCTAAAAAGAATAAAAGACTATAAGAGTTTCTTACCTAATTTTATTATTAAGATAGTTTTATAGATTAAAAAAAGATTAACTTTAAAAGTTTACGTATATACGTTACTTAAAGCTAGAATAGCTAATCTTAAGAAAGTAAACTAGATAGTGTCTAAATATAGAAAGTATAAGAAAAAGTAAATTTAGAAAAAAAAAACTCTATTATAAGTAGAAGTAGAGAATATAGTTAAGTAAAGAAATATTAAAGCTTAGTTAGAGGTAAAGAAGTGTTAAAAGAAAGTACGTATAAATAGTAGTGTAGAAGTTATTTAATACTATAAAAACTATAGTAAGGTAGAATATAATAAGCGTATATATAAGAAAGATATAGTAGAAGAAAAAAAATAATTTTAGCTATTATATATCTAAATTATTCTACTAAGTATTAAGTTATCTATATACAAAGACTTAAGAGTTAGTAAAGTACATATTTTAGTAGTGTACGCATTTTAGTAGTAGAGCACGTTAGATAAAAAGATTTATTAGCTAAGTAAAGGCGCGTAGTAGATTATACATAATATAGTATTATTATAGAAGAAATAGGCACGTATACAAAGCGTAATTAATAAGCTTATAAAGTGTTAATTAAGAAAATATAAGTATATTTAGATAACGTACTCTACTACTAAAATGCGTACACTACTAAAATACGCACTCTACTAACTCTTAAGTTTTTATATATAGATAACTTAACACTTAGTAGAATAATTTAGATATATAATAGCTAGAATTATTTCTCTACTTCTACTATATCTTTTTTATATATATACTTATTATATTCTATCTTACTATAGTTCTTATAGCGTTAAATAACTTCTATACTACTACTTACGCGTACTTTCTTTTAATACCTCTCTACCTCTAACTAAGCTTTAATATTTCTTTACTTAACTATATTCTCTACTTCTACCTATAATAGAGTTTTTCTCTTCTAAATTTACTTTTTTTTATACTTTCTATATTTAGACACTATCTAGTTTACTTTCTTAAGATTAGCTATTCTAGCTTTAAGTAACGTATATACGTAAACTTTTAAAGTTAATCTTTTTTTAATCTATAAAACTATCTTAATAATAAAATTAGGTAAGAAACTCTTATAGTCTTTTATTCTTTTTAGAATTAGTGTTATTTAAGCTTTAATCTTCTAGGCGTTACTTAGTATTCTAGATTACTAGAGAGTAGGCTCTTATATAGGTAGAGTTAGTATATAAAGCTTTACTTTAAGCTTAGATAATACTACCTCTAGATTATATAGAACTAAGCTAGTTACTCTAAAGCTTAATATAATATTATCTCTTAAAAATACCTTATTAAATACTAGCCTAATAGTAGCTAGAAAGACCTTTTTATTAATATAGTAAATATAACTATTTACTAAGTCTCTAAATTTCTTCTTATACGTCTACTTTAGTAGAGTAAAATAACCTATATTAAGTAGCTATAGAATATATAATAAGTAGAGAGGTATATAAACTATAATAATCTTATTCTCTTTATAAAGATTTTAGAAAGTAAGTAACTAGTAGCTTTTATAGCTATTAAGAATTAGTAGCTAGTAATTACTAACTATTCTTACCTTTATATACTAGATAAAGTGCTATAACTAGATAAGACTAAGCTTATTTATTATTTAGCTATTATTACTAATATCTATTCTCTAATTCTTTAGGTTATTATAATACTAGGTCTAGTTATAGTACTTTACTTTAAAAATAAAAAAAGGTAGAATTAACTACCTTATTATGTTAATACTAGTAATTAATATTACTTACTTATAATTACTAAGTTAAACTCTAAGTAGTCTAGAGCGCTTCTTAGACGCTATTACTACTTTTACAAACTCTTTAATATCTATCTAGAAGCTAGTCTTATTAAAGTTGTAAGTATCTTTATCTAGAATACTATACTTAGCTTTAATATTACGTATAAAGTTAAACTAGAGGCTAATTATTACTAGATTACTATATAGAACTTTTTAGTAATTCTATTACCTAGTAATCTAGAATTTTATTTTAGGCCTCTAGCGTATAAGCTTATAGACTTAGTTTTCTCTAACTAGGCTACTACTTTATATAGCTAGTAGTTAGTTAGCTATCTCTTATATATAGCTAAGCGTAGAGGTAAAGCCTTACGTATTAAGCTTCTTTATATACTATATAATTTCTTTCTCTTTATCTCTCTTTAGTCTAGATAAGTTAGAATAAGAATTATATTATAAAGCCTTTCTAGCGCGTTAGTTATAAAGAGTACTTTTATATATACTAAAGACGTGCGTAGCTTATTACTACGTAAGTAATAAATTAGATTATATAGCTTAGATAGCTAGAATAACTCTATCTTTAGTAGAAAGTAAATTAAGATTAGGTAGTTAAGATATTAGAATAAAAGGTTAAAAGTAGTGTAGGCTTAGTAGAGTGCGTATTTTAGTAGTGTGCGCATTTTAGTAGTAGAGTACGTTAGTTAATAATCTATATAAGAGATAAACTATTTAAGTTAACTATAATAAGTATAATAATAAAATCTAATATATTCTTATACCTATTACCTTAGGTTCTACTATTTTATCTATTCTATCTTTATAGAATATCTATAATAGTAGTGCTATCTCTTTATATGCTGCTATCTCTAATAGTTAGCCTTAGTAGAATAGTACATTACGTGACCTCTAGCCCCGCGATAATTATTGCCTTCTATTAGAGGTTCTAGTTAGTCTTTAACCCTCTACCTCTAACAAGAAGAGAATTCTTCTTTGTTACTTGTAACACTTAAGCTACAAGGCTAGTGCTACAATTTACAGACGCATAGACTACATTTTACAGGATTAGGCAGCAAAAGTCGCAAACCTAATATACTTAGGGTCAAATGCCGGGGTGCGCGCACGGACCATTTAACCCAAATAGACTCTATTTGGGTTTCCAACTAGGGTGAGGCTTCGGAGACAGCTGGTCTCGTTCAAGGGATGAAGTGGGGCGGCGCGGACGTTAATCCGCGCCGCGTCCGCTGTCTGCCACAGCCTGTCACTCCGGGCATAGCTGCGCAGTACGCGGCTGAAACCGAGTAGTATAGCCAAACCAAACCAAAACAAACCAAATCGATCCCTTCCATGGTGATCACGGCTCCACCCCGTGCTCCACCGCTCATAACAGAAGTACCTGATCAGCTTTTCCGCGACAATGAGTAAGCAGAACCCTATTGCTAAGACTCTCTTCTATTACACTCTATTATAGACCTGCTAAGGTAACAAGTCAATTCCAGCACGTTGCTAAGAGGCGGTCAACAAGTTGCTAGACCCTGCACTAGGAGAATTGTTGTACAACACAGCCAAGTCTTGACGGTTCAGCCTTAGCTGATAAGTCTTTGAATCTAGATCCTTTTTCAGCCGTTTGATCCAATTGATTATCTGAAACAGGTCTCTGTGATGCACTTCAACATCGAATTTGAACTTCAGACGTTGATAACCAAGCAACGCTCTTAAATGCAGCCGCATCGCCACATCCAGGAACGGACGCCGTGAGACGCATCAGGACACAAGGCTGACAACTCCCTCTTTAGCGTTCAAGTGGCGGCTGAGGCTGGCTGAAGCTAAGTTTAGCGTCTTGTGGCTTGTTTCAGCCTTTCTTGACCGGTGAGAGCCTGTGAGTCAATCTTTCCTCTATAAGAGGCTTCTTCTGGACTGCAACTACAGAAGGTATCACTCCCTCGATGATGACTTTGATGACTCCCCCGCGTTCAGCATACTCTGGCACGTTGCCGACACGTCAGAATGTAGTCTTTACAAACCCTATTACCTTTGACAGCGCGTCTAGTGCAACACCACACTTGGGCACAAACCCACAAGTAGCACGCGTTGCCCAAAAGAAAAAGTACAAGTCCATCTGGGACTGGATCTGCAAGTTCTCAAACGCTCTCGGTGTCACCGTACAAATATGCTTGGCTCTCATCACTATTTACCTCACATACCATGCAAACGACAAATCGAACAACCTAGCCCAAGAAGAATCATGTAGAAACCATCCGGTACGACACTCATCCTCCAGACTTACTCATGTCCAATGTGACTAACTCTGGTTGCTCGACAGCATAACCCAAAACTCCAGAATTCTACCTTATGTAGCACGATGAGCAACGACAACGATCACGACCTGTTGTCACGGCGGACCTACATACAAAGTGGCAACAGATATGCACTAGCGATACAGACCAATCCCATCACACTCGCGAACATCTATACAGTTATGATAGCACCGTTCCTTCTTGTGGGTCTATGGTGGGTATGCATTTGGTCGTATCACAAGGATGTTCTGCAGGAACAAAAGTCGAAAACTGTCACAACGGACCACTGTCAACATACTTGTACTGGGGGCATTGTCTTTCGTCGCATGGATGTGACCGAGGGAACGACCTTCCAGGAAAAAGACTCCCGGTTGGAAAAAGAATATTTTCAGCTTCGCGGAATGTACAATTTCTTCGCACGTTGGCCGTCTTACTGTGGTTTCATCAAAGAAACGGAGGTGGTGAGTGGCCCAAGGCTTGTTGAATGCTTCTAGAGCTCTGACGATGCTTGCAGTATACTTACTCTATGTCCCAAAAAGCCTGGTTGAAGTCACAAAGTGATGAGGCTACAACCAGTTCCAGCGAGACATGGCTGCTCCTTCTCGAAACCGAACACAAACCGCAGATACGATTCGCAACAACGAGCGCTGGTAAAACCGAAGACGGACCTGCATTCTGGTCCATACATGTCATGAATGTCCCAAAAGAACCTGGACACGCCATCCGTGTTATGAGGTTGCATGAAGGCTTGTCCAATATGAAGCTCGTCACACACGTTATCGGCTTGCTCCTAGCCAGCTACGCACTCATGTGCTACCTTGGTTGCGTCCCATTCATCACTGTGGGGTACATATGTCTTGTCGTGCCTTTCAACATGTACTCTCACATGCGCAAGACATTAGTGCGGTCCGAGGAAGGATGTAGGAAGTGCATCTGTCAGCAGGAATCTCATAATACTGTGAAGGATGCCATGCGGGTGACATTTACTTTTGAGCTGTACGACCAAAAGCTTGAAATAGCCCCATAATCATGTACGGTGCAGTCCTGTTCGGCATGGATATCGATAGAGGTAGTAGCTAAAATTCGTCTTGTACATGATCTCAAAAGACTTCTCAAGCCTAACTACCCGCTCGGGAACAACATCGCCTTACCACCAAGTCACCACGTGCAAGCCGCTTCAATCCACCAGAGTTGGACACTGCCAAAAAAAGGCGCCTCCTCAAGTACCTCTTATCCGGGCCCTTAGCAATAGAGTGCGCGCTACTATTCGCTAACCCACGCAAATGACATTATGTATGGTGCACCAGGATTTTGGCAGCCGACGCCGGCGGCAATGAAGTAATATCTTCCACCAAAGGCATCCATACAGGGTCGATCTACCAAGCTCACGTGAACGACTTCAATTTCCTAGCTAGAACTACCTTGCCTTGATCCCACTAGGACGTTGTCAGCATGTCTCACACATCAACCATTCGTGACACTCATATGCTCAACAATACATCCGCCCTCCCACCTAAATCGATCCACAAGCTCCCCAAACACCGACACCAGCTCTGCGACTTCATTAGTTGGAAGCGCGAACTTGAACGGGTAAAGGCAAACAACTGGAGGGGGAGTCGTGAGTAGACGAAGGTGACGATCCTGGAACCACTCCGTACTGGGATGTACGTTAGCAAGCGTATTACCGAGTAGACAGCATGCTATTACGGACTTAGTTTTATAAAGTGTCTTATACAGTGCGTTGAAACTTCTTTCGAACCATCGATACCTCAGAGTCGATTACCATCAGCTGCTCGGCGATGAGCAGCTTGTCTTTGCTAGCCAGGTTGTCGAGGAGCTTGTCCAAGCGCTTGCCTCCGTAGCTGAGAAACATCATGCGCTCCAGCTCAGCGATGCCCTCGTCACGATACGGCTTTTCCATGTCGATGCTACCCAGACACACTAGCACATGCGTGCCTTGTATCGGGCTAAGCCGTTTGTAGATAGCAGCTTCCCGCTCCAGGCGGTTTGCGAACCAGATGGGCGTAGCTTTGGCAACTACGGTGTACCCGTGAGACGCAAGCCGTACCCGAAAGGGAACACCTCACGCTCCATAGATGCCTATAGGCTCACAGTTACTATCTAGATCTTTAGAGAGCTGCCGACAGACAAGCTTAAGAAAGGTCCGCGTGCCAATTCGGTGACGGTCACTGCCATGTTTCTTAACATTCGGACACGAATAATCGAGTGAAACACCCTTCTTATAGACTATAGTTACTATCTAGATTATATTCTTTATATCTTTATAAGCGTAAGAAGTCTTTCTATTTTACTATTATCTAATTTACTAATATACTTATAGTAGTATAGCGTAAGTTTTAAGCTTTCTAACTTTGCGTATAAGCTTACTATTAGAGGTTATAAGCTCTAACTTTAGTAAAAAATATTAGGTCTCTCTAGCTAAAGTTTATATATAAATATCTTAATAATAGTACTAGCTATAAGTATTCTAAAAGATAGAATAGATTTAAAGTATAATTTTAAATTTAATAAGTAAGTTATAGTATAATATAATACTATTAAAGTCTATAGATTATGCGTATAGATTATACTCTCTAGATTTTCTTTTTTAGTTAGTAAATACTAACGCAATACCTAATTAAGCGTAGATTGTGCATAACCTGTTGCCTTATATTAGTTAGGTAGTAGAAAGGTAGTAGAGAAGGTAGAAGAGGCGAGAACAGAGTAGAAGGTAGATTGCAGTAGAGGAGGAAAGAGAGGCAAGAACAGAGGTGTAGAATCTGTGCTAATTTAGAATTGCAGTGGAATTCCGTGCAGTCGCTTGGAGGTAGGTAGGTCTTAGCAAAAAGGTTCCACTCGCTTGAAGGTTCCACTCGCTTATCACCTACGTTAGAAGTTTCTAATTAATTTATTCTGTTGCGATTCCTAATTACAGTTCTGTACAGTCCTGCACTGTTGTGTATAGTCGTGGTTTTGGTGGGGTCTTGGCAAAAACCGGCCACTCGCTTGTCCAGGCCACTGGCTATGCACCTACGTTATCGCGAAAGAGGCGTTGCGCATTGCGAAAGAAGATATCAAGACGTTCGGAATCGTCCACGAACCGCGACGTCTTGATGCCTACCAGCGAAGGCGCGTACGTGAAGATCGGCGCATACGGGAAATCTGTACCAAACAAGAGATTTGACGCCGGAATGTCATACGCGAGAAGGCCACCGATTTGGTGAAAGTACGTGGGGCCGGCGGAATCCCAGAAGAAGCGCGTTTGCAAAGCAGCCAGGGTGCGGTCGTAGATCGCAGGGAACGACTTCAACAGGCGGTCTGCGACGGATGGGAATGCGCCACCGACATGCGGAATGATGTAGTTGATGTTCGTGAAGTTAAGGATTGTTTGCGTCACGGCAAGATCTTGGAGTACGCGCGCTGTTTCGAAGTAGAACTCGATGTTGCCAGTCGGGTAGGTCGTTGGGTTTGCTTCGACCAGCAAGCCGTTCACGCGCAGGTACGGGGTCGTGGGGTGGACGTAGATGATCTGATCGGGGCCGCGCGCGTTCATAGCTTGGAAGAAGGGCGTGAAGGCGGGATCACCAAGGTAGCGACCCTCGAAGTTGGAGTAGAGCGCGATACCTACGGCTCCAAGCGTGTCGAGCGCATATGCGGCTTCAGCGATGGCGTCTTGGGTGTATGGGAGCGGGACGACGCCGTAGAACGAGAAGCGATTTGGGTAGACTTGCACGTACGCCGCAGACTGCTCATTGATCAGCCGAGCAAGCGCGATTGTCGCTCCTCGATTACCGGGATACGCGTTTGCGCCGGGCGAGGAGAAGGCCACGACTGCGTGCGAGATGCCCTGGCTTGCCATGAAGTTGAGGTGCCCACTGACGTTCCAAAACGGTGTCGGGTTCCCGCCGGCCGTTGGAGCGATTGCGCGATACCAGTCGGGAACGCAATGCGCTATCAGAATTCGTCAGGTGGGGCTTTATATGTCGGCGGGGAAAGGCATACCATGAACGTCGATGATGGTGGTAACATTGGAGCTGCTCCGCTTTCGCAGGTCTTGTTCCTGGTCATCGAGGTATGTGGAGGCGATACTGTCAAGAGCAGAGCTTAGGTTAAAACCAGGTATTGCCCCAAGGTCGATGGAGTCTGGACGGGAAAGGTCAGTAGCGTTGCGACGTTGTCCGCGGGTATGATGCAAATACCAGCTGTAGCGCGTTCGTAGATGGACTGGATGATCTCGTCGCGAGTTGGCCATCCACGAACGCAAATGGGGAAGGCAGTCGTCCACGTCAATGCGACGAGAAACTTCATATAGGTCCTCATCTTTGCGAAGTGAGAGACGAAAATGTGGCTGCGAGAGCAGGCATGCGTGGCACACCTTCTTATGTCATGCGCATCGCTGCCACAGCCTACGCGAGCAGATCGGAAGAGGAAAGTCTCCAAAAGCCTCCTCTGGTCTTCGACCCCTAGGTCACACAGCGCAAGCGATGCGTAAGCAGCGCCACTGCATGTCAGCACGGGAGCGGGTAAAGAGGCGGTTGGGACTAGACCAAGATCAAGAAGGCTGGACCATGAGATCTATCAATCGGTATACCGGTACTGCTGTGCGACTGAGATGCTTCCTCGTCCCTGAATGCTTCCGCGATCCGAGCCGTCCATCGATGTATATGACACAAGTACATAGCTTTTGAAGCACCTCGAGAGCGCGCACCTCAGGAGCCATCCATGAATGCATCATTTCCATTCGCATTACCCTCAGGAGCCTAGGAATGACGAGGCTATGCGCAGTACATCGTAAAGCGCGGCGTGAGGTCCGTGGAATGTATCCGCCTAGTTCAGCTCTGCTGCCGCCTATGTGTACCGGTCGTCTTTGACAAGGCCCATGCAAAAGCACTCGCAACAGCCTGCACTCCACAACAAGTCTCCGGTATGGGCACGTATCTATGCCTCTCGCTTCGTCCGTATGTCTTTTTATCTGTTGCGCGTCCATTCGACAGCTCCCATCGGGTGTATCTTGTCGGTCGCGAGCGTGCGGCGTCTGGCACATCGTGCTTACACCATGCTATGGGGGAGTGCCCGGTGCCGAGAGCTGATATTGGGGCCACATAGCGGTGGCTGGTCCGAATATGCGATGATTTGTGCTGCGACGGGCGACATTTCAAAGACTACAGTCGCGATTGGGCACTGTTGAATGGTTGGAGCGGCGCGTCCGCCTTCGTGTAGGTCTCGGGATGTGGGCGCGAAGTGGGCGCGCTAGCGACACCTGGACCGTGAGCCCTCTGCCCACGCCGCGTGCAGCTGTCAACATCATCTGATCGTGCGCATCGCCATGTCATAATCCCTACAGTTTCTGCTCCGAAGAGGTCTTGGTTTGTACCATTAGTATCGTACGCTTACGATTGGAAATGCTGCAGCACATCCTCTTCCGGAATATGAAGATCAGGGTCAGGGTCCATTCACCATTCATGCCCTTCCAAGATCCTACATCCTACTCTACAAGCACCTTTCCCTCCTTATCCACAATCCTCACTCCCTCAAGCTTCCCATCAATCTCCAACTCCCCAACCACACCATCCTCATTCCACCCAAACCCGACAACCCCGCCGCCCCTCAACCGCAAACCCTTTACGCTTCCACCACCCCAACTCTTCGGAATAGCTGGGGCCAATATTACAGTCTTCTTACGTGCATCACCTGCGGCCAGTGGCATATCCATAACAAGCATACTCAAAACCGCGCCCCCAAACCCAAAATTTGCGTCAATCTGAAACGGAATCCTGTCTCCATCATACATACTCAACCCATTACCAGCGAAGTTCTGTTCAATCGCATATCTGAGCTCGTAATACGATTCGTCCGTTTCGTTAAGGCGAGCCCAGCAAGCGGCGCGCCAAACCTTCGCCCATCCGGCATTTGCTTGGTTGAGTGCCTCGCCGTTGCCGTTGCCGCGGCTGTACAACTTCTGGCGAACGGCGTCTTGGACTGCGGTATCGGTATAGCCGTCGAGGAAGGAAGAGATCGAGTAACCGGGGTACCAGCCGACTAGTTCTGAAAGGTGGCGGTGGGTGTCGTTGATGAACTCTAATCCGTATGGCTCTTCGGGTAGCTTCCACTCTTTGATTTGGCCCCAGGTACCGATCGCGAAACCTTTGTCGAGCCGCTGGAGCGAACCGGTAATGTTGTTGACAAATGCGCTGTCAGTTTCGTTGACGGTTGTAGCAGTGGAAAGGATGGCATCAAAAACCTGGTGAATGAGTTGCTGATAGTGTGCGCATCCGAAAGTCGTAGGACCGTGCTCAGGGCTGTTGCATGGGTTTACGACCAGCGATCCGTCATTGTTGAATACATCTTCTTGTAGCTGGCTGAGCCAGAATTGCGCAACGCCCTTCATCAGTGGGTAGCCCTGATTGCGCAACCACGCCTCGTCGCGCGAGTAGTCCCAATGGTCGAAGACATGCTGCATCATCCAAGCTGCGGAAAGCGGATAGTTCGCCCATTCAGCTCCGCTCTTCATTCCCGTGTGGCCGAAAATGTTCATCTCGTTGTGAACTACCCATCCAGGTGCGCCGTATAGCAGTTCGGCGGTCTCGCTGCCGCGCGGAACCCAGTTATCAGACATATAGTTCCAAAGCGGTGATTGAAGATCAGTCAAACCCGTCTGGTCGGCGGTCCAGTGGTTCATCTGGATGTTGATGTTGGAGTGGTAGTCTGCCGACCAATCGGGTTGGAGGCTTTCGGCCCATCTTCCTTGAAGGTTCGGGGGAAGGGAGCCTGGTCGCGAGCTGGCGATGAAGAGATATCGTGAATAATCGAAGAGCAGGCTCTCGAGGTATGGGTCGCCGGCTGTACTGTTGGCGTTATAACGTGCGACGAGCTCGGATGTGGGTACTTGAGATGAGTTGAAAGGATCGGGAAGAGACAGTGTGAAGAGGTCAGTGAGGGAACTAAAGTCGTTCATGTGGCGCTCTTGTAGATCCGATAACGGTCTCGCGGCAGCGGCAAGAGTTGTGGCCTCAACGACTGGGCCTGGATCTTCGCCACGGAAGGAGTAATCGTATTCCGCTGTTCCTTTCTTTGCGTCGTAGCTGGATTCAGCGCCTACCACTATCGTGACGCTGTTTGTGCCGTTGCGCGATGATACCATCAGAGAATTGGCGTCACCATCACATGCGGCTCTGACAACAGTGCCGGATGCCACTCGTGCAATCGCGTCGTATCGCATGCCCTCCGGTGGACCAAGCTGGGTTAGGGCGCTCATTCTTAGATGCCCTGAACTTGTCGCATTACCACCAACGCATGTAACATTACGCAGCTCCGGCTCAATGAGTGCATTGTCGAGTCTCACTTCCAGCGCTGGCAGCTCACCCGACGAGCGAACCGAATAGACACAGACTTGATCTGGAAAAGAGCAGAATGCTTCAGTCTCCACGAGGCTACCGTTCACGCTGAATGCCGTAGTGTGGATGCCGCTGCTCAGGTTCAATGTCCGCGTATAGTCGGTAACATCGGCACCTGCTATTGACGGCATGGACACACTCAAGTTTCCTAGCACTTGGTACGAGCCATACGAGGCGTCTAAGCCCAGCAGTTCCGTCACGTTTCCCGTTCCATTGGTGAAGATCCAGTCCCGAATACTCGGTAATGCTGCTGCTATGGAAGACTTCGGGTTACCGCCTGTGTAGTTCTATCTAATGGGTTAGATTGAGTGTCAGAATAGAGTCAGCATAGCTTACCGATGCATTGAAAGGACCTCCTGACCACAATGTATCCAAGTTCAGGGTGAGTGTCTCAGCACCGGGTGGGCCAATTGGCATGGCACCAAGACGTCCATTCCCAAGAGGATAAGTAGTACGAATGATGTCGCTACCGTTCGCGGGGACCGTCGACCATAGTGATTTCGCGTTTGAATAGTCAACCAACCCACTGATCGCTAGAAGCGATCCAATCTGCAATAACTGCATTCTCGGTTTTAACAAACTAGTTCGGAGCGGACTTGATCATAATTGCAATACAGGCGCCGCTGTGGTTTTATTGTATGTTGACGATCCCTGTGACGTTGTGCAGCGGGCTTCGATCTTTTCCGGGGTTAGTTGCGGGGAAGTAAGGCATGTGCGGAGGACGATCGCTATAAAGATCCTCCGTGGACGACGTTCATGGAGTTGTTCTTCCGGTGGTATATTTGGGGATCCAGAACTAGCAACTGTCGCGCAAAAGAGGCCGAGCATTGAACCAAGTATTGTGCATCGCTGATAGGTTGGCTACGTCGGGATCTAAGTCCGCCAGAGGCATAATTGAGAATTATGATGGACGAGCCTGGGGAAGAATTAATACTCTCTCGGGACATTACCGCTCATGTCTTGTCACTTGTGGTTGATAGAAGCAAGCACAGTCAGTGCACTTAGGTCCTTGTGCTCTTGGCCGAGAGCTTGTGAGGTACAATGACGTGTATTATACGAGTACATTCGAAGGTTGGTGGTGCAAAGCTCCCGTCACTTGCCAAGAGATAGGAGTTCGAGTAGCTCGAGGCAATGCTGGTTTCGACTGCAATGCAAAAGAGCGGAACAAGGCGTTTGCGCAGCCTTGGAGAAAAGTAGCTTTGTGGAATGCTTCTTCAAGTGGACCCGAGTCGGGATCGATGGCGCGTCGCTGACGGCCATGGTAAAGATGACATGTATCGCCAAAGCATCTTAGTGAGACCGTGCTGGAGCAACGAGCAACATCAAAGCGCCGTGATGTTGTGGTAGAGCGACTCATGTGTCGACTGCGAATGGGCGGGTGATGATGTCTTCGTCGAGGCAGGCAGCCAATCGGCGTTTGGATTGGCCGGGACCGCGCTAACATTCGCGGACCCTCATGTCACGATATGGCAGCAGCCCGCCAACACCAATTGCGAGTCGACAACCCAAGATGAGGACGCCGTACACCTGCAGACAGTGTCTCTCGGCGCTAAAGACGCCACGGTCTCAATTACGGCCGTCGCAAGGCCTCCGCCCGCTCGCGCCCAAGGTCTCGTCGCAACGCAATCACTCGACCAAAAGTGCAGCGCCGCCAAAGCTTGCCCTGCCCAAGCGCAGCCTCTCCACGACGCCGACGCGGGCTTTCGAGAAGCCATTCGAGCCGTATGAATACATTGATCCCGAAGGCCACCGGCGGAAGCTGGTCCTGACTGAGGACAACCTCTTCAATTCCTTCTCGGGCTCACCAATACCTGAAATACGGAAGCGTGCTGCCTTCATGCGTCAACATGCTTACTGCCCACACCCCTCACATCAGCCGACGCGTCCGGCGAACAACCCGATGGACCTTGAGGCTCGCAAGTCCTCTGAGACGGGTGCTCCGCCCGCCCACGTCGATTTCGAGTGCCCAGACTGTGGCATACCGGTATACTGCTGCGAAGAGCATTGGGCCGACGATTACGAGGCGCATCTGGAAGTGTGCGACGTCTTGAAGCAGATCAACGAGGACGATCACGATCTGAGAAGCGGGCGCTTCTTCAAGGAGTTCCAGTTCGCGGAGCCCCAGATGGAGGAGATTCTGGTCAACATGACGAGCTGGGACACATACATGTACACGCGCGACTTTGATGCGCTGAACGAGGACCGTGAGATGCGCCAGGCGACAAAGCTGCTGACATACCCAATCACGATCGCGAGTGTCTTGAACGAGCTGAGTCCCTACAACATCCGGAAGAACGGGCGCATGACGCCCGAGGGTTTGAAGAGCTTCAGCGGTACGTTCCCATCACTCGTACAACTTCGATGATACTAACATAACCCAGCCCTCCGCCACACGCTCCACCCACCCCGAACCGGCGGCGGGGACACCTGGAAGAACGCGCGCCTCGCACCCCCCTCCGTCCGCCTCTTCATCCTTGGCGCCCGCGCAGAATCCTCGCTCCCCCGCGAAACCTGGATGCAACTGTCCTACCTCTTCCACCGCGTCCAATTCTCCCTCAACTTCATCGGGCCCGAGAGCATGGCGAACCGCGAAAAGGAACTGCCCCTCCCTGAGCGCACGCCCCTAAACCCGTTCGGCGCTGTTGTCGAGGACCGCATCAGTAACTCTTTGAAGATTAGTACCTTCGTCGAGTACTACCACAACATCCATAAGACGGGATATTTCTATCCCTACGACCCCTACTTCGACTGCTTTGTCGTATTCCATCCCGGTTTCGGCAACCCGGCTTCCGCGCACGAATGGGAGGAGACGCTACCGCTCCTTCTTGAGACCAAGGTGCCTATCATCGCGACAGGATACAGTCCGTGGGACATGCAGCAGGATGTCGACTTCCTCAAGAATAGGTTCGGAAATGAAATGGACATGTTGCTCGAGCCGGGCGAGAACTTGTTCAGGAGTCTGAGATGGGATCTTAATGATCTGGACCCGCATGACGTTACGTGCAGTAACTGGGGTGTGTACTCTTTCCGTGGTAAGAGGTATGAGACTACGAAAAAGGAGGATAACGAGGAGGTACATAGCGATCGTACGGCGTGATTACGCGCCCAGCTTCGTATGTGAATATATGTACAGTATTGTATACCGCGCTCCCTGCGGCCCTTGTGGATGGATACGTGCTGCTAATCCTCACCAACGAATCGTACCCATCCTGAGGCAGTATCGTTCGCCTTTGATTCGAGGTATCGCGCAGCGCAGTCATGCAAGGTTTATTTGGAGGACTGCACGCCATCCAATGGTACAACGACTGTATCACGTACCCCGCGCGCGGCACAGGATGTGTGTCGGGTCAGCGTCGCACAACACATCCCACTTTTACTGCAATCTCACCACATTTTGAGCTTGTGATCTAACATTGTCACTTACTCTGGGTCTCAACTGTAATTCGGACCGATCATTAACACCATACCAGGTTGCTCACCATGCCACGAAGAGTTGAAACCAAGGTCGTCGATACCGCAGAGTCCGTCGCCAGCCTGGTAGACTGGCTAGTGAGAATTCACAATGATCGGGAAGATGATGACTTCTCTAGCCTTCTCTACCAGCCAGCCATTTACATCTATCTCGAAGGCGTGAACTTGTCTCGCCACGGCTCAATTTCCATCTTCACCTTGATGGTCGATATTGGTATGCCCGTGCAGAGTGTCTACCTTATCGACATCCACGTCCTGGTCGCTCAGGCGTTTACGACCCCAGGAACCGAATCGAGAACTACACTCAAGGACATCTTAGAGGACAAAGATATAATCAAGGTCTTCTTCGATGTTCGCAACGACTCCGACGCACTATTCGCGCACTACGGTATCGCCCTGCAGGGTATAGACGACATACAGCTCATGGAAAGCGCAACAAGAGAAACTACGACATCTAGGAAACACCTCAGCGGATTGTCCAAGTGCGTCGAGAAAAACATGATCATGTGGTTTGGCGTGGGGCAGGATCTCAAAGAATGGAAGGAAGCGAAGGAACAGGGCGAACGGCTGTTCAATCCTCAACAAGGCGGGACCTACGAAGTCTTTAACGAACGTCCGATCCCAGACGCTATCATCAAATACTGCGCTGGTGATGTCCGATGTCTGCGGGAGATCCACTACAATCTCGGCTCCCATCGCGCATACGTGTGGCGCGACCTTTACCGCGACGCGACAAAAGCGCGGGTCGCGTCCACGCACGCACCGGACTATCAGCCTCACGGCCAGCACAAGGCATTGGCGCCATGGACGGATGAGCAGAACAACATTTTGAACAGTATGAATTACAAGCCACCAGCTCGTGACTACTTCGATGACTTTGACGATTACGATCCCGACGAAGAAGATTACTGGGACGGTAGGGATGATAATGACTACGAGGACTGGACGAGAGCACCGTGGCAGGGTCCGCCTTCTTGAGACACTGCGGTGGTGGGTAGCGCATTACCTCGAGGTTTAGTTGCCGTCGTCATCAATGAAAAGAAGCTTTCCGGTATTCTTTGCGGTTAGTCAACTACAGGTTATAATGCGGGTTTCCGTGGTACAAGTAGCGCATTGTTTGTTGGTTCCGGCACGGGCAGGCGGTACTGGCGCTCGCTGTAATGTACATGTCCTGAGTTGGGTATGCTGTAATCCAACATTTTGAAGCAATTGTGAATGCCTTTCGCACGCGCAGAACATCCAATTGGAGTGTGGTAGTACGCGAGTGGTTCACCCCGCTTCTGGATTGAAGGACCAGAGGACGGCTACTAAACTTCGACATCGCGATTACAAGTTGATCCGCATTCAGTTTGGTTCTGCTACTGCTGCTGCCTACAGCTACAAAAGCTGAAGTGCATCGCTTCTTCTGCCTCTTCTCTGATACACTGTAACTGTGTAACGTCCTGACTATCCTATCAACGCCTGTTGGACTCGAACATCGCGATGTCGACCGCAAGCTTCCTATCGTCACTGCCCGAGCCAAAGTACCACTCAGCTAGGCCGCAACCGCCCAATCCCCAGATTGTACGAATCCTCGCGACTGCACCTTCCATCCACCCCAACACTAACTCCCCAGTCGCGATACCAGATCCCGCACCTAATGCGCGCCTTGCGCAAGTCACTAATCGCATCCTACAATCGTCTTTTCAAAGTTTTTCTCCCACAGCGACACCAAGCAAACATGGAAGCGCTCCAGCTTTCGAGATCAGATGTGCAGACCGTGGAGGGATCAAAAGACTCACTGCCGCTGTGCTCGGACTGCGGCGCTCGAACATTCGCCAAATGGGAGAAACGGAGTTGCCTGGGTTCGTTCGATATATATCGACATCGGCAGCAGATGCCGGTGGAAAAAGAAGGATAGTAAAGATACAAAAGCGTCAGGCTGATCCATGTGAGCCGCCGAAGTTCAAGAAAAGGCGCATCCCGGGAAGAGCGCCTTCGCCGCCGGCCCCAGTCTTGCGTTCTCCTCTTCGGGTGTTTACTGCTGAGCAGCAGGAACAGTGAAAGATACCGCCCCTGATGTCAAATTTGAAGAACCCGATTAGGCATACTGTGCCTCTAGAAAGGAGATTAGCGTCAGGTGGAAGAAGATTGCAAGATGATAGCATCATCGTCAGTATTTTCAACGACTTCTCCGAAGCTCTCCAGTCTGCCGGACGATGCGCATGCGAATACATAGCCCAGCGTGCCGTAATACAACAGCGTCTCGATGAGAAAGAAGGGCTACAAAAGGAATACCGTCTCTGGGAACTCGCGCATCGACATCGGCAGAAGTGCGCACATGATATCCATCGCCGCTCTGCCAGCTTCTCCGACTCCAAAGATGAAGCCGTTCACCGTCGCTCAGAAGCGCGCAAGGAGCGGAGACAATAGTTCCGGCGTGAAGAGTGGCGAACGAAGATGGGAATAAAGAGGAAGTTAGAAGCCTCTGCACGAGAGCATGATAGCGACATTAGGTAGAGAGTGGATTCAGGCTCTGCGAAGGCTACAAAGAGGGCGGTGTATCCACTGAATCCAGCGCAAGGCTCTTCAGCTAACATGTTTGCATCGCATGCGAAACCAGCGTTTTAACGAAAGGAAATTACAGTACGGTGACATTGTTGGGGAAGCAGTGAGTATCCCACGCGCCCATCTCCTGGCTAGCTCATCGGCCCGACCCCACATACTCACTTCCCCGCACCTCTCCTTGCTGCCCCCGCACATCCATACGACAGCAAGGCTTCCAAGGTTGCACATGACATCTGACATGGATGTCAGGATTTTCTTGGCTTGGTTGGGATAGTCTCCAGCTTTCCTAAGGGATGCATTGTTGGTTCGACTAATTAGGCTATCGACCTCTGGAGCTTATAAATTGTAGCAACTGCGATACCTTTGTCCATGAATTACTCTTATAATCAGGGCAAAAGTTCCGTCTCAAAAATGCTCCCGATGCTTGCTGTTGTTCTCTTCGTCGCCTTCATCGTCTTGATCGCTGACTACATCCACATGCTATGGCGTCGCCGTTATCTCCCTCCAGGTCCATTCCCATTCCCCATCTTCGGGAACCACTTCCAAACGCCTTCGTACAAGCCATGGCTTACATGGGAGAAATGGGCCCAGCATTACAATTCACCCATGATGACTCTCTGGATCGGACGGCAACCGCGCATCATCTTGAGCGATGCATGGGTCGCGAGTGACTTGCTCGAGAAGAGATCAGACATCTTCTCGAGCAGACCCAAAATCATCGCCATGGGTGATGCAATCAACGCGACGAACACGAACCAAACGACATTGCCATACGGCGATCGATGGAGAAAACACCGGAAGCTTATGGTATGTGACCTTGGCTTGGGTCTGTTGCTGTAGGAAAAGCTAATAGCGTAGCACATGGCCGTTGGCTCTCAAGCCGTACGCAAATATCGTATATTCCAGGCGCAAGAGTCCGCAATCTTGATCCGCGACTTCCTGCTTGAGCCGCACGACTTCGAGCTCTCCATCGAGCGCTACTCTGTATCAATCACCTCGATCGTCGGCTGGGGTCGACGCATCGATCGTAAGAACGACTACGTTGCTCAACAAGCTCTCAAGTTGATGGAAGCTGTCAATTATATCGTCCCTGGTATCTATCTCATGGAGGCCGTTCCGTTTCTGATACACTTGCCTGCTTGGCTCTACGCGCTACCGAGCCAGATGCGACTAGGTGCTGGTATACTGTCGCGCTACTTCTATTTGCTTACGCAGGAAGGCGCCGAAGCGAAGGAACACAACTTTGGGAAACATGTTATGGCGTCTCAACAAGGTAGTCACATGACAGACCTCGAAGTTGCAAGTCTTATGGGCAATCTGATTGGTGGTGGGGTAGACACGACCAGTAGCACTATGCTATCGTGCATCCTGGCGATGGCGCGCTTTCCGGAAGTACAAGAGAAAGTTCACGCTGAGTTCGATGCAGTCGTCGGACATGATCGCTCTCCAAATTGGGATGATATCGATTCAAATGCGCTTCCATACTTGACTGCAGTGGTAAGTTGCAAGGATGACAAACATCAGACTTATAGCTCACACGCCACAGGTCAAGGAAACGCTGCGATGGAGAACCGTGACTATACTAGCAGGTATCCCTCACGCTAACACCATCGATTTCGATTACAAAGGCTACCACTTCCCCGCCGGTACCAACTTCACAGGCAACATGTGGGCGATCCACAGACACCCGCGCGACTTTCCCGATCCGGACAGATTCATGCCGGAGAGGTTTCTCGAAGGCGGAGGCAGCGCGAAACAACCTTATCCGAACAAGTACGGCATGAATCCCTTCGGGTGGGGGCGCAGGCAGTGCAGCGGTCAGCCGCTTGCTGAACAAGGTCTGCTTTACTCTCTTGCGCGCATGATTTGGGCTTTTGATATTCTGCCGGGTGTTGACGAGGATGTAAGTGTCTCGATACGTCCATCCAAACCGTCGATGTTTGCGCCGCTGATGTATCGCGACAGCGTAACGAAGTTGATTTGGATATCTTTGCCTACACCGACAGCGAGAACATGAGGCCAGAGCCTTTCCGTGTGCGATTTATGCCTCGCTCGGACGCGATCAGGAAGCTGCTATTGGACGAGGCTGCGGAAGCACGTGAGGCATTAAGGGTCTATGATGGGGAAACTCGCGTCAGGATAGAGGACGCTGTCAACGATCCTGCAAAGCTTTGAAAATGTTGATCAGGCTGTGGTATACCGTCGGTAGTGTCGAAGTTCTAGCTGTGGAACGGTAATAAGGTGTCTGTTATGCGAGCTGCAGCCGACTAGATTTGTTTCCTACCTCGAAAGTTTCCCTCTACAATGTGTCGTGTGCTAGACGATTCTGCGTGGGAGATTTGTTGCTTAAGTACTCATGAACACGCTGCTGTTGGGTCCAGACACAGCTAGCTGATTAATATCATAATAAAGTTTGTTCTATCTAATTGAAGTATTGCAAGATAGCACAGGAGACGTGTAGCTACCGTCAAAAATCTAATATGCTTACAAGCGGTATGCAACGTGTTAGAAGTGTTCATTAAACTAAAGGAAATCTCTAGCTTTCACGCCGTGCACGTAGTCCTGCTTAGACAAGCGTGATAGCCGTCTTTTCTGCCTTAAGATGCGCTTTGTACATCATAGTGACTGTAGACACGTGGTTGCAGCGAATGAAACCAAGTCTCTCAAATTCGTCTCTAGTTCCATTGCGGGTTTGGATGAAAAGGGCTTCAAGACCACCGCCGTCCGTGAACAACCCGCTCTTTTGAAACTCTTCCGGAATTGTGCTACATTCCGTGCCCGGTTCAAGAAGATCTCGCAGCCTTTGATCGTGAAAACATCGTTGGAGGATAACGATGTATCCGTTCTGTTTGCGTGACGTCCCAACATAAGAGCTGTCTATATTAATCGCTAGATTTGGGTTCGCCACTCTTGGGGGAGTTCTGCATTCTAACATGCTTCCTTGATCGACTAGCTCCAGCGTCCCGGTAGAACCATTGTCTAGACGTTCGAACGTTGTGGCAGGCGTGAAGATTGCGCGTAACAGCTTGCAACTGAGTTTTAACGCAGCTTTGTCCGCTTTGTCCGAGGCCCCGGCTTTTGTGTCAAGGTCGATAAGTTCCGCTTCTGTATGTCGACCTGAGTGCTCTCCATGAAATTGGAACAGAAAGCTAGGGTTCGTTTCGAGATTGCTACAAGCCCAGCTCCAGGTAGGTGCACTCAAGTTCGTAGACCTTTCTTCGGACTTCTTTTCCCACCAGCAGAGTTCCTCGATAAGGTGGCCCTGCCAAATTCCTTCAACGAAATTGTCGCCTGTCATCTGGCTAATTCGGTTCGCTATGCCTTGGATAGCTACAAGCTTATCCGTGGGATATGTAAGTGCGCATCCTGAATACCGACGTCGGAATAACAACCAAGCTTTGTATGTGGAGTGTGTCAACCCTCGGGATAAGACAGAGGGGATTCTCTCTATACTTGAATCCTTTTTGCCTTTATGTCTGAGGTCCGACATTTCTCTTTTGAGGAGAGTCGCGTCGTCTAGATCGGGTCCTTTTTGCCATGTTGGAATGCTTTTAGGATACGTTTCACATGCTGTGTCCGTCAAGCACTCCCAAAAGACTTGCGTGCTAGTGAAGTGCAAAACTCGAGTGGTTAGCTGTCTTTCCTGGCTTACCCAAGCTCTTTTGTTCAGCGGCCCATCTTCTATGCATCTGTTAACCATTCCCAAGGCGTCGCACACATAAGTGCCCAATAACTGAACTCCAGCACCCACCAGCCACGGGGTGTGCCAGCCGGAATCGAAATGTATACGTCGTGGCAGGACGGTCAGTGGACTCCTTGCGAAGAAAAGGCCGTCACTGTTGTCGTTTGAAGAAGTGGCTGCAATCGTGCAAGCCGCGTGCGCATAGATGTCTCCCATTCTTCGAGATTCCGTTGCCCAATCGTCTTTATCGTCCTGGAGGATGCATCTGTAGCTATCAGTCTTTGCGCAACAGCGCTATTCATTGTTTAAATACAGTGAGTCTATCCAGAGGTATTGTAGACGAAGTCTACGAGTCACGATCACAGCGTCCTGGAATGTCTTTGGGAGTATGCTCACACCAACGCCCTTGCTTAGCAAGGGTAACGTTTTCGCATTAAGCGTCAATGGTCGTACTGTCCCCCAGCAGTGAGACAGGCAAGCATATTTCTCATCGCAGAACTCATTGGTGTTACGCAGTACAACTGCCCCGCGCTGATCAGTACCAACGTCGAGAAGTCGAGAAGGATACGCAGAGGCATTGCCACGCGGTGGATCATCGCATTCTTCATGGTTTTTGCAGCAATGATTGTATTTTTCGATAATGAAGTTGAATGTGTCGTCGGAAAGGGTGTTTGGTGATAGACTCTCTGCAACTGTGATAGTCGTAGGTACTGCACGTATCTTTAGCAGCTGAACGTTGTTGTCAGAATCATACTAACGTGGGTATGGCACAACTCGCAAGTTCGCACTCCACTTCTCGCTCTTGTGCTCTCGGTCACAGGTAAGGAAAGAAAGGATATAGGTGTTGCTGCTGGTGTTGTAGCTACAAAGTCCTTCCAGCGGTCCTTGCGCCCAGTCAGACTCAATTGGCTGCTCGCGGGCATAGCCCCATGCTAGACCGCATATCGCACATGGTAGCTGCATCGCTCCACGAAATGACACAGGATCATCGTGGTGTTTGAAACTGAACTGGTTATAAGAGTTATGGGTTACAGTCATCACACCATGTAAGAAATGAAGACATGGCTCGCAGTACAAGCCGTTTGGTGTGCTCGGAGCCATTCGTTGGGGCTACGTGAAAGCTTGTAGGAGGATTTGGTATAGGTAAAGAAAACTGTTGTTCAACAAGTCTTTACGTGCCCCGCATGACATCATCTTGCAGCGTGAGTCGGTAAGCACACGTGCCAACATGATGTATCAAACTGCAGCCTATCGTGATCGGCTTATACTAGTAAAACATAAATAGATCAATCATCTGGCGACAAGTCACGACTTTCGATCCGAAATTCAAGGAGACGGTTGTTGCGCACAGCAGCGCCCGAGCTAGTCCCTTTGAACTTCCCACCTCCTTTCAACTGTAATAGCGTGATCCGAATCATTCGCTACCCGCTCCCTGTCAAGTTTATAAACCGAAGAAACGCGCACGACCTTACAAGTCTTAATAGGCTGCAGTTTCATCTGTGACGAAGCATCATTATTGTCCACCATCTCCGAGAACGTAGCCGTCGGATCGTCATGTCTTCTGCTTCCTTTCTTTGAGAAGAGACTAGTCCTCTTGCTGCCATCGTAGTCGAAACTGAATCGCGTGGCGCTCTTTGAATAGCCGAACAATGGGCGCATGAGAGGAATGCACGCCAGGACGATGGCTACGGCGGACTTGAGGCCGGAGAGGATGGTGGCGAGCACATCGGTGTATGTCATGTCCATAAAGTCTAGACCAGGAAGAAGCGTTTGGCGCTATATAGTAACGGTCCAGGTTCTGCACGACATGTTAGTATAGATTAAGGTAAATCACTTAGGCGGAAGCGCGTACTCACCCTACTCTAATGCTAAGGAGAGCTATCGCAGCTAACTTCCTACCCTACGCTAGACACAACTAGTGCAAGTATGGGGTTGGTAGTAATATAATTACGGCATCTGAGATGAGGTTGATGGCAACCATTGCGAAGTAGAAGTTTGGCTGACTGCTACACATCCCGGGCAGTTCTTCGCCAGTGGCCGGCATATCGCGAGTGCAGCGATAACGTCGGCGACATTCCAGGTCATGATCACAGCGCTGAGGATACGAGCCTATTAAACCATGGAAACCATTAGTATCAGTGCCGTGTACGTTGAAAGAACCGACATTTTGCTGAAGCACACGGTCGCATTCCACAGCATTGCAAAAGACATGATTCTCTATAGCATAACATGTCATAGCTTGGAAATGCGAGAGGACGGTCACTGGTCTTACCTTCAAGAATGTTGCCGCGTTAGGTCCAAAGCGCTGAAAAATGTCCGTGGTATGGAGGCCAAAGCCGCCATATGTGACCAGCGAAATGCAGCAGGCGTGCAGTGAAGTGTTACATACCTAGTAGATATATTAGTGCACAATTATTTCGCTATTTAGGTTTAACCTACTAAGGCAGCAAGAGGCAATAATCACTGTAATTAATTTGGTTTGCGATTCTTTAGGCTACTGGTCGCAGACCCACAGCAACCATGACCATCAAGATAGATGTGGAGGATGCCACGAGGATACCGAAATGTTGCCCATTTTCGATTGGAATCGTACCGGTCATTGAGATGGAATCGCGTAGTGAGATTGTGGCGTGAAAGTCCGAGAGGCGTGAGGGCTCGAAACTGGTGCAGCCCGACCCGACAACGGCGAATGTACGATCAAAAGGAAGTTATGTAAAGCTTTTCCAATGCACAGAATCGACCACAGAGCATCCTGGAGAAAGTGCTTCCTAGCCGTCATCTGAGATCAGAATCGTCAGGACAAACGATCTAACATCGATCCAATGATTGGCGGCTGACGACCAACGACCGACAACCAACACCGGCATGAGATATCCTAACGCCCAATGCGATTGATATCGCAGACTCCGCCACTACATGTTGCGAATACGCAGTAGGAGTCCTGTCAGTTAGTCGCGATCCCGCGGGGGCCTAGGTTCCATGAATCGAGAGCGGCACTTGAGAGAAAACGGTGGCAAGCTTGTTCGTACACTTCTAACAACAACATTTTGATTGTGTATGCAATTCAAACTGCGACGCATATCCGATATCTCGAGCTTGCTTGCTGACTATCGGATAGTATCTTTCTGGCGAATACCGCAAGGGACTGCCCCTCCATGAATGCTGTTACGGGGACAGCCTTGGCGTGCGATCCTCTTGTATGCGAAGGATTGTGTTCCCTGTATATTGCTATGTGAAGGTCACATTTGAGTGGCTCGAGGCATTACACCTAGCGTGCCCCCACTCGCTATTCGGTAACTGTTGGGAACCGCGCCGCAATGCCAATCTTGCGCGGTTGCGGGCGAATCGCAACGTCGACTACGGCTGTTTGCAGCCTTCAGTACGATTTTGCGACAGTCAAGCAGGCTGTATCCGGCGAGCTCATAAGAACTCAATTGTCGCAAGATGCCCGAAGACTAGTCCCTGCAAGTTGAATGAAGATTGCGCATCTGGACTCGTACGGAGGCGATATATGGAGTCCGTGGATGCCGACTCCCGCGAAAGTCTAGGCTTGACGGTAATGTAAGCGTTAGTCGGGCCAACTCCTGCAGCTGCCGAATTCTCCGCACAACGGCTCGGAAAAATGCTAGTAACAAGCAAGTACTCCTTTTTAAAGCATGAGGAGTAGCTACTCTAGGCGCAAAGTGGAGAGCATCGTGCCCCGGTACTGAACCCAGATGGAAAGTATCGCGCATGCATATAGCCAAGAACGTAGCCAGACGAGCCGCTCCCTGTTAGATATAATGCATCAACGTTCCCAAATCTGCCACAAACTATCATCCGATACTGATGTTCGACACCATGGGTTCCATTTCCCAGGATGAGCGGAAGGTCGCCATCATTACCGGTGGCACGGTTCGTCACATCGCATTACCGCAGTTGATCTGAGCTTGCTGACAGATTCCATTAGAGTGGAATTGGTTCCTGGCTAGCAGCCCGGTTACAGGCAAGAGGCTACCGTGTCGCAATCTGTGGTCGACGTGAAAGCGAAGGCAAACAAGTCGCCTCATCGATTGATGCGACAGGAGATTCGGTCATCTTTGTCCAATGCGACGTCAGCTCGTATTCCTCGCAAACCAATCTCTTCCAGACCACATGGAACAAATGGGGTCGCCTGGACGTTCTGATCGCGAACGCGGGCTTCCCTGATCGTGGATCCGTGTTCAACCTCAATCGCCGCGATGCGCCCATCGACGACTTGCCTCCAGAACCAGATACAAGCTGTACAGATGTCGTGGTGAAAGGACGAATGTATGGCACGACGCTGGCAACACACTACATGCGTCACAACTCAGGGGGCAAAGGTGGCAAGATCATTATCACAGGAAGCATGCTGGGCATGTATCCATGCCATAGCTTTCCAGAGTATTGCTCGGCCGAAGCAGCCACAGCAATGTGGACCAAGACAAGCGGTCCTGTTCTGCTGGCCAAAGATAACATCTCCATCAACTGTTTGATGCTCGGTCCGATCGAAACTCCAGTCATGCCTGGCTTCAGCAAAGCCTTTCACCCCGAACACATGATGCTGCAATCGACCCTCTTCGCTGGCTACGATCTATTTCTTGATGACGAGAAGAACCAGAGGACAGGGCAAGTTGTCGAGATAGCGCACGACAGACTGGTGGAATGGGGACACCCAGGCTACAAGAATGGAGCTTTCTCGAAGCGTAGTGAGGCTGTCTTCGAGCCATGGTTTGCTATTGTGCACGGAGAGAAGAGCGGTTTGCCCGGTACAATTCACGACTGGCCGAACCAGGGCAACAAGATCATCGCTGTGACAGGCGCGACAGGAAGTCAAGGTGGTGGAGTAGTCAACATCATGAAGAAGACGCCTGGATGGACGGTCAGAGCGATCACCCGAAACCCAGACAGTGATGCGGCGAAGAAGCTCGCAGCGGAGGGATTGGAGGTTGTCAAGGCCGATTTCGAAGACGAGACATCATTGCGAGCCGCCTTCGATGGCGCAAACGCCGTGTTTGCGGTCACGAATTGGTGGGAAGCGCTCTTCCAGGGCAAAAGCCAGCACGAATGTGGCGAGATCGAAGAGCGACATAGCATGAACCTCGCTCGGGCTGCCGCGGCCACACGGTCGGTCGAACACTACATTTGGTCGACTTGTCCAAACGCGAAGCGTCGGTTCTGGGGCAAGATGGAAGCGCCACACATGGACTACAAGGCGAATGTGGACGCGCGCATCAAAGCCGAGTTGCCGCAACTTGCTGCCATCACGACTTACCTGTACTTTGGATACTATCCGCAGAACATGGCTTTCTTCCCGCTCTGCAAGCCCTTTGAATACGTGAGTCTGGCTCAGTGCATGGTATATAACGCATTTGACTGACATTCGATGAAGCCCGGCACTGGTCAATACATCCAAGCGATGCCCACAAAGCCCGATGCCAAAGTTCTCATAGCTGGCGACATGAACGTCAACCCCGGCATCTGGGTCCGCCAAGTCCTTGCTACTGGCCACAAGGCTTATGGTAGATACGCGAACGTCGCGCTGGAGAAAATGACATACCAGGAGATGGTCGATGTGTGGTCAGAAGTCACTGGCAAGAGCTGTGTCTTCACTGAACTCAGTATGGAGACGGTGACCAAGCTGTACGGCGACATGGGCAATGAACTGGCGCTGCAGTTCAAGTATGGCGAGGCTTACGATCCTGGGGAGGTTACCGATGAGTTCATGAGCCCAAAGGCGCTGGGCATAGACGCTGGGGAGGTCGTTGGGTTTAGAGGCACAATCGAAGGCCTCCACGCAGGCGGATTCTGGGCTTGATGCCAACGTGTATTCAGTCCAATGCTTACATTGTATCGCTAGCGTAACGTATGCGATTTGCGACTGTGTAGGGTGTATCGGGACTCTGGAAGGTGAACCGCGGGATACGACGATGGGTCTCGTGTGCCGATGGGCTGCTGTAGACATGCGTCAGCTTGATCATATTCGGGGCTGGTGATGCGACATACAGTAGCGCATTTAGTACTGGTAACAGCCCGCTGACCATCAGATGTCGCCTTCGTCGTGGAAGCTGAGGAATGGAGGTGTCGCATCTAGGGCAGCGACACCCATGTAGAGAGGAAGCCGGAGAACCTCGACCGTTCAGGGGATGGCAGCCTAAGTGAGTCGGACATGGCCGGAAGTCGTTGCGTATCTCCGGCAGTTTCTCCTGCGATCTAATCGCCGTACCTGTTTGTCTCAGCCATGATGGTGAGGATGTGACGTCGTTCTGGTCCGCGAGCCGCCTGGATGGTCAATGGGCCTCCAATGCGCGTTTTGAGGTGCTCGGCAAGGGTTTTTGCGACGTCAATTCGAGAGCCCAGTGCGTGAGCGACGCATGGGATCATATCCAGGTATGGTGGTATGGTGTGCAGCGTTGGATGCACGCGCGGCGCGCCTGTCGGGGTTCCCATTCCAGCAACCCGCCGATCCTGCCACGTGCCCGAACGCGACAGACTCCCGTGAACACGTGCGACCCTCTTCTCGCCACCAGCTGAACACCCACCCGCAACGCTTCCTTTGGCTGGCATTCCGCTTACTATTGTCTCCCTCGAACAGGCAATAGTATGTCATGAAATCGCCTTCAGCGTCTCATGCCCGCTCGACGAGCTGGCATCCGCTTTCGCTGCATAATATTGCCATCTCGGAAGCGGACACACCCAGCACAGGCCTCATCACGAGCATTTATATGATCGTAGGCCATATCCATTGTCAATACGGTAATATGCAGTCGATAAGCTGCGGGCAATGGCGACATGCGATGCCGGGAATAGCGACTAGGTATTGGCTCCTTCAGTCGCCTCATAGCACAACTAACATTCAAGCTAAGATCAGGACGCAGCCCGGGGTCAAAGTCGCAGACATTACACGTCCCAATTTTTTCAAAGTCCTCCGCAATGACAACGCCACATATGTTTCCTAACGAAGCTACGATGCATACGTATACGCCGTGTTCAACACCCTAGGCCAAGGATACTGCAACAATTAATGCGAAGCCTCCGCCGGAAAGTCCTTTACCTATTCCCCGCCGAGCCATACCATTGCCTGTCGCCGCTGTTGGCACAACCCCAGTTTCCGCAGTCAATGAGGGCACCGGGGGAACATACGAGCTAGTTGGTACCAGTTGTGAGGCTGTGCTGCTCGAAATAAGAGACTGCTGACTTATCGGTCCCGTCCGGGTCGTGCCCCCGCATACTTTGTTCGAGTAAACAGCCGTTGGATCCCAGGTCCTTCTCAGACATCTTTCGTTAAAATCGATGTCGCATCGCGATCCATAATATAGCATGTCGTCATTGCAGAGACAGTTGCTGAGATCTGCATCTGCCGTGCTATACGCCGAATTGCACGACGTCATGGACACTGTCAGACTTTCGCACTCCATTGCGATGCTGAGACACAACTCCTGGTCGAATGCAGGTGGCTTTGTGACCATCATGGTTGTTGGCGAAAATGTGAATACTTCTTCACATATCGTGGACCAATCATGGTAGAGCCCGGTAGTTCCCAAGAACATGTTGTCGATAGCTGAAGTGGGGAAGCAGTCCCACATCTGCTGATGGCAGCTGAATCTTGTTAGTCCATTATCAAGCCGCAACCTGCGTAGGCTACTCACCCTGCAATGTAGTCCAATACGCTCTGTTGACAGTAGCAGCCTGCCTGTGAATTCGAGTTATCGGTATCAAAACAAGTTTGAGCATTCTGAAGCATCGTTGTGCAGCTGCTCAAGGTAACAACTGTGTTGAGGCAGTCTGTGGGATCGTTGATGAAGTTTGACTCTTGGGCTGCGGCCAGGGCCGAGAGAGCTATCAGAACGGCGATGACCATATCGGAAGTGGGACCTCACAACAGGTGTCTGAGAGGCGAGTTTGTTTAGATAAGCTGTAGTGACAGATCTCTCGCTTTTATCGATCTCATCAGCAGATATCATCGAGCAGGAAAGCCGCCATCTTCCACGACGCACACCAGGATAGCTTGCTTTTTCTTGCTACCAAGAGCTCACGCCATTCTTATTATTGCTCAGGTCTTGCGCGAGGACGCGTCTTGAGGCTCGAGCTGCAGCTCGTGGCTGATGAGATCCAGGCTCGCTTCTGACGACTAGCGAATACGAGCCTTGGCCGCGAGCTGAGATACTAGCAGCCAACAGGATTGATTTAGCGAAGGTCAGTACCAGACTACCTCAAGATGTGTGGCACGTGTAGTCAGCTTGCGCGTGCAGGCGGTATCATGGTAGGCAGTGGAGCCATCGACATCTCAGCCCACACCGCCTGCTCCCATAACATGAAGCTTGCGACTCGTTGACTTCGGTCAACCCCTACAGAACGTCGAATGTGCACGCTGCGCATACCTAGGTACTCTCGCAATGAAACCCAAACGAGCTCAATGGCGATCTATCGTCCTTCGTCCCGGAATCGTGGCTCTGCTCCTATCCGCAGAGGTCAGCATCATTAGCACAATCGCGACTCTATGGGTACTTTCGAACGCACGCACGGGTTTCATGAACGTTGGATTCCGAGGGTCCAGCTCAGCAGTTTTCAGCGTGCAAGGCGCTCTTGATCGCGGTCAACCTCTGCTATGGACAACGCTACCAGTCATCGTTCTTACGCTCTACCGCCTCTTTCGTGAAGCTGTCGTCTCAGCTCTCGTTGTTGAAACGCCGTTCATGGAACTACACAAGTCTTCACTCGCCTCGCCTACCACGATACAAAAGTCTATATATCTTGATTACCGTACATCATTCAGCATTGTGGCATGGTTCAAAGCCGTAAAGAACAAACACACCTTCCTGGGCCTCTGTATGCTGTTTTCCTTCGTGGTATCAATTGCGCTAGTACCGCTGGTTGGAGGTCTCTTCATCGAAGGAGAAGAGCTGTCTGCGACCAACGCAAAATTCGATCTACTCTCAATCCTTGACACCACTACCGACATTACCATCCTCGACTATGGTCGTCTCTTTGACGTGGTCTCTGCTTCCTGGGTCTACGCCGCTCCCTATCCTTCTGGAACTGAGGGTAGCTTTCCTCTTCCGAGCATCGCACCTGTGCAAGGCTTTCACAACTACACTGTCTCTTTGCCTGTAACTACGTCTCAACTTTCTCTCGATTGCGAAATCATAAGCGATGCAGAGTTCACTACAAAGACCGAGACGGAGAACATAGCACTCCTAGCTTTCTCGGCTACGGATCGCAATTGCGCCATCTTCGGAGACATCGCAATCGGTAATAGGAACTCTTACTACCTTGGAGCTTTCACGCAGCAGGACTGTCCCGACGTCGCTGGTCGCACACGTGTGGTGCTCTTCTCCGTTCCCGTCATTTCGACTGGCGATATGCAAGACCCGGCCTTGATATCCTGCATTCCATCGTACTGGTCTGTCAATGGCACAGTAGGCATCATCAGACGTACAGACCTCGCCGGCGAAGTGACAGAAACGCCTTCTTTTTCTGCAACCTCTCGGCGGGTCCAGGAACTGCCCGATCTCAAACGTCAGCAGTTTGAACAGGGTGTGATGAGCGTACAATCCATAAACATCGGAAGTACGGTCAATGCGCCTGACCGCCTCGGAGAGTTGGTGGCTGGGTACGTCGAGAGCAGGAATTTGAAGTTCACATCAGAGAGTCTGATTAAGGCTGCGAGCACTGTGTATCCAGCGGTCTATGTAATGCTTTGCCTGGATCACTTCTATCCAGGCTTGGCGCAGCCTATCCAGCGGGAGGGCGTGTTGCATATCCCTGAGAACAGACTGCATGTCGTGGAGCCTGTGGCAATCGCCATGCTCCTTATCCTTGCCATACTCGTCGTCGAGAGCATTTACCTTATCGTCTACCTGCACAAGCACCCGAGCATACTGGCAGAAGAGCCTGTTGGACTTTTCGGTGCTGCAAATCTCCTCCATGGCGGCAACATTACATCTCTAGTTGCGAAGTTCCATCGCGATCCTGAATTCGACGGTCGTCTTCGACGGCCTGTTAAACCGGTCGACTACTACTGCGTCTATTCCAGCCCGTTTAAACTTGTCAATACCACAGGCAAGAAGCCCAAGACCGTAAACACGGATGATAGCATATTAAACGGGAAGTGTTGGGTAGACAGAGAGCCTGAAACAGGCCAACTGAAGATCGTAGTGAAGCTTGAAGCGGACGATGCCGAGTGTGCGCAACCTCTCCTCGAGCTTCCAATTCCCGAACAGCAGGATATCCCCACTCCTGACCCAGCCCATGCGCTGCGATATGCCAGAGGACAACGACCGTCAAATGCAGCTCTATTGGTATAGTCTATTGGTGAATGTTGGAAACATACCGACCAGGCTCGGCACACTTTTCCCACGATAAACAATGCAGATGTACGCCAGCAGCAACCCCGATTTTTGATGGCGGCCCACGGATGTCGAGGTGTGCATGTGTCTCAGCTCTATGCGCGGCAAAACAGTCTAGGTCTTTTGGTAGATGCTTCATCCCCTTTCTTTTATATCGGAGCAGACTGCTCCTTGGATAGCCAAAAGACACCCCTGTCTTACATAGACTTCCACGATGACTTATGTACTGATATAGAATGGTCTGTTACTTTTGCGAACCATTTAGGTGAACACGTTTGGTGCAACATTAGGTAAAGACCGACATTGTATCTTCTTAAGTCATGCAGGTGTCGAAAGGGAGTACTGCACAAAACGCAACATCACAACACATGTATAATTATAGGGAACTCGATTTATTCAGTTAGCAGATACCAAAACGACAGCTAAAAACGAAGAGCTAAGGCTAAGGAGAGGTTTGTATGTATGTTCTGCCCCTGGCAGAGACAGTCCATTACGGAGAGGTACCGAAATCCCAGACTGGAAGCCGTCTTCTGGGACCATAGAGTGCTATCGGCGCCTTTGACTAGCCACAAGTACAATCGGCAGCCTAAAATAGGCCGCCGAAAAGAAGAAGAACAGTATACAGCAGACCGTGTCCTCCTGCAAAGGTGTTTGGGCTAGCGGCGCCCGTAAATTCAGGAAGCGATGTCGATACCAACGCCGATACAGATGTCGATGCTGCAGTCGGTGTGGTGATAGGAGAGGTCATGTTTGAGAGAGAAATTGTAGCGGTAGGGCCGACGAAGGTGGCGGGCAAGCTGACGCTCAAGGACAAAGCGCATGCCTGAGGGTCCAGACCTTGAGGGCAGCACCAGCCATCAATCAGACAGTAATCGCCATTGGGACAGCCCCCTGGGCAGATGTGTGAGTGGAGAAACACATGAGGCAAACTCTTGGTAAATCACTTACATGAAGCACTTGAGCCCGCTTCGCAGCATGTCTCTTGCATGTCTGGGTTGTAGCAGAGGAAGGTATCAGGATCACTACAAAGCAGGTACCCAGTACCGCAAGAGGCTTCGCATGTGTCTCCGATACCACATTGGTTGACGGGTGGCTGATACTCCTGACGTTTACCGAAAGCATGCGGGTTCGGTGAGTGGAAGTGAAGGTTCGCGGCAGCGGTTGCAATAGTCAAGGAAGCGAGGATGAAGCGGGCGAAAAACATCATGAAGGAGCAAAAAATGGTGTAGGCTGGAGACAGAGAGACCTTTGAGGGACTGTTCAGTTCGCCATACGCCCGTCTACAGTGTACTTATAGACTGGTTTGTGCAATCGGCTGCCTTGTTCTGCTCTACCTGGTTCTTTGGGCTTACTTGTGGCTTCCACCAAACTCTCTACGCACAGACGTTGGCAGACTGAAATCCCGACCTAGAATTCGTAACTCGTATATCTTCGCGTCTTCCTCAAAATCGCTAAGCCCCTTCGCACACGGTGAGCTGTCACCAATAGTTGAGCAAATTATCAAAGTAGCTTGTTTCGTAACCTCAACTCGACCACACTCATACAGCTTCACATTCAACCTTGCAGAGTGCCTCAGCTAAGCGGCCGAGATGCTAAACTGATACACCTGTGCAAATTATATGACACATCGAGTCGGGATATCAGATGTGATTCGTTCGATCGGATCGTGCCGGAGGTGCCTGACAATTCCGCGAAGCAGGCAGCAGGATTGCCTTCGAGTTCATTAAGCAGAGTTCACTGTGGCTGAAGTCTAGAAACGTTACGAACACTTTTCGCAAGGTAAGTCCCAGCAGAGAGTATACACTGGCTGTTCTTGGTAAACCCGCGTTTGTGCTAAGAATAAGCCGTGGCAACGAAGTGACGAACAAGTAATCGGTCAGAGGAAAACCAAGGACGAGCTGAGAGACCGCCAAGAAAGAGCTGAGAGGGATCGAAAAACGGGCTATGAGCGCTAGAAACGAGCTGAGAGGCAGCTGAGGAAAGGCTGAAACGCCGAGCGGCAGTGAAAATCGTGTCGCTTCCGCGCCTATCAATCTGCTGATGCTTGGCTTTAAGTTTAGTAGCGATGCCTCAACACGTGAAGCGATACACAAAGCATTATATGACAACATGCTGCGCCTAATCAATGAGCCTCGATTCTTATAATACATGAGACACTAGGTTGAAGAGGCTGTGTCAAAGCTTTGGTCCCGATAGCCCTCAAGAAAAGGTGGGTCACGCAAGACACGCATGCCTCGTTTGGCGAATCTGATGATTGGGAAAGATACTATAGATTTTTGGCTTGCTTTCTTCTGTGCAGTAAAGACTTACAAGTCCCACACTCTTCACCGCCTAGGTTGAGAAGCGGCAGGTAATCTCGGCGTCCGATGCTGCGATAAACCCATCACACAGGGCTTTTGGTCTGGTCAAAGTGCATCTGCATGCACAACTGATGGGTCGTGCAGACCCGGTTTACAACGTCCCTCGTATGCATGCCAGGATACTAGCGCTGCCCAGGTGTTCCCATCAGCGACGGTATCTTTCAGGGCGCCTGAAGTGTGAGGAGAACTGGAAGACTCCGCATCCGTCCCCTGCACATCCTTCTGTTCCTGTAGCTCAACCTGCGCATCGACGTCGTCCATGGAGCATACCCTGATGATATTTCAAGTGAACAAAGCAGAAGCAGAAGCCGCTGTTCTGAAACGCTTGAATATACCGTACTTACTAAGGCGAGCTGGACGATACGAATTGGACGCCACAGGAGTCACATGGATACCAGAATCGCCATAGACAAAGACATATTCACGACCACTAGAATAGTATTAGCGGTAGAAGATCACAGCTTCAATTCTTCAATTCCCGATTGAATCGATTGGATGAAGGAAGGACCGTTCGCGTACCTAGTAAGAGGTCAGGCCGCGCCTTTTAGTCAACAACATGTACTCTCCTCGCTGAATGACAAGCTTATACAATTAACGATCTCGCATATCCTTCGTTCTCGAAGAAGTCTTGGTGCTTGAATGGAGGCACAGTCGCGATTACACAGCACAGTATGTTATCGCAATGCAGATGTATTCCCTGAAAACCTTGTGCTCGCTATAGGTACCCATATATAACCTTAGTACATCTCAGATGTTAGAAACAATCATGAAGCCATTCACCCTCAAGAAAGGTCACAACGAATCTCCGTGTCAAATCAGAGGTTGGGGAACGAAAGAAGACCTTTGCCAAGTGACTCAGAGATTCGCAAATCCAAGGATCTCGCAACTTCCCGTATCATGTCGATGGCTTCTGATACATTAAAACCTTGAAGAGACAGCTGCTCGATCAGCGGACACCATGTGTCCTTCAGCTTTAGCATACCACGAAGGCAGTCTTCGCTTAAGTCGGCGTCGAAATCGCAATCCTGCAGCTCCAGATATTCCAATGACTCTGGTAAGTGACATAGGTCGGTAAGTTTCTCGAACTGGATCGTTATGTGCGATAGCATCTCAAAATCGCGGAACGAGGGGTACACGTAGTGAAACGAGTCTTCGCCGTGCTCTTCCATGTCTTGTTGAAACTCCTCGTCGCGCATGTCGTAATAGCAGTTAAAGTGCAACTCTAGCGTCTTTAGAGTTGCCTTATGCTTTTCCAGTAGCGCCATCCCCAGGTCTTGTGGACTGACGAGTGGTTGGCTCGCTATGTCGTCTGGCAACATACCCCCATGACGCCTGCCATCGGGGAGGACCAACTTGAACGTCTCCAACCGAGGAGATGCATCCAGAGCTTGTCGCATTGTAGCGAGTGGCCCAAGACTCCACCACAATTCAATCGCCGATGGTGTCAGTACGTTCGTGGCAGGATGAACATCACTACCGGCCGATACTTCGTTCTCCGTAGAGAATGAAGTGAACGATGGGTATCGCAGGAGCGGGATGTAGTCAACTATGTTGATTGGCTGGTTATCGAAATGCTTGTGCCTGCAGCTTGTTGAGCGAGAGCGACATGCGCAGCAATTGGTGAGACTTACAAATGAAACGTCTGCAACTTAGCGAGGAAGGCGTCATCCGAAGCTCTCATCGCATGCATCCCTTGCAGCAGTCCGCGAGGAGGCAGATTGTGTGTATCCATACGAAGATGCCCCAGATTGGGCAGACAAGCAAGTGTGTATAACACAAGCGATTGGAATAACATGTTCCGTTCGCTTTCGGGATTCTGACCTGCCAATAATGCCGATATGCTCTTGAAAGTGGCATCGCGGACAAGTTCAGGTCCGTTGTGCGGGATTGGTCGATGGTAATGTATAGTGAGCGCTCGTGTCTTCTTTCCGAGGTCGGGGCATTCGACACAGGTCCGCAAGAAAAGCTCAAGAGGTCTCATGGTTTCAGGTATTGACTGTCCTAGTACCACGCAGGTGTAGAGCGCTGGTTGCGCAACAGCTGCCAGCGCGCGGGATGTTTTGCATGATCGCCATAGTGCTCTGACATCGGACCAGCGACCTGTTTCAAGATGCGCGACGATGCAATAAAGCAGTTCGTTGGATAGATCAGTGAGCTTTGCCATGGTTTGATGTGGACTGACCGCCGGAGGTGTCGCAAGCCAGGTGCACAATATCAGGCAGCAACATTAGTAAGCAACGCTAGCATCCCCGGGGCCATCTCTTCGGCGAACTGGCATCCCGGCCGGTGACCACAACCTTCACCTTCACCAACGATCAAGCTCACAGTATCGGTCATTCGGAAGACGCTTCTCAGTGGTACAGCAGATATGAATTCAAAAATCACAAAAGAGATCCAACAAATAACTGGACCTCCTTCCATTATCCCTCGCTACCAATCACGAGTCGCCCAAGCAGACAGTCGTAGGCCACCATTCACAGCTTACATCATAGCGCAAGGAGGGCACCTCTTCTTGCCGCACCTCTTCTTGTTCTCCTTCCGCTGCTTCCTACTTATCGCCTAGAAAATGTCAGCACATATCATGTCAAGCTCATTCCAAGTATGACTTACAGCGACCTCCATGTCCTCGAGGAGCTCAGCCTCCCAAGCCTCATCCATCTCTACGATAACTGTGGAAGCGTCAATGGAAGAAGGAGTGCTATCCACGGTGACAGCGGCGGCAGCGGAGGAAGTAGCCTCGGAAGGCATGTCGGCGACGGTGGGGATGGCGACCCCGCTGGGAGGCAAAATCCAGGAGGTGTTGTAGGAAGTGGCCGTGGGAGGGAGGATAATAGAGGTCCATGAGGGACCTGCTGGGGTGGTCTGAGTAGGGATTAGGCATGTTGGTTTACACATCATAAAAGAGTTGTGAAATAAATTGCTTACGTAGGTGGTGAGAGCAGGCATGTTGCTTCAATTTTTGACTTTACGATAGTTTGTTGTAGATGTCTTAGGATAAAGATGAAATATTGTAAGTAATTGGGAGGAAGGAGAAGGCGTATATAGAGATGTGCTCGCTTTCTGGTGTGGTAGCGCACCGAACTATGTTGGTGGTGTGTGTGGATAATTGCAAAACCCTCGTCGCTACCCTTGAAATATCGTCTCGCTCAACCACTCAGATCTGTTGCAGCACCCACAGTACATATCGCTTCCAACAAGAGCTCTTTAAACTGGAAGCAAAGTTGTTATCTCTTATGGGCGCACTATATGCTATCACAAGATCTGGAGTCAGGCTGGCAATCACTACTATATCCTCTATTCCGCTACGATCTCATATCCACCAGCCTGACAAATACAGCGTTCGTAATGGTCGCAGTATGCAAGTCCAAGCTTGCCTCTGGGGCATACCAAGGTTTAAAATATGGTCTAAGCATCTGGAAAGAGATATTCGCGAACCATCCAATAGTGTACCTGATATCTCATGTTAGGCTGGCGGCGACAATTGTTTCCATAGCCTCACTGGAACCCACATCTCCACATCTGAAGAATGCAATCCGCGTGACCATCGCAATCATATAGCCAAATGCTTCTCGCGAAGCATACAATGGCTGCGTAGAAAGGCTGGAAGCCGTTGAGGAGGACTGTTTGCCGATGACCGAATGGAATCCGTGATATGTCAGGCTGGGTCTGCGGCGACCTTGGTCTCCATCACCTCGCAAAAAGCTCACATCTCGACACCTGGAAACCCACAACCAGTCTGACTATCGCAAATACATGCTCGAACCTGACCTTTGAAGAAACGCACGGCTGCACGCGTCCCGCACAAAGCCCTCACCACACCCATCCGCAACACCCCCACTGTGAATGGCTCCCCCACCGCATGAGCCCTTACGGTACCATCGTACTTTCCCTCCCCTCCCACGCTTCCCAATATCCCCATAACCGCGCACACTCGCCACTTCCACACTGGGAAAAGTAGCTTAGCGCCTCCCACACAACTTGCCGTGTTGATCATCTCACCTTCCACTTACCTCCCCCGTCTTTCCTTCACCACACTCCAAACCCACACAAGTACTGCAAGCTACCTTCCCAAACCAGCTCAACGCAACTACCCAACCCAAGCCCAAACCCAGTCACACAAAACAAGTACGAAGATGTACACCTCAACCATCCTCCTCATCGCGGCTGCGGCTACTGCTGCCGTCGCCGCCCCAGTAACCACCATCAAGACAACCAACCCCACCAAGACCATCGCCGTCGCGCCTGCCTCAGCCGGCATGGTCGACACAGAGGGTCAATGCATTCATCCTCCACGCGACGCCGCTGCTGACATCGCTTCTGTCGCCACGGCCGCTGCTCGGGTCGCTGGAGGGGAGACGCAGGAGGAGTACAACCATAAGCTTGTCAAGATGGATAAGGCGAGGGAGCATGGTGTTGTTTGCATAGTCTTGTAGAATATACTGTGAGTACCATGCACAGATGAATGAGATGATGGGAGCTGACACAGTGTCAGTATGGCGCGACTACATGATGGATGGCGAACTAGACGATGGATGGTGGGCTATATGAGGGAGTGAGAGAATGGTGATGAGTACATGGCGTTAGGTGCACCATGGAAGTTAATTGCGATCACGGACATGGACACTGGGCTCTTAGAGGCTTTTCATGGAGGGAATTCAATCCAATTCAATACTGCAGACATCTCTCACTATTGTTATGCCTTCGTGAAACAGCCTCATCTCATAGTCTATTACCCCTGCTTGTACGTGATCTCGCATCGATGCGCTTTCGGTGCAATGAGGAAGAAGTTCTAATATCATATGTTAGCGCATATATTGCAAGCACCCTGCAAACGCACGACTTACCTCAAATTCCATACTTTCGGGTGTCGTGCTCGCCGCCAATCGGATACCGCGGCACTCCCGGAAGAAGAACGCAGTAGCGTATCGAAGTTCCATGCGCGCGAGATGAATACCGATGCATGACCGCGCACCAGCGCCGAAGGGGTGGAAAGCAAGTTTCGCCTCAGGTGATTGCGCTTCGGCGACCATTTCCTTGTTGGCGATCCAGCGTTGCGGGTTGAAACTACTTGAGGTCAGCTTGTATTGCAAGATGAGATCAGAGTGTGCGACTCACGTCAAAGGGTCGCTCCAGATCTTAGGGTCGCGATGCAACGTATACGCTTGCGTGTCGACCGTAACGCCTTGCGGAATGTAGTGACCAGCGAACTTGGTACCACCTTGAGGCACCACTCTAGGCAGACTACTTGGCGCTGCACCGTAGAGGCGTAGCGTCTCTTCGATGACTGCATTTAGCAGCGGAAGTTTGATGAGATCGTTCTCGGTAAATCCTTCGTCCAGCGCTGCAGCTTCGGCCTCGAGCGCCGCTTGCAGCTCCGGTCGTTGCAGAACCGCCCATGTGAGATACGTCAGAGTCACACCCGTTGTGTCAGTGCCTGCGATAATGACGTTCATGGCTTCGATTCTGACGTCCATGTCGTCAATGTGGCCCTCTCCTTCTTTCTCGCAGTCCTCGATGACCTTTGCGAAGATGTTATTCTCGCCGGTACGTGATCGTGCTGTTTCAACGGCTTTGCCTGCGCCGGCAAGAATGAACTCGTTCGCGTTGAACATCTCTTGTATCGCAGGGATTGGAACGAAGCGCAAGAGGCGAAGGAAAGGCATCTCGACCATAATTCCAGCTCCCATGGTCAGCTTCTTCAGCACGCGCATGAATTGATTTTGCTATAATATGTCAGTTCTGACTGTTGCATCTCTGATCGAGTCCTCTTACCTCTCCCGATTCTAGCATGTTGAAAGAGTCGCCGAATGCAAGGTGGGCGCTGACATCCGAGGCAAGAAGCATCCACCAGTTATAGACATCGGCTGTCGCTTGCGTAGCATCCGCCTTGATCTTCGTAACAGCCGTAAGCGCCTTGTCCCTGACGACGGACTCCCAATGCTCGACAAGGTATGTCCTGCTAAATGATCTCGACAACAGCTTCCTCCGCGGTCCATGCTCACGTGGGTCAAGCATGGTGAATACACCGGCCTTGGGGAAGTTCGCGAGTCGGAGGTACCATTCGCTCTTCATGTACTTGGTGCCAATCTTGTGGATCTCTTTGAAGGCATCTAGGTCTGCGACGGCGACCTCGTTAGGCGACAGTCGCACGATGGGCCCATACTGCTCGTGGAGGGAATCGATGTAGAAGATTCGTTGTCCCGTCACGACTGCGCGCTTCAAGCGATAGTGAGTGAATCGAGTGTACCAAGGACCTGGCAAATGCTTGGTCCGACAGGTAAGGCCAACGTAGAGAAACTGTAGACGTTAGTCGCTGGGTTGCGAAAGAGGCATCTTCGCTGGATTACCTTTGCTACCAGTAAACCAATTGCCAACAAGAATGCGTAAGCGAACGAAGCCATGCTGTGATATAGGCCCTCGAACGGAAGACTTCAAACCTAAGTTGCTGGCGGTATGAGCAATCGAGGCTCTCAGGTGCTATCAGATGACAGAAGCTGCGGTACGAATCTGGTGCTGGCACAGTAATTAAACCAATACTACGTAGTTACATAAGTAAATTCCACCTGCGTGCGCACGAAGTACGTTCTCTTATCCATCTTCCTTTCTTCTTTCGCTAGACCAAACATGATCAGCGGCCATTGTGTACCGGCATTGCTTTTGGCGTCACCGGTGTACGGTCAACTGGGGACCCGACATTCATGGCTAACGGTCCCTGTAGGTTCCCGAGCATCGTCGCGCAACTCTGTTGTGGCATTGCATGGGTGCACGCGAGCAGTTGTCAGATCGAAGCAGGCCAATAAGAAGAACCGGCCGCTTGTCCACACACTTCAGCGAGATGAAGCCTTGCCAAATCGAGTATAACGTAGATTGACCGCACGGAAACCTGCATGGTGCTCGTTGGTGGAGGGAGTGGAGGACGGATAGAGTCCGGGTCGTTCATCCAAGATACAGGATTTTCTGGGCATGGCTACTATGAATAGATGCACTGTCTTTTTGCGATCTTCCTTTGCTGCCTGGATTTGTTTAACGAAGGCTTTGGTTGCGGTGGTATGCTTGATGTGATCACAAGCCGCACCCCGCGGAAGCCGAAGCCGGTGATCGTGGTAACAGGTCGATAACTGTAGGATTCGCGGGGTGTGCCTGGCCTACTGCCCCAATCTCCGCATGGCGGGGCAATACTGTAGATATTCGATGTGGGAGCTAGTTAGATGTTAGCAGAAGCGCTAGAGGCACATTACCGCCATGATCGCCGTTGGCTTACCGCATGCTTCGACTCAATCTTTACCCCATTCAATACCGAACTCTACACAAAAGCTCACCCCTGTAACCCGCCGAGGCGTGTGCGGTATGGCGTTGATTAAGCGAGTATCTTCGGGCGGTGCGTCGGCGCACAATCGGAAGAGGGGGCGCATGCTGAGAGGGTCTGCGGGAACGCAGCCGGGCATCAAGAAAACCGTGGCCGAGTTGTGTGGTGCGGTACGGCTTGCTTCTGTGGCTTCGTCGGGATGATCGGGCAGTGAAGACGCGAAAGGCGGTCGGAACTTTGAAGGCGCGAACGGCGATCAGGTGCGGGTGCAGACGAGATACGCGATTGAGTCGACTTGCAACGAGAGCTCCAAGCAACAAGAGTATATGATGTCCGCATCATGCACATATGAAGCATCGCGAACGCCCCATGTTGCCTCTTGGTCAGTACTCCCAAAGAAAGCAGGCTATTTCATGCTAGTAAGATGCCTCGTATTCGGCCGGGCTTCAGCACACTTCGCTAGCTGTACCGGCTTTTCTACGGACTGGCAAGCACCAAGCTCGAAGACGTCGCTGAGACCAGGCCCCTGGATCTAGCGAGTGATTTTCGCAGGCCGTTGAGTATCGCGGCGCATGCTGGCTGTCTCGATGCGTTGACCCCGCGCAGTCGACCATACGCGCCATGCCGAAGATCATGGCTGAATGCGGATTCCGGCGACTGAGGATGTGCAGACCGCAATAGACGCTGCAAACGGGTACCCGATGTTTACTGCGAATGTGACAGTGACGGGCTGGTGATGATGCTGAATGTGAGATGAACGAAGGTGGTTGAAGTGAGGGGGCACATGTATCACCACGGAAGGAGGTCGTGACGTCAGTCATTACCTGTCGCGGAAGCGGGTGTTACCCGTCAGTCCCCAGCGAAGCATTGTCTCGGTCAGCGAAGCCTTTCTTGGGGTATATTATACCGATGTTAAGATATTGCCTTGCTGCTAAGGCTGGTTGTTGCCGCGGGGGTATGTCACGTGCAAAGGGGTATCACGAGCTCCTTCCTGCGGCAGCAATCCCAAAGGCTACCCCTTCCCAGGTTTTTCACACAGCTGAAACATAGACACCAATCATGCGATCACTCGATGATTATGTCAGAGATGACATCAATGATTGTACTATCCCATAGTATATCAAGTAAATCCACGAACTTTGAATCAAACGAATCCATCGCGAATCATCACACACTGTACGACCATGAAAGCCGCCTTAATCCTCACCCTCCTAATTCACTTCCTAGCTCCTAGAACTCACAGTCCTCCTCCTCATCCCTTTCATCCCACGCCCTCCTGAAGGTCTCAAACACCTTCACCCTCGTCCTTCTACCATCCATCTCACCCTCCTTCTCCCTCTTCCTCTCCACCCCCCAAACCCCACCCCTCCTCCTCTTACTCTCGCGCTCAATCTCTTCCTCAACATAAACCTCACTATGCCTTTTCCGCATCAGCGGACCAACAACATGAGGCGGCGTAACAACGAAGCTGGCTTCGCCGAATGCGGGGTCCGGCTTAGTGATTAGTTTTTTCTTTGGTGGTGGTGAGGGGATAGATGGACAAGAAGTTTTGGAGTTGGGAATGTATGCGAAGGGTGAGGCGGTGGGGGAGGTGAAAGAGGGTGATGGGGAGGGGGAGGATGAAGGGGAGGAATAAAATGATGAACGACGCTTGAGGCCGCGGGTGGAGGGTGTGATGGGTTCGCGGTGGGTTTCTAGGGACGTCTTGCGCTTTTTGTTGATATGGGGTGGCATGTCGTACGTCTTGCCATCGCTTGTGGGAGCGTCGACTCGTGGATGCGTATGGTTCGTGGCAGTGTCATCGTTCGTCGGAGTGTTCGCATCAGTAGGCCATCCCGTAGCATCCCCATCCCTAGCACGCTTCTCCTGCGTATGAAACGGGTCCTCTGGAACCGACCTCTCGCGCTGCTTGCGCTCGTGGCGCTTCTGCAGATCGCGTACTAGATACTCGATAGTATCATGACCCTCTGGATCAGGATTTTCAGCTCGCTCACACGCACGCCCATAGCCCGGGTAGAGAAAGCCAGCCACAGCCTCAGTAACGCCCGTCTTGAGCTGAGGCGCAGCACGAATAACTTGCTCCACACAGCAAGCTAGGAAAGCTACATCCTTCTTGTTTCTGAACTCCCTGAGCCTCATCGAGTCGGCCGGCTGGAAGGCTCCGGTAAGGATCCTGCGGACGATGTCGTGACAGGCTGGGCAGTTGAATTGCTTGTGGCTGTGGTCTTGCTTCTTGCAGTTGGCGCCACATGGGTTCGTGCTGTCGATCCAGTGGCCGCAGAGGAGGAGGTGCTTGAGTTGGTTGCTGCAAGGTTTCATACCGGGGTAGTCTGGTATGAAGTGCCGTGAACCGTGGAAGGTGCCCATGTAGCCGACTGGGAGGTTGCTCTCGAAAGTGTCTTCTTCAATGACGATCTCGTCTACCCAGTTTGACGCGGACGGTGATGTGGTGGTATTATGCTGGTGGTTTTGTTGTTGCGTTGGCTGTAAGCGAGGTCGATCGTCACATTCCGGGGGTGTGGGAGTGACGTTGTTGCGTGACTGTGTAGTCTCATCATCGTCTTCGACAGTTGCGTTGTGAATGTCCCCTTGGGACGTTTCCTCCGCCAAACGCTGGGTGTCATCATGATTGCAAGGAGGCGTTATCGGAGGTGTCAGAGGTGTCAATGGGATCGCATCCGGCATATCAATGTCGCCAGAAGTTGTAGTAGAGTCGCCTGGGTTAGTCGGGTTGCCAGCCGGCGGACCGGACATGGGAAATGGTGGCGGCAGGATATTGCTGATCTGCGATCCTGACGGCTCAATAGTCTTCATTTGAGAAAAGAGATATCCTGACAGGGCCGCATTGGGCGGTGGAGACGGTGAGGTCTTGTACACGCCGCTCGCGTATCGTGTAGGAGGCGCTGCGTGATTGCAGGCCGCGCGATACGCTGGACCGAACTGGAGTTTGCGATCTAGTGCGTTGGATGTAGAGCCGTTGCTCTCGGATGTCACATCTTTGTCGTGTGTGTTACTGGAGCTTTCGATGACGCTCGTGTCAGCGGCGCCCCAGAAACTCAGAAGATTGCGGAGGGGATTGAACATTCTTGCTATCGGCAGGTCGCCTTCTCGTGGAATTGTGGGTGGAGGAAAGTTGATGTTCGTGGGCAGCGTATCAAAAAGATTGGCGGAGTGGAAAAGTGTGCTGTGAACAACGGGTCGAGATATATTGCGTCGGGTGGGGCTTTGGCGTTATTGCAAATAGTGCCAAGAGCAGTGAATATGGCGTTTCGACTTTGGTGCATGACGTTGTGTCAATACTATTGTGGGAGAGTCAGTCCACATTTTCACTGATTGCGCCGCCACGGAACATAATCCAGACTTGTCATGCGCTATATGAAAGATTTTGCGCAATGTTTCAGGGACATGCAATATTGCTATATGCGGCCATCTAATCTATTTAGTGATCTCTTCCCCGGCGACCTTGGGATGCTGTAAATTAGCCTCATTTGGCTCATTGCTCTTCATGGCCTCCAAGACTTCGAGACCCACATCCGCTCGGGGTCCAGTAAAGTTCTTGCGCCCGTCGATGAACCATTGGAAAGTACTAATGAATAGTATGATGCCGAAAGCGACGACACAGTAGTCTAGAATTGTTAGTCAAGTCTAGGCGCAATCATACTGATACTTACTCATGCTAGAAGCTGAAACAGGGAGCTCAGGTGGGAAGAGGAACAAAACTGTGGTGATGATGGTGTATGCGACACCGATCAAGTTGGCGATCCAGCCTAAAGGTCCAGGCAGAACGAAGGCCCTAGGTCCAAGCATCTTTCTGCCGCGGCAGACGTTGATTGCGACGGGAATGGCGTAGCTTACGCCCAAGGCGACGACTGAGGATGAGATGAGAGCGTTGAAAGCGCTACTGGACCCGATCAAGATCAAGCCAAAGAGAATAGTCAGAGTTGCAGCCAGGATCAAAGCATTGAGCGGTTGGCCAAGTCGTGGATGTACCTTGGCGAAGACCCTGGAGAACGGAAGGCCACCGTCTCGAGCGAATGCGTATGTCATGCGACTAGAGGTAGTCATGATGGCAATCTCCGCGAAAAGGATGCAGATCAATGGGAACATCAAGAGGCATGCGGCTCCAGCTTTGCTACTTGTGGCGTTGTACAATATTTGTAGGAGGGGGCCAGGGGCAGCAGAGATGATGGCTTCCGCGTCGCCGCCGGACACAAAGAGTAGAACCATGAGGAAGATGAAACCTGTGACGGTCCCGATGCAGACGCAGTAGATCATGATCTTTGGCCCCTCAACCGACGCATTCGGAATCTCTTCAATCATGTGCGCGACTGCATCGTAGCCGGTGAGTCCAAAACCGCCCTGGAGCAAGCCCAAGAGCCAAGCGACACCGTCCGGCCAGCCTGTCTCGTTAATGAACTCGGTAAAGACGAACTCAGCGGAAGCGTAATTGGGAGACGAGCATGCTAGGGCTGTGATGCAGACAATCGCAAACCCGCCGATGGACCAGATGAATGCGCCACGATTAACGTATGGCAAGAGGTTGTTCATGAACGCATTGATGACGAAGGCGATGATTGTCCAAGCGACGTAAATCAGCCAGACCTGCCATGCGTGCAGCGTGAACTCAGGATGGAACAGAGCGATGAGACCGGAGATGAGTTGAGACGCGAGGAGGCCTCCTGAGGTAGTCAACGCGAGCCATCCGGATACGTTAATCCAGCCAGTGATGAAAGAGGCGAGGGGAACCCATTTCCGCGGGGTGATGACGGCGACCCAATGGTATCTGCGATGCTGTGAGTTGACGATGCGTAAGCTGACCGGACATACTTACTGTCCACCAGCAGTTGGATACGCTGAGAGAAACTCGGCCAGCGATGCGGCCAAACACAAGTTGCAGATGCCAGCAGTCACAAGTCCCCAGATGACGCTTGTGGAGCCACCAGATGGCAATGCCAGTCCGATTGACGACGAAAGCGCGGTCCACGAGTTCAGGATGGCGAAAGCGAGTCCAAGCATGGACAGGAGACTGAAGTTGCGCTTCAACTCGCCCTTGTGTCCGAGGGCCTGCAATTGGGCTTCATCGTCCAGCGTGTGCCGTTCAGTGGACTCCATGATGTCGTATGCAGGCGGATGTCGGGTCTGCGCGACGTGATACCAATGACCGGAAGACAATGATCGAGTAAACAGTCTCTATAAACACATGGACATGAAGATGCGATCCGGAAGGATGCGCGAAGGCCGTGCTGTTAGCCATGCGGCCATTGATGTCGGCTGCACAGAACGGGCATGGCCACCAGGTTGGTGGAAGCTTGTCAATGCTTACTTGTGGTTCATCCACAGATAAGAGGCCCGGTAGTGGTCTCGACAGGGGCCAAAACATGGGGTAAAAGCCAATCAGACGCCATAGCGACGACTATCTCGCGCTGACGAAACGGTGTTACATCGCGCAATTGCACACAGGCCTAACTGGTGTCGGCAAGCGGACGCGACCGTATCTAGCCGGTAATTGCGCGTCAAGGGCGTGTTCTTGGAGACGGTCTTGGAGATATGTGACGAGATCAGATGACAGCGAGTGAAAGGCATTGAAGAGTGCTGACGGAGTTTGAGGATGGGGCCCGGGCGTCAGCTTGGCGGTCACGGCTTCTGCCGAAACACCATGATGGGCCATGGACGCATACGTCACTTGTTGACGACTCGATTCCCATCGTCAACAACCATTGCCGGAATCCGCAGCGCTTTCATGCAACTCACTTCGTAAACCTCGACGACACCATCTCCTTAGATGACGCAGGCGTGGAACAGGATGCGCAACAATCGCTCGCAAGACTATGCTCCGCTCCCAATGAGCGAGAAGGAGCCATTATCAAACAGATCTAGACGCGAACAACGACCAAAGGGCCTTGGGCGGCGGATATTACTTGTGGTTGGCGCATGTGTGGTCCTGTATTGCGTTCACGGGTATGAACCACTCACATGCTGAAGCACGCAAAGCTGACAATCGCAAGTCTCTTCACATTCTCTCGTCCCAAGAAATCGTGTGACACCATCGATGAAGGCTACCGATGTAGTCCGAAGAAATCGCACTTCTGGGGGCAATACTCGCTTTGGTATTCGGTCCCCTCAGACATCGACGTAGCTCCTCCCAAGGGCTGTGAAGTCACCTTTGCGAACGTCCTCTCTCGCCACGGCGGTCGCGACCCAACACTGGGCAAATCGATCGCCTACCACATCCTCCTAGCCGAAATACAGAACACGACTACATCCTACCCGAAGGAATTCGAGTTCCTGAAGGATTATGATTATACGCTGGGCGCCGATGAGTTGACAGATGCTGGAAGGCAGGAGATGGTCAACTCGGGGGCGCACTTCTACCAGCGATATCAGAAGCTGATCGACGAGAACGTGCCGTTCGTGCGATCAGGAGGCCAACATCGTGTCGTCGAATCTGCGGACAAGTGGCTCATGGGCGTCGCGCAGTCGCTCAAGGAGGAGCCGCGAAACATCGACGTGGTGATCCCAGAAGGGCCGACATGGAACAACACCCTTTCTCACGATGTCTGTCCCGCCTTCGAAGGCGGCCCGCACCACGGTCTCGGACTCAGGGCACAGCAGGTCTGGGCCGACAAGTTTGTCCCGCCCATCCAAGAACGCATCAACTCAGCCCTTGGAACGAACCTCAGCGCGACATCCATCGTCTACCTGATGGACATGTGCCCCTTCGATACTCTAGCACACCCGTCTGCGAAGATGTCCAACTTCTGCAAGATCTTCAAAGTGAAGGAATGGCGCGAGTATGATTACTTCCAGACGCTGGGCAAGTACTACGGTTACAGCGTCGGCAACCCCCTCGGTCCTACTCAGGGTGTCGGATACGTCAACGAGCTGTTGGCGCGCCTAACTAGCAAGCCCGTGGAGGATAACACCAACACGAACCGCACGCTCGACTCCGATCCCAAGACGTTCCCTCTCGACCGCAAGGTGTATGCCGACTTCAGCCACGACAACGACATCAGCGGTGTTCTTGCTGCGCTCGGCCTGTACAACAAGACGAAGCCGCTGTCGAATACCACCATTGAGGATACAAAGAAGACACATGGCTATTCAGCAGCGTGGAGTGTACCTTTCGCAGCCCGTCTCTATGTAGAGAAGCTGCAGTGCAGGCATGCGAAGGAAGAGTCGGTTCGTGTCATTGTGAACGACCGCGTACACCCACTGGAGTTTTGCGGCGGCGACAAATTCGGAAGGTGCACGTTGAGTAAATTCGTGGAGAGCCAGAGCTTTGCGAGAAGTGGTGGCCTTTGGGATCAGTGTTACGAGTAGACGGGCTTTTCATTACAGCATTCATACGACCACTGAGCATTTAGCATCGCATCGCGTCATGAGCATCTTCATAGATCAAAGTTAGAGAAAGACACATCCGGATATGTGCAAAACAATGGCATTCATCCCAACAATCTGAAACACGATTGTTCTCCGGTTATGCTTTCACCGATGTCTCGCTTGTGGCACACATACAAGCTGTGAACGACCAACAATCACTCTGACAAAGCTGGTAGCTGGTAACTCATTTGTGGCATCACGAAAACGGAGGAAACAGCAAATCCTCTGGAACGAACTTGCGCACCCAATCGACATCGCGGCATGATGACCGCAGTAGCTATCCTGTACCACAGAATGGACCTAAAGATCAGGATACCGAAGCACATATGGAACGACTTTCAGCCCGACGCACTTACCAAGAGTCATAGCCCTCCAGACAGAACAAGGCTCAAGATCAGAATACCGGCAAACATATGGAACGCCTACCAGCCCTCAACCAAGACAAACCCAGCAAAGAAATCACCACGGAAGCTGACCCTCAGATTACGATTTCCACCAGCACCTCCTCCGTCCAACAAGATTCGCGAAGTCAAGGGCAGGAACCGCAAAGACCTAGGGAACAATGCTACGTCCTGCAAGGTAAAGCTGTTCCGCTTCCATCACGGTGGCCCACATCGACAACGGAAGGGGAAGTGGCAGAATATGATTACATATGAGCAGCCGTGTCTTCATTTGACGTGTATGAACTGCTGGAGGTGGCATGCGCATCTTCTCCGGGGCACAACATCGTTACTAGATGATTCAGAGGTTCAGTACCGAGATAGTCACGACGCCTATAGCCTTTTGCATGCCAGGGAAGGGGCAATTTAGATAGCGTAATAAACGGATGAACCACAGAAATGACGAAGAATGAGAAAAGAAATTAATATGTTACAAGAAAATCATAGGTCGTCACGTTAGAGGCTCAAGTTGAGGTACCCTTTCTCCTATCTCCGGCGGGGCATGCGGTCATCCTCGTGCCGTTTTCACCATGTCAGAAGGCTCGGAACGGTTCCGCGACGACGCAAAATTATTCGACAACACTGCAAATGCCATCCACCAAGATACAATCGCATAAGCCGATACACACATAACCACCAGCACTTACACGTACCTCTTCCAATCCAACTCCCATCCATCGCACCTTGCCGCATACCCCACCTTTGCAGTCGGCATCTTAGTAAGGATCCGCCAAGAGACCTTGCAGATCCCTGTCACAGGCTCGGACAGCCCACCTAAAGCGATCCAAAGCATGTCACATATCAGTCATCTCCGCCCTACCCTTTTGCGGCGTATATAGCTTCCCATGTGCGCCCCTCCCAATGTTCGACGCGGACTCTCGAATCGACACTCCTCCCCATAATGGCGCAAATGGCTAGGATACGGGCGGGTCCGGCCGCGCTGCGACTGCGACGGGCGGCTGGTGGCGATCAGCTATTACGACCGCTTGCACACCCGGCTACGCGACTGTCGATAGGAGCATTATGGAAGAGAAGCATTGCGACGAATGCGGCTGTTCAGGAGCCTGATGTGAATTTCCCCGCGGGTGTTCCTCCAGTTTCGGTGCCGGCGACGTCGAAGGTAGATGAGAGGAGGAAAGCGATCAAGAATGCGAAACCTTTTTCGGATTTCTTGACGGATACATTCAACAGGCAGCATGACTATCTCCGGATTAGCATCACAGAGCGCTGCAATCTGCGGTGTCTGTACTGCATGCCAGAGGGTGCGCTTCGATAATCCTCATAGCAAAGGAATCTGCTAACAAATAGACAGAGGGGATACCGCTATCGCCGTCAGCCAACATGCTCACCACGCCCGAGATCTTCTACCTCTCCTCCCTCTTCGTCTCGCAAGGCGTCACCAAGATCCGGCTCACAGGCGGCGAGCCCACGGTCCGTCGCGACATCGTCCCGCTGATGCAGCAAATCGGCAGTCTGCGCCCGAAAGGCCTGCGCGAACTCGCCCTCACGACCAACGGCATATCGCTACACCGGAAACTAGACGCAATGGTAGAAGCCGGTCTGACCGGCGTCAACCTCAGTCTGGACACACTCGACCCCTTCCAGTTCCAGATCATGACCCGGCGGAAAGGTTTTGACGCCGTCATGAGGTCCATCGACCGCATACTAGAAATGAACAAACTCGGCGCGAACGTCAAACTCAAAGTCAACTGCGTCGTCATGCGCGGCCTGAACGAGCGCGAGATCCTGCCTTTTGTCGAAATGGGCCGCGAGAAGGATATTGAAGTGCGCTTCATTGAATACATGCCGTTTGGTGGGAACAAGTGGAGCGAGAACAAGATGATCAGCTTCCAGGAGATGTTGGATATTATTCGGACAAAATACCCTGGGCTGAGACCGGTTCCAGGACACAAAAACGACACGAGCAAGACGTACGAGGTCCCTGGTTTCGTAGGCAAAGTCGGCTTCATCACGAGTATGACGAACGACTTCTGCGGCACCTGCAATCGCCTGCGGATAACGAGCGACGGCAACCTCAAGGTCTGTCTACACGGCAATGCGGAGGTGTCGTTGCGAGACGTTCTGCGCAAGGGCAACAATGGCGAGCCCATCGACCAGGAAGCCTTTGAGCGCATCAAGCAGATCGAAATGGACAGACACGAGGGCCGGCTGAGCGACGAAACGATCCTGGGCTGGGGCCAACGCGAGCGCGAACTTCTCGATGTTGTTGGAGCTGCTGTGAAGCGGAAAGCGGAAAAGCATGCTGATCTGGATGACCTTGCCAATATGGAGAATAGGCCTATGATTTTAATTGGTGGGTGAATTTGGACTCCTTTCTCTTCTTCTCTCACGACCTTCGAGATGTACTCCCCTTCGCCATTGTCCGGTTTTCCTCTCACGAAATGTCATGGATGGATGTTTGATGATACCACGGCGATCACTGCATAGATGGCGTTTTGAGCGATGTCGTTTCTTCTGACTCTCCACTGTCGCTTGGACTTGGGTATTTGGCTATATACACCAATCATACATCCGATTTTATCCTCATCTGAGACCGTCCAGTCTGTGATGTATCTTGCTAACCGCGTGTAGATGACAAGCCTTTGTCCAGTCTGAATGCGCAGTGGCCTGCGTTGCGGAGACGGTCTTTCAATTACTCGAATCGTGTACTGCCCCGATCTAGCATACATAGCCCGCCGTTGCCCTTTCTACACAGCATGTCCCATACCACGCCTACAACTGTCCGCGCCTTCTCATCATCACCCACACCCGCCGCGAAGAAAACATATCAGCTAAAACGCCTAGCCAAAGCAAAGAAGCTCCTAAAGACCGTAAACGCGACCCAATCCACAGACGCCTTTGGCATACGCGAGTTCCTAGACGATGTCCAAGAACCAAACGAATCCGAGAAAATCCTTCGCGACATCGAAAAAAAGATCGCAAGCCTACAACGCCGCATCCTCGACGTTGAGAAAGACACACCACTCGCTTCTGGATCCCGCGCGCCCGCCTCATCCCTGACCTTCGAAGTGCGTACATCGGATGCGTTCGATGCCGTCGGCACCAAAGTCGATAATGCAACGGGACCATCGAAACGGCCAGGCCGGCATGAGCGCGAGCTCGCCCGGCGACGAAAACAAGAAAGATTTCGAGACGAGAAACTAAATGAACTCGGCATCCTCTTAGATGACTATAGAAAACAAGCCGCAGTCCTCAAAGCGGAAGCGGAGAAACAAGCTGAGATGCGCAAACGGAGGGAAGAAGTTCTGGCGAAGAAACGCGCGTTACTCCAGCAGCTAAGCGCATATGAAGAGGAGGAGCGGAGAGCCAGTCTTGTGAGGAGGACGACGAAGAATGAAGGACAGGGTTTGGCTGAGGGGTTTGATCTTGATGATGTGCTGGATGACGCTATGGGTAGGGTTAAGAAGATGCCGATGCATCCGCCGAGGGAGGAGAGAGGGTATAAAGAGAGGGAGGTCAAGGATGTGGATGTGCCGAGGGCGAAGAGGCTGATGAGACCAGCGGGGACGGGGGCTGTGTCGGTTTTGGCGAGGAAGAACGAGGACGATGCGTTGGTGGATCCTATTATGGACAAGGAACGAGATCATGGAACAGTGGTAGACGACGGCTCTACATCTATGCCAGAGTCTGATCCCAGCGACTTTCTTTCATCCGGACCAGCGCAGGAACAGACACCGACCATGGGAAAGCGAGTCGATGTCGCTGCAGTCGAAGATGTCATTCCTCCAGTCGCAAACGCAGGAGATCCCTTCCCTCCCGCGTCTCTCCAACAAAAGAAACCAAAGGACGCCAACAAAACTATCAAGAAGGACATTCCACGCTCTCCATTATCTTCACCGACATCGAAGGATGACTTACGTCTCAACATCCCCCCCTCAGGTATCATCCCCATCGACGCCGATCTCATCATTTCCTTCGACGCCCCCGTTCCCCACCTCCAACAACAAGTCCTCGCCCTACGCGATCGCCTCAAGTCCTCTTACCCCCGCATCGACAACCTCCCCTACGACGTGTGGACCTCGTCCAACAAACGCACTTTGCAGACCTGGCTCAAGATCTTGATCAGTCGGTGGAACGCGCGGTTCGACGATGTTCACGGCACGGGCCAAGTTGATAAAGGGATTGTGGATGATAGGGTCAAGGAGGTGCTGGATTCTATGGTTCGCGAACATGATTTAGATAATGACGCGGCGGAACGCATGGCCATGCGCTGGCATGAGGCGTTTGAGAGGAGGTGGGATATGAGGGGGGATGCGGAGGGGGTGTTGGATTGGGAGGAGATGGAAGCTGGTGGTATGGGCTTCCTTAGTATTGAGACAGAAGAAAGTGGGATTGAAGTGCCGGTGGGTGGGATTGGTGAAGAGGTGGATGTCGAGAAGAAGCAGACAGAGTCAGCGCCCGTGAGATCAGCAGGGAGTGGCGTAACAATGCCGGGGGTGATGGGACGGAGGATGTATTCGACGTCGACGAGGAGGGCGTTCTGGTCTTGGTCGAAAATTCTGGGGACTGAGGGGAAGGATGAGAAGAATGATGAGGTGAAGCAGGGGACTAGGGTGGACGCCAAACCAGACGCGAAAACCGATGTGAAAACGCACCAGAAGCCTGACGCCCAGTCCATTGCCGAACCAGTAGTCAAGCCCGAGGTACAATCTCAACCTGTAGAACCCCCACCATCCCTACCACACCTCACCCCCTCCGGATCCGCCCACATGGTCTCCGTGTCCGCCAAAGAACATACCACCCGCACCGCCATCGCCGTAGGAACCGTGTATTTCACCAATGCCGTCCCCCTCCGCCTCATCCGCTCAAACGCCAACAAGAAAGGAGATGTCTTGGGTACATCACGCATAGCCGGCATAATGGCCGCAAAAAAATGCCCAGACCTAATCCCTCTATGCCATCCCATCGCCTTAACACACGTTAGCGTTGAACTACGACCCTTCGGCGACGTCAAACACCCTGACGACATCAAGGAGCGCGATTGGTACCCGGAGATGAAGGTGGATAAGATTGGCCATGGCGGTGTGGCGATTGAAGCGAAAGTGCAGTGTACGGGGCCGACAGGCGTGGAGATGGAGGCTCTGACGGCGGTTATGGGCGCCGCGCTTAGTGTGGTGGATATGTGTAAGGCGGTTGATCGGATGCAGAGGGTTGAGGGGGTTAGGGTTGTGGTCAAAGAGGGGGGTAAGAGCGGGGTGTGGAGGGAGAGGGGGTGGAGGAGTTGGCAGGAATGATTTTGTGAGATGTGCTTGGAAGAGGGTTTGTACGATGGAGGGTGTAGGATTATGTGATGTATGTAGCGCATTTGAATGATGGGAGAATACGGCACTTTCTACACTTTTTACTATTACTTAGAGGGACCACAGGTATACCCTCAAGCTTGCTGGCGACAGTATTCTCATGTTTGTCAAATACCTTATAAAGCAGTATGTAATCTTCATGTCAAGCTTACATCCGTATCGTGTTGATGGCAAGCTTGCGTGTAGCCCATAAAGCGAACGCGCAATACAAAGTTTGTCGAATGGGCGAGTATGGCGAATAGCTCGACCTGACATGTGAAACAGACGCAGGTGAGGCACCAGACGATCTCAGGGCTGCGATAGTGGGAGCCCGATGTCTAGGGCGCCACATGATTGGCCGTCGGACCACATATGCCGCAGTCGTCCGTGCGGCCCGGGCAAGGGTCCAACTTGTGACATCACTTTCTCAACATCAGTGGGGGACGGCCTCGAGACGTCACTCGCCCGCGCACCTCGACTGCGCGCGATCTCCAGCTCTGCTACCGTTATGAGTATAGACAAACGCTTAGGACCCTGAGCGCCTGAAACTGCGGGTCCCAAAACAACTTGTTGCATGCTACCGTAGGGTTTGTCGGTGTGCCCTCTTTATAGGGCGCATCGCGCCTTCCCAAAGCAGGGTTTGCCTGAATTGCGCGAATTCAGGACGACGACAACTGCCACGCAATTTCCTCCGTCACTGTCATCCAGCACGCCATTGCAGTCCGCTCTTCCCGCATCGACGACGTCTTCACCACCACGCCAGCTCTCATCACATGCGCATCTGAACAGCGACCTCATCATCGCCATGACGAGCGTACTAAGAGGCGGCTTCGGCTCGCCCAACGGTGCGCCATTAAACGCGACCAACTCAGGCACCGAGTTCGTCAACACCATCTGCCCACTTAAGAGCGCCCTCGATGGCTACGACAACACCCTCCCCTGCAGCAAGCAGAAGATCCACGTACCGCATAACTTCTGCGACGCCATGGCCGTCCGCGAGGAGGTCTATGGCGAGCAGGGCGTGCCTCTCGAAGCCGAGTTCGACGAAGACGATGCCCGCAGCTGGCACTGGGTCGCTTATGCTTCGGTTGCCACACATTCAACCCACCCTCCCAAAACACTGCGCCGCTCCGACTCTGGCAACACTCCGGCTGATGACGCTCGCCGCGCCTCAGCCACCGCCACCCGCGTCCCCGTTGCGACGATTCGCCTGATACCCCCACCCCACGGCCCAAACAAGTACGTCGACGAGGACAAGACGGACAAGCATGCCGATGCAGACCCACCTAGTGAGGAGCAGGAGAGCAAGCACCCGCCGGAGCCGTACATCAAGCTCGGCAGGCTTGCGGTACTAGCGCCCTACCGCAGTCTTGGCCTCGCGAAGCTGCTCATCAACGCCGCCCTCGACTACGCCGGCTCAAATCCAGATCTCATCTACCGGCCTCCATCTCCTACCGCGCTGGAGATGGCGCAGATACTCGGCAACAACAAGGAGCGGGAGATCACCTGGCAAGGCTTGGTCATGATCCACGCCCAAGCCAACCTGCAGAGCATGTGGGAGAAGCACGGCTTCCACGAGGAGCTCAAGAATGACGACGGCGACGTCGAAATACCAGCAGAACCCCACTGGATCGAGGAAGGTATCGAGCACGTTGGCATGTGGAAGCGGCTCCCGATTGAGAAGCGAAAGAGGTTGTCGCTCTCCTCCCTGGAGTCGGGTTCATAAAAGTTCCGTTTCTGTTTTACTTACACGTCGTTCTCAGTTTCTGGCTCGGAGATGTGCCAAGGATCTATTACAGGTCATGATGTTCACACTCATTTTATGTACGGAGGATTCAACATTGCTTATACCCCACACTGCACGATTACGACGATACGGCCGGATTTCAACATTATCTGTTTTGCGAATAGAAGAGAGGATGAATAGGCAAGACATAGAGGCGTCATGATACATGACTATAGACTAGTAACGAAGGCACTTTTCATCCACTTATTCATTTCCAAGAGTCCCGCGTTGTTTTCCCTTGTCTTTCCATCCCATTTCTATCTCCTAGCGAGCTGTCACGTCTTGGTATTCCTTCACTAGTGGGCATCTGGTCAAGCGAACTCGGGTCCTACGGGGTGCCTTGTTGGTATGCGCAACATACTACACATCGGCAACTTTCTGCCGTGCGGGTACTACTCGGCTGGTGACCTAGAGGAAGATGCACGACCATGCACCGACCGCACGCCGGCCTCGTCACATTCACAGAACGTGGGCACAGTAGTACAAACGGCACACTAAAGTACTTACCGCTGTCAGAAACCTTTCACTCAATGCTTTCACTAGATCAAGTCGCGAACGGAGCAATTGCGTACCCTACTTTCCTCCCGTCTCTTCCCTTTTTTACCACATCACAACGGGAACGCGCTGCTCTTCCACTGATTCACCAATGTCGTTTCGCACCACACTCGCTTCAATGTCCGAGGAAACCCCCACCAAGCCCGCTCTCCGGGCTCGTCTATTCAAGCTCCTCCGCCTATGCACTCGACCTGTCGTCATGCTTCCATTCCTGGGCATCATCGGTCTCATACTCGTTATCACACTCACTGTCCTTTTACCGCAAAATTTCCAACCCATCGAAATCCCCGGAGCGGACAACAATCACAATTATGAAGTCGCCGTCTCCCACTTCCCCTTGACAGATTCCACAAAAAAGGACCCTTATCACCCGGATGAAGACCGCAGGATCATGATCAGCCTATTCATGCCTATACCCAGGACGCGGTGTTCTGCATTGAGCCAGCAGGATTATATGCCGCCGCAAACCGCGAAGATAGCAAACGAGCAGTTCATTGAGGGCAACAAGCGTGACGCAGGTGTCTTCGAAACCATGACCTACTCGTCTTGTATCAGCAGCAGCAGCGGCGGCGACGTCAGCAAAGTCCCCGTGGTGATCCTAGAACCACACGTCGACACTAGCAGGTTGATGTACTCAACAATGGCGCGCTATATTGCCGCCAATGGTGCTGCGGTTGTAGTCGTTGATCACCCTGGCGACGCGTCAATCGTCCAGTTCACCGAGTCTCGTACCCGCGATCTGGAGACTGTGTATAACAGCGGCACGATCCCCCTATCCAACCTCTCTCCCCTCACAGAGTATAACCAAACGGTGCAAACCGCGGTCTCTACACGCATCTCCGACATCGCTTTCACACTTTCGCGAATAAACAGTTCCGCGTTACTCACGCACCAATTCTGGGACTTACACTTCACGGGTAGTCTAAACACAGACACCTACGGTATCATCGGCCACGGTCTCGGCGGCACAGTCGCAACCTCCCTCAGCCTATTCCCAAATCTCCTCTCCGCCACCAAGTCTCCCACCCCAAGATTCAGCATCAACCTCTCCGGCACACCCCCCTTGCTATCAAACGACACCCAAAACGCCCCCCTCTTCTTCTTCGGCCGCGCGGACTTCCGCCGCGAACACGATATAAACTGGCCCACCACCTGGAGCCACCTCACCGGCCCAGCCACGGAATTCGATCTCGACGACTCCGCCATCTTTGATGCCTCTGACCTCCCCCTCATCGTTGAGCTTGCAAGTAAAGAGGGCGGGAAAACGGGCCTCGTTGGCCGGGGTTTGAGTAAGGCGTATCCGGCGGAAGGGGCCAGAGCAGTGATTTGCTTTTTGGAGAATATCGTTAAAGAGATGGTGGGGTTGGAGGGGCAGGGGAGGAATGTAGGCAACTGTATTAGGGGGTTTGGGGGGGTTAGGCCGTATCCTGGGTATGGGAGGGGGAAGGGGAAATGACGGGCTTGATGCTTGAGCAACGTCGAACTAATAAGTCTGTCGCAAATAACGCGTGGGTATGGCTTGGTGAGGGGAGGAAGGCGGTGGCCGTAATGTCGTGATACTGGGCTTTTGTTGGGAAGAAAACGCCAGAGAGCTATGAGTATGGATTTTGTTACAACCTCAAAGAGTGTCAACGAGGTTAAGCTGTACTACTGCTCAAGATAAGATCTCAGAATTGGGGATGATATGAAGAGAGGTACTCTCGATTTCGGTCATCCCTTCACAATCGAGCAATAGCATATCGCTTATGTATGGTTGTATATATCTCAATGTAGCTAAGTCTTGCCGCCGTACGTCTTTTTTGGGCCTCTTTATCGGTGCAGAGAACATTGTTATACATCTGATAATTGTTTGAGCCAATCATCCATCAAGCCCTCTATGGCATCTCGATCAGCCAATAAATCACTAACGGTCAGCCCATTTCGCCCACGAGATTGATTGTGGAAATCGATTGCCTTTTCCCATGCATATGACGAGCCTGATATGATAAAGCAGAGCATGGCGGACTTGAGCTCTTCCGAGGTAAATTCGCCATCTTCGACATTCTTTAGAGATATAGAAGAAATTGCCCCAAGCGCAACCCCCATAATCCAGGGAGATAGACCAAGCAGTTCCTCTTGTAATGACCGAGGATGATCGAGAATGGACTCTTGCATCTTTACTTCGAGGAAGTGTTGCTTTTCCGTGTTGAGACCAAATAGATCCAAAAATCCGAAGGGGAAGAACGATTTCAGCGGCCCCGGGCGCTCCAATTGCTGACGAGAGTCCCGAGAAGATGCAGTGCCAGGGCTTACATCCATAGTTTCCTGTGAGATTGATTGCTTTCTACGCGATGCCAATATCAATCGCGTCAAATATCCCCTTTGACGAATTTGCCAGCTTGCCGGCATCAAGTCAAGTGTCTGTAGAAACATGTTATAAGCTAATGCTAAATTTTCCACACCGATCTTCCGCCGCGATTTGTTAGGGGCCACGGGGAGTAGAACACGGTATACATGTAACAGATGGTGTGTAAGAGAGGACAAGAGATGTTCCTTTGCAGAGATGTTCACTGACGGAGTATCCTTCATGGCAGAGATACCTTCGTACCAAACGTTTAGCAACATAACTGCAACAGAATAGTCTCCGGAGGAAAGCAAGTCATCAAGACTCTCGAGAAAGAATGTGTGCAGGTACCGATGGCAGTTCTCATGGAAGTCCAGGGCACCTTGCAGGTCTGGTCTGAAGAGGCAAATCAAGTTCTTCCATCTGACCATGCTGAGGGAGTAACTCCAAAACGATACTAGATCGAACGCTCTGAAGTTATACTGTCTCCAGTGTAATGGATCAAGGATATCGAGCACACTTTCACAATGGGGAAAAAGCGTGGCAATAATGTTCCCGATAGTTCTCTCGATTATGTCTATCGAGTCTTCGGCCGTCACAGGAAAGTGTTGATGTTCCCGGTCGCTCTTCAGTGAGTGAGATAGACGGGACAGTGCATCGGTTGACATCTGCATCTCAGATACCCCTATGCCTGGTGGTATGTCAGTGAAGATTGACATCTCCGAGAATTTTGTTCGGACGTTGCACGTAAACTTTGGAAGTCTTGTGCGATCAGAATGCGTCTTCAAGATATCCTGACATCGAAGGCAAATGTCTCCCGTCGAGATCGTGCACTTCGAATATGATCAGCAAGATGCAGAAGAGCCAATTGGAAAGACAATTAAATACCTTTCGTTTACTGATGCGACATCCAAAGCATGACGATGGCGCCTTCTCCGTGACCCGACGACGCTTCGGTTGAGACGCACAGTGCTGATGATTGGCTTTTGGATTTGTATAAAAATGGATGTTGTCAAGGGCGCAGCCAGACGATGTTCCGCTATTGCTAGCGCTATGTGAAACGCCGAATTTCCGTTTCGCAAGCCTTCCATATTCTCCGCCACCTCCTGTAGGAAGTGGGGGGTTATCTGTGCCTGTCATATCGACATCGGCCGTGGTGGAATGATCCATCGTCGGAAACAATGGTAGTTCGGATGTAGCCATGGTAAGCGGATGACCGGCAGATGAATCGAAGACTCCATTCCACAACGGACCCACACAAGAAGCTGTTATATCGTAACTTGGATTGACGGTCGGGTATGTTGTCAAATCGCTGGAACTGACAGGAAATGATCCAATACCTTGCATCGGGTGGGCTGACTGTGTATAGCGAGGCTGGAAAATAGCATAGTTCCTCTGCTCATCCTTGCTCAAAGGGGTAGCAATTGTGTCGTAATTTGATACTGTGAATGCCATCGGATCAACCGCAGGTTGCTGGCCGTATGTTGCATGACCGGAGGCATTATGGTAGAGATCTTGGGCGTTGAGAACGATATCATCCTGCCTACCGAAGCTCTGTGTATGATCTTGGAAGGCATCTGGATATACTGTGTTCCAAATCATTTGCTCTTCAGAATGTGTACCCTGGCTTGACATGTTTGTGTTGCTGCTTATCTGGCGTGGATTTGCGGGTACCGAGGGACGATTGTAAACCCCAGTAAAGCTCGAAGCTCTCTCACCGAGAGTAGAGTCTGCATAGCTAACAGTCGTTCCTTCGGTGTTAGAAGTCGCAGGGAATACCTGTGCCTTCTCTAAGATTTCGTAACGTGCTGCGGTATACCGCCATTCTGCCTCAGCAAGCTCTCGTTGTACTTCCACAGGTAAGCCTGCGTCCTGCACTGGGGTGTAGTCGGTAAATTTTAGAGGTTGCTGGTTGGACTGGGACGGTAGCAAGGACGTTGACTGAGGGGTGTAGTGTGGGTTGGTGCGGGTCGAAGATTCGTCTAGCGTCTGGCAACCTTCTGGCAGTGAAAGGACATATGGCACTACTTCGTGGGCAACTGCTGAGAGCGGTGGATCTGGTGGCCGATGGACTTGTCCTTGTGTAGCTTCCTCTCGTTGCCCGAGCTCTGTCGCAAGATTGCGGGGATTCATGAGGTCGTCTTGCAAGCCAAATAAAACAGATGTGAAGAGATTCAGGGCTGCTCCGGAAGAAACACCAGGAAAACCAAGGGCGGAGCTGTGACTGATGATGTATCGTGCTGCTGGGGATGCACGACCGTGTGAAAGCCCTGAAGGAGTTGAAGTAGTGGGCTGGAATGTGACATGCTGGTGGAAAGCTGAAGCGTTGGTTTATAAACTGACAAGTTAAAAACCAGGTCTGTTGAGAGACAGGCAGATACCAGGGGCCAAGGCTGAGTGACAGAGGCTGAGGGACGTCGGTAACAGCTTCCGCATCCCGAAGCAGACTAGAGTACGCCATCCTTCACGCTCAGGCCATGCTTCCGCAACCAGAACAGTCCTAGCGTTGTTTGGGACACTCACTAGCGCCATAGCATTACCAGCACTCTGCAGTTCCGCAACACGAAAGGGACTAGCGCCAACGAGATGCGACGATGCTCATCCTTCCGCAACCACATACGGATGCGCAAAGGAATTGAGCCCCTAAACCTCGCGATGTCGCCGCGCACAGCCTTCATGTCTTCTTCGCAGGCATTCTTATTCATACCAAGGCAGATAAGAACATAGAAGCCCGCAATGTAGTGAAGGACAGAAAGACTCCGGAAAGATCATATCCTATCGTTTCCGCCCCCACAGCCCCTTACCACGCCGCACGGAAAAAGCAGCCAACATCCCAGCCATGTGGGCCAGATCCGACGTTCTTGCACTACTTCAGCTGCTCGCCATGATCATCTTCGCAACAGTCCATGCTGTATGGTGCTTGACTGTTCATTGTGGTAGGTAAAATTCTCTTATTAGAGCAAGAAAACCTGCTGATATCGCTGGAGTTTCTATTCGAAGTGGCACGCGCGACCGACCACGCCGTGCAGCTGCAACCCGCGGCCAGGCAAACCTGCGCAGATAATTATTTGCCCAAAGTTGCAGCATACATGTGTATCTTCTGATGCAATAGCACTTGAGATCTTCATGGCCGGCACCACTACTCCCTCAGGACGGCGACGGGATGTGCTATGACGTAAATGTATAATTAACCAAACCCAACTGCATCGACCCAACTCATTCTATTCCTTCATCTTCGCACGACCATCCATCTTTTCACAGGCCTTTCTCTACAGGCAAACTTTCTTCCAACCACCTATCCTTCTCCACATCCTGGCATCCCACAACCCCGAACACCAGCTCCCTCCCCATTGTCCGCTTCGCTTTTACATACATCCCCGTACCAACTTCCTGCAGCAGTCGGACAACATGTCGCATCATGAGTGGCTGCTCGCATCGCATATCGAATTGAACGCGCTCGACACAATGCCGCTCCGGGATGCAGCGAAACGCGGTACGCCATGCTTCTATGAGGGAAGACGTGACTGGGCCAGCAATGTGACCGTTCTTTTCTTCGAGTGTAAGCTCATCGTCAGAGGAGATGGGGGCGAAGATTCGGATGCGCAGCTCTTTGATTGCGGTCTTGGGAATTAAGAAGCGGTCGTCGGCGCAATTTCGTGAGGAAGGCGGCTTGAGCATGGGGATATTGGGGTCGGGCGTCGCTAGCGTTTTGCCCAGAGACGAGAGGGTTTCGGGATTGTTGATGGAGATGAGTACATATGGTGATTTGCCAGCGGCGATTTCTTGGTCGAGATTTGGACATTCTGACGTTAATGTGAGAGTTTCGGGGTGCTCGATGTTCGTGTCCAGGGTAATAGAGATCGGCATTGTTTCGAAACTTGGATTTTCTGATGGAAAATCAAGGAAGTAGGATGCGCAGGCGTGTGAGCTTTAATGGTGATGGCGAGGCTTATGGAGGTTGGCCTCCGCGCGATGTTGACTATTCAGGCAACCATGTCGGCAGCCAATGAGCGTCGCTATCTTCCACGCTACGCGGAAGACCACACTGCTCTTTCTGACTCACACAAACAATCGACTTATTGGTCTCTGATGCCGATACACCCGAACATTGCCGAGACAATACAAAGATCCGCAGGCATTCACTTGCCGCAAGTGTCGGCCATTTCGTGGAACGCATTTTCATTAAGTCGCAAAGCAAGCAGGCACGACCGGCAATCAGCGTGGAAACAGAGCTACCATACTTGAGTCTTCTCTCAATCATTCGTTTGTCGCGCCTACGCCAGCTTCACGATACCTTTGCCAAATCTCAGGTTGTGTGACTATATATTACACCACCATGTGAACATCACATCACGAAACAGTCCGAAGACGCTATGATACGCTCAATATCTGTTGCGCATGCGTTGCGCAATCTGAAATCATGCGCGAGGTGAAGACTGCGCGGTTGTTATTCTGCGCGGCTTGCCGTTCACTAACCACAAATGCGTGAATATCGCCAATTCAGGAGCTGACACCCAAATCACCCTCACTTCCTGGCGGTGAATCCTGAGTATTCAATCCTATTGCTGCGAGACCGACCCTTCTCTTTTGACTCACTCGACTTCGCCTGATCTACAACCCAAGCTACCGACCACCCACCTACCGCGCAATTCAAATTGCGCTTGCCGCCTACATCACCTTGTATCACGACGTGATCTCGTCGTTAGAACTCATGTCGTCGTCTGTCGCAAAACAATTCTGCAACATGCTCGCGTCTCGGTGGTCGCTCCCAGGACCAGCAGCTGCACCGCCGCCATCCACCAAGCAGAAGGCCGTCGACGTCATACACGAGAAAGTTACCTACCCGCGCGTCTTAGGATTAGGAGAACAAGACTCATGCCTCAACGCATCCATGTCCTACGAGCACCTCCTCGAATGCGGCCACCTCATCACTACACCCAAGCCTGACGAGCGATGCGCACCCAATTGCTATTGTGTCGCCTACGGATGGCATGAGATCAATTTCGATGAGAAGAAGAAGGCGAAGATGCTGCTGTTCTATTGCGACGCGTGCATAGAGGAGAAGAACGAGAAGCTCGTGGCTAGCACTTTGACCTCAACGGCCGCAGGTATGTGAAAGAGCAGTGCGGTTACGCTTGCGACGACGCTGACCGCTTGATAGAGAACCTGCGTCGCTTTCTGAGTGAAACGGAAGCTACCAAACGCGAAAAGCAGACCGAGTTTCGCAAATGCTATATCGCACTCAAGATAACTTCAGTGCCTTGTCACACCGACGGCGCGCTACGCAAAGGATATACACCGCGCAAAGAGCATCATCCCTTCGATGTTTCGATCCCTCGAGTAGGCGACAACTTCTTCGAAGATATCCTGGTGAACCCGGTGGAGGAGTTGAAGGCGCCTGGTACCACTATCGCGACCGCGCCGGACGAAGCAAACCACCCTGTCGTCGGTAGTAGTCCAGCCAACCTCGGCGAAGCCGGCGCAAACTACCTGCGATACATAAAAGCGCAATCCGCAGCGCCCAAGGGACCCAAAGCCAAGCCGAGCGCCTCCAACGCCAAGAAGATTTCGTTGCTGTCCTCTCCCCGTAGAGCCGCTGCATCGTCACCCGTGGTACCAAGCTCCGAAGTCGCCCAGAAGATCTCTCCAAAGCAGTCGCAAAAGAAGCCCATTGTCATCGACGATGACGAAGAATACGTAGACGCGCCAGAGAAAGAAGCAGAGGTTGTCAAGAGATCTAGGAAACCACAAAAGGCTACTTCGTTGCCTCTGATCCTGCCACTTACCCTGAAGAGGAAGCCAGGACGTCCAAAGGGAAGTGGTCGCAAGAAGGTGTGAGGGGTTGACGGATACTGATGATGCGAAGTCGTGAGGACGTGGAGATGGAGTCGAGGTTGGAGAATACAAAGATGGTGAGGATGCTGCTATACGATGCCTGGATACTGTCGTATTTTCCAGGCTGCTACTCTGGTACGAGCATATACTGAATAGAACATGTCGTTGACGATACCCTCGATGGAAAATGTCATGAAGAAGGATGACGGATGGCTTTGGTGTGCGATGTTGCTTTCACCCCACTTAGCCAGCCGACTAATCCACATCCTGCCATCTCGCCGCCCGGCCTCTACAAATGCACCACTGAGGTATACAACACATCTTCTTTCGACATTGGTTCACACAAAATGTAACGTCATCTTAGGCTGCAGTGCATCCAAATCTAACTCGTCAAACACAAGCCTCCCCATATCGCTATCTGAGGCCATCAATCCCAACGAAAATTCACAACACACGGGTGCCATATAGTGTAGCTAACGCAAAACATACACCGCTTACGCCTAGAAGCAGCGCGATGGCTATGTTCACCCATTCCCCCTGCCTGTTCATGTTGATATTCCGATGCCCGTCGTTTCTTTGAGGAGGGGGACCACGTTCTATATCAGTTGCAGTGCGCCTTTGCTGGTCGTATGCGTTAGGGCGAATGATTAAGTCGTTCATGGCATGGGTGTGGACTGTTGGGTTACGAGCGACGGTTGAAGCGGTTGATAGATCGGTTGTAGAGGTATTGTTATTTGGAGCTCCTAACAATGTGGGTGGCATGGCTGATATGGTGAATCTGAGTGAGGTAAGTGTATAGAGGGGCTCGGCGCTTGATAAGTGAAAGTGCAATGGAGTTGTTTGTGGAAAGAGAGTGTGAACGGAAGAAATGTGGCGCTGCGAGGGTCGTCTACATTGCAGGGTCGAACGTGCTTGAGTTTTACGCGTGACAGATTGAGCCGGAGATGGTATACAAGCCTCACGTACCATTGCGTTGCTACCTCTGAATGGGGCTTCGTTGGCCCTGGTGATTACTTCCTGCGACCGTCCACTTTTCTCACCAAACATCAACAGACATGGGGGTGCTGAGCCTAGGCTACCGCGACTGGCTGCATCTCACTCACTGTATATTATTCCTCAACGCCAGAATCTTCGACGTCCTCCACATGTTGTCGGACCGCAACGGCGAAGGCCCTCCAAGCAGCATGTACCACCCTAGATCCTTGGACGAAATGTAGGGTATGTTCTCCAGGACCGACGAATTGCGAACATACTGGCGATACTCTCGGACAGTCGCTACAGCCTCCATCTCACTGCCGACGACCCAGACCTTGTCAAACCCAGCTATAACCGTATTCATAACGGTGACAAGACCGCACACATCGATCGATCGATCGGAGGCGGTTTCCAAAAGTTTCTTCAAAAGACATCCATCGAATACTCAAGAAAGACTACATCCTCCGACCGAAATTTGACCGGTAATTCAAGTAACTTCGGAACTGCCATCCAGTTCAATTTCACATTGACGAGACTCCACGTTTCGAGCCTAGGGGTCCAGATCGGACAAAGGAGCTGAAATTAACCAGACACCAGCACTATCTGAGACGTGTACATGTGAAGCGCGTTGTTCTCTGCGAGCGATTTCCCCGAAAAGATCAGATGCCGTATATTTGGACAACGCAAGGGATTGGGCATAATGAAAGTGTCGCAGCCTAGCCTAAGCTGTGACGATTCGCTACTACAGCCGTTCAACATGTCGCTACTGTCAAATATGTATTCCAGTGTAGTGAGATAAGGCAATACCATCTAGCCTAGTGTTTTGAAGTTGATGGAGGTTTTTCGAAGTAGCTGGCCCTGGCGGTCATCTACGTGTCTGAGCAACGGGTAGAAGATATTCTTGGAGTGTCCGCTTTGAGCTTTTGCGCAGGTGTACCATAGCGGATGGTTTCGACCGAGGCCGAATGGAGTGAGGACAACGTTACTTGAACGATTTCCATAAAGGTTTAGATAAAAGACTTGTTCCATTAGAACCAAGCTATGAGTCTCCCTGAGTGGCGTGTGCTTTGTCAATAGTCTATCCATGCGGACTGGAAGCATGCTGCGGGTTGGATGATAGCAAATCTCTTCCAAGTTGATGAGCTTGTCCATCCACTCTGAATCGTTGTCATCCCACCACGGAGACCAAAGACAGGGGTCTGTCATCTGGTCGTGTCGGCAAGGGCGGTGGAACTCGCGGTCACGATAGCTAAGGCCTGCCCTCTCGAATTCTGCAGCTTCCAGTCGTCTTGGCGCCGCATCTTTGTACACTATGGCCTTCACGAGCTTTGCTCGAGCTGGATCATCAGTGATGCCTTTGAGTATGGCGAGGGTCTTTGGATTTGGTACGATAGAGAAACTGCTTGAATCTCGGTTTATTGCAGCCTTTGCCGGTCAAGAGGAAGCTCAGGACGTCGTTGTAGCTCTCACTGTTGTCGCAGATAACATGGTGTAGCACGACGTCGAGTATCTCGTTGGCAAATGGGAAATGGCTGTGCGATGGCGCTGATGGCGAGCAAGCTTCGTCATGAAATCGTGGGATGCGCGGCTGCTCCATTAGGCAAGTTTGTTCATCAGCCAGCGTGCTTAACCATGGCGCTAACTGATTCATATCAGCGATGAGCCGGTTAGATTTTGTGACGCGGGGAAAGTGTCCGCAACTGACATATATATACTTTTACATGTATGTTGATTTCGCGAAGGGCGCGTGGACCACACCGGGTGGTTGGACGGCATCGTGTGTCGCTCAACCGTTGTTGCAGCCCTTGTGAGCACCAACAAACGATGAGAAGAGTAATAGTAGTAGAGCCCAAAGGCTTGTGACTCTTTCGGTATTCTGGCTTGCACTGAGAGAAAAGGCTTGCTTTCCTGGGTGTGATGTATGCATACTCCGCACGCGTAGCGACATGGGTGTAGCCAGAATGTGGGGCCCCTGACAACTGGATAAAGTACGGTTGGAGCGCGTATACGCAACCCTGTCGATTGGAAATGCGTGAGCCACGAAAACAGCGCTGTATTGCAGTATTAATCGTTGATCAATTGCCAGGATATCTTTAGGTGTGTCGCAAAAGAGCGAGTCGTTCCCGCGTATTCCTCTCGTATCTACGATGGCAACAGAGTCGACGAGCACAACCGATTTCGAGCTTCGCCCTGCAAGATTCTCAGATCTTTCTTCGATAGCGACAGTATGGGCAGCGGCATTCTTTGACGATGAGATCATCGGCGAGATGATGCATCCGCACCGACATGAGTATCCAGATGACGTATACTGGTTCTTGCTGCGAGGTGTTCGAGAGCGGTTCTGGGACTGGCGACATCAATTCATAGTCGTAACAGACGACGGAAAGATCGTCGGTGCCGCAGACTGGAGGAGACTTGGAAGGGGTGGGGAGGAGATGGAATTGGGAAGGGTAGATCCACGTAGGTCCAGCGCAGCACATTCTACAGCGTACGAGCGTGTCATTTGGCTTACTCTACCTCCGCAGGTAACCTCATCGCACCACTAGTGAAGACATACCATTCCATGTCCCTAGCGCTCTTCCCCAATCGCGCGGCTGATCCTACGCGCGCTTCCTTCCTCGACACCGCTGTCGCGAGCTCGGAGAAGTACTGGGCTGGCCATCGCACTGAGTGCTGGGACTTGCACGTCTGTGGTGTACACCCAGACTACCAAGGCAAAGGTGCTGGAAAGCTGCTAGCCCAATGGGGTGTGCGCGAAGCACAGCAGGAGGCCGGCGATGTTGTGGCTAGTGTCTTGTGTGGGGAGAAGAATAGAGGTTTCTATACGAAGGCTGGGATGGGCGTACAGGTCTCGGAAACGAAGGGCGATGGAGGCGGCATCGCGTTGTTCACGAGATAGATCGCACGGGCGACGTGTGTCAGCCAATGAGCGTTGGCAGAATTGGTGCCGGCATCATCGCGTCTTTCGTGACGCGTCTGCGCCTGCCATCTCTCCCTCCATCACATAGCGCTTTCTATCATCACATCGAGCTCTTCCCATGACCAGACGCCTCTTGTGAATTGATAAGACCCCATGCAGCACCGCAGTGGACATGAGAAGGAATGACCGAAAATGCCGACTGTGTGGACCGAGCGTTCCTGCCTGGCAGCAACACATAGCTGCTGCCATCCGCAGTGCTGGATGACTTTCAAACAATAACCCCTCTTCCTCCATCAGTCACTCTTATGCCAAGATTCGAAACATGAGATTCCCTATCACATTCGCTGCGGGTGTCGTGCTCCACGCTACTGTCTTCGCCAGGCATCGCGAATGGGACCGCCATTCAGCCAATATCTTGATTTCAGCATGTGTCCTCTTCGTAGCCGCAGTCATAGCGGTCGCAATTATCAGAGACACCTCATGGATTTCTTCCTTCGCTTCCGTGAGCGTTGTGACCGCGTCCTTCGTCAGCGGCCTCCTCAGCTCTATGACTGTATATCGACTATTGCTACACCCTCTCAGATCATTCCCCGGGCCTCGAGCTGCGCGGATAACCAGCCTGTGGGTCATCAAGCGAAATTTTCCTGGTCTCAACTTATACGTCAAGATGCGCAGCCTGCACGATCGACACGGGGACTTTGTACGAATAAGTAGGTTTGGAGGGCAATTAAACGAGTGCGTTGTTAACTTTGTCTAGGGCCACGCGAGATCTCGATCTGCCACCCTGATGCGATAGCGGACGTACACGGGCCGAGGAACAAGATTACGAAAGGCGAATTCTACGACCAGACCTATCCATTTCATACTGTCCAGTTTATCCGCAATCCGAACCTTCACAAGAAGCAGCGTCGGCATTGGGACATTGCCTTCAATAGCGCAGGTCAGTGATAGTGGAGCTTCACACCTACTATAGCTGACAGCCGTAGCATTGCAGGGATATGTGCCACGGCTCACAAGACACTATCAAATTACTGCCAGTATACTTGCGAGTCATGCGGTATCACGAAAGCCGATCGACGCCAGCAGTACCTTCTTAGACCTCTTCTTCGACGTGATATCGGACTTGACATTCGGTCAGTCTTTCGATACGCAGACCACAAAACAGCGAAGTCCGATCGTGCTAGGGTTCCTTAGGAGGCAGAAAGCACTTGGCTTCGCCTTGCTGAACATGCCTCTGCTCCATCTCTCCAGGAACTTACGCCTCTCTGTGAAGAAGCAGAAGTCCTGGGAAGGTTGGTATGATCAGGCGTTGAATGCGCGTAGCAAGGTGAGCTCGGCCAAACCCTGACGTACTTCCACTATTGAGGCTAACATGCGTAGATGATCATCCCGACGGCGGACATATACACATACTTGTCTCAATCTGAAGGCTTTAGAGGCAACGCTCTCAGCGAAGCCAAGTTGGCTATCGTTGCCGGCGCTGATACAAACGCTATCACAATGTCTAACACCTGCTATCTGCTATGCCGCCACCCCGAGTACCAGGAGAAGCTTTACGATGAGTTGTCCGACTTAAAGTCTCTTTTTCTCAACGACCGTGATTTGATGGACAAACCTTACTTGATTGGCATCATCAACGAAGCGTTGAGGTTGCATCCGCCCGTCCCCTCTGGTCTTCAGCGTGTAACACCAGCAGAAGGCGCAGTCATCGCTGGCCGATACATACCGGGCTACATGAATGTCACGACACCGACTTATGCCCTACATCGAGGTAGTGCTCTCTCTCCCACTAGTAGCAGCTCGAGCTGACCTTTTAGATTCCCGCGCGTTCGTTCAACCGAATGAATTCATACCCGAACGCTGGTACTCTCGCCCTGACCTCATCCTTCGCAGAAACGCGTTCGTGCCATTTGGCTACGGCGCGTACAGCTGTGCAGGCAAGCCCTTGGCTATGTTACAGTTACGCATGGTTCTTGCTATGATCTCCCAACGGTTTACCATGTCATTTGCTCCTGGCCAGGAAGATCTATGCCAGTATTTCGTCGATCATCAAGCTGACTGCTTCACGCTGCATCTCGAGCCGCTTCCTTTGATATTCGAACGGAGAGATGTGTGAGTGATACCAAGCTGGATTCTGTATCGCGATGTGGCACATGACCGCATGCTACATTGGCGAAGATGCAACATTGTTACTGGAGATTGCTGGTAGGTCGGCAACATAGTCGCTTATCTTCCATAAATGCAAGTATTCACATGGATATTTATGAGCTCTCAGGACTGAAAGTGAATTGGCATATGAGCGTCGAGAGAAAGCAGCCACTGAAATGATCCTGAAACCATCAGTTGTGCTCCCATGTGGATCGCTTCCAACCCACACCCCGTTCGCTACCACTGAATCACAGCGCCCTCTTTTCCTTCCGCTCTGACCTTATCCCGACTCGCCGACACTACGGGCTTCATGAAGCAAGATAGCTATCGTCCCCTCGGGAAGCGTCAAACATTGCACGACTTGCGACAGGCAGCGCGCAGCCCCCAAGCAACCTGAGAACGCCGAGTAAAGACTGGTGCCAACCACAGAGACGCCGCTGGCTCACGATACCACGTCGCGATTAAACAAACGTGCAAATACCTTCGGCCTCAACGCGCTCACCAAACTACGCATCGTCAAAAGCAGCGCAGCCCCTACGCAGCCAACCTGGAGCCATTATGAGCTTATCAAACACATAGACTCCGGTGGAAACGGCCACGTAGATCTCTGCTTCAACACCTCAGCCAGCATTTTAGTCGCAGTAAAGACCCTGACCGTCAAGAACCCCGCCGCACCGCTAGCAGAAGCCACAATACCCCAAAGTCTCGGCCATTACAGCAACATCATCCGATACCACACCAGCATCCTCAATCCAGCACACCCTACGCATCTACAATTCGTTTTCGAATAAGGTCCCAGAGGCGATTTACTAGACTATCTGGATACCATAGATAGCACTGTCCCCGAACAATTCCTCTGGCATGTCTTCAAACACGTCGCATGTGGCCTTGATTTTCTGCACAGTCGTGGCGTTGTACATGGCGATACAAAGCCCGCCAACATCCTCCTCACCGCGGCGCGAGAAGGAGATCGCTTTTCACTACACAAGATCGCATACTTCGGCGCTGCGTCACGGGGCTGTTCATCGAATATACCACGAGGCCACCTGGGTACCCCGTCCTTCCAACCGCCCGAAACAGACTATCGCCACGAACCGGGATCTGATATCTGGGCGCTGGGATGCATGATTCCTGAACTGATACTGGGTCGGCTGCCGGTGCAGAAGATAGAAGAGCTGGACACCGATGAGAAGGCTTGGTTTGAGGAGAGTGGGGCGGGACATACCGTATGATATAACCTTTTAGAGCTGTTCAAGGAGTTTCGTTACTACCAAGCTTGCCACGCTGTTGCACCTACGCGTTTTCATTGTCCACCTGGGTATACGACGAAAGTATACAGTAAGTCGTTGAATCACTTTGTGATGCGCGCTCTGGAACTGGATTGGAAAACGCGCATCACGGCTAGCCAACTGTATAAAGTGCTACCTAAGCTCGAAGCCGTTATGCAAGACCTCCAAATCCTAGGCAAGACTGAGCTGCTCGACCGCGTCGATGAACCACGTGAGCTAGACGCCTCAGAGACCGTATGCCTCACCGACGCCAAAATTCTCAGACAATCGTTCGAGAGATTGGCACGGCATGCGGATTGGGCGAGTCAACAAGAGATGCAGAAGAGAGGGATGCATCTGTTATTTATTGTGGAGAAAGGGGATCATCTCGTAGCTTCAAGGGCGCTTCGTGAAGTAAGGAACTTCTGGGGTATGGAATGGTGAGGTGGGATGGAAGGCAGAGGGAGATGTATACCAAGCGATCCGAAGACCGCGGTACCTTTGTTGTTGAGAAGAATTTTTAATCCACAGCATCCAATATCAGAAGTCTATGCCGCGATGTTGCAACTCAATGCACCGCGGACAAACGTCAGTGAAGCGGAAACTGCTGACGAATCTTCGCTCATCTGAGTCGTAGTGATGGCGCTGATCGCAAATCAAACTAATCCCAATCACGCCCTAAACTTCTCCTGCTCCAAATATCTATAATCATCCATGGCAGCCGCCACCCACCCCTCAAGCCTCCTGCCCTCCTCCTCGCCAAACTCTTCCCTCCACTTCCCCCCCATAACTCCCACATCAAGTTTCCCCCTCAAATCCCCCCTGATGACCCCCGTCGACCGATCCAGCGTCTCCATAAACTCCAAGTGCTGCGGATCATGCGTCGTCTTCGCCGTAATCTCCGCCTTACTCGACGTCGCATTCCAGGTGAACTTGAGCTTCTGCGGGTCCAAGCCAACACGCTTGCTGGCGTTGATAAGCAATTGGGGATTCGCGACGACGTCATCTGCGTCGAGAATTATTCCGGTAATGCCGAATGTGTGTTTGTAGAGATCGTACAGGGTGCGTGTCCAGTGGTAGGTGTTTACCATTGTGGCTTGCTGCAGTATCTTCTCTGGACCTGAGTCTGAGGCTTTGAGCACGCGGTAGTAGGATGAGAATGCTGATGCTGGGTGGCGGATCACGAAAATGGGATACCATTGCCGGAGGAAGTCGTCGGGAAGTAAAGTTCTGTTTCGCGTTGTGTGGGCGGAGGAATTCGACCAAGCCTCTTCGCTGTCCACACTCGTTCCAGAATAAAAGCAGTATTGCGCAACCGGGTCTGATATCGATATGCTGTGTTCGCGGAAAAACGCAATCCTGCCCTGGGTCTCGGCTAAAGCGGCGTATTCTATGACGGTAGCAAGACCTTTTCCGTAATGGTCGTTCGTTGCTGTACGTTCTTCTTCTGTCCATTCGCTGGGCTTTCGAACGCGCTGGCCATCGACTTTAAGCTTGATGGCGGGGCTGAAACTGTGGCCGTAGTCAGGTAGGTCGGGGTGTTCGAGTACGTCGTGCTGCGAGGAGATGTTTAGGATCTTGAGGATGAGGTTCGATGCGGTGCGTGGGTGTGAAAAAAATGCTAGGCGGCAGGGTGGTTCGGTCGTCATTTTGACATGTGTGGCGATATGGGTTGAGGAACGTCAACGATACCAACGCTGGGACTTTTTGCTCGCACTTTATCACTCGAAGCTCTGCACATGCCACTAAATACATTTGCTCAACAGTACGGTGTAGCAAAACGAGATGTGGGGCTGTCACACGCGTCAGGCGACTTGCTTTTTATATGCGGCTGCTCGAAGGAGAACAGCGTATACGTGTGCAGAATCACGTCATACACGCGAATACTGTCGTGATTGTATTGAGCTAACTTCAAGGGTGCTAAGTATGAGTTGCGCAGAAATGCCGCTACTATCTACGATATTGTGAGCGGCTGGTACTTGAACGTAGGCCTTTACTATGTATATTGCATTCGAGTAAGCAGATTTACACATATCACTTTCCTTCCTATCCTGACACGTTCACCAAATCCAAGAACTCAGCAAGCCGTAACCTGGCCCTCCCATCCTTCTCCGCCCACGCTTGTCCGAGATTCTCTCCAATCCTTACAGCATTCTCACGCTTCCTTCGCCCAGTCTCCATGAACGCCATGTTAAGGACACCTCGAACTTCGCCGTCCCAATCGCCCATGTCACATGGTGTATTGTTCGCGTTCTCAATGTTTAGAGGGCAGTGATCTACGCGCATCTTGGTAAACTCAAAACCTGCGTCTAGGGTACGTGCCATGTATGCGATATTGAGGGGCTGGTCGATGGCGAAGGGCCAGCCGATCCTGTTTCGTGTAAATAGAAGTGTTGGATGAGGATTGTCGTACGCACATTGGAACTCCTTGAGTGAGTGCCTCCATGACCCCGTTTGCGCCTCCGTGCGTTATGAACCATCCACAAGCCTATATCATCGATTTTAGTAATTTTCATGAAGTAAACAGGAGGATCTGTAGTTCAGAAATACCTCGTGAGTCAGAATCGCTTGCTGCGGCACGAATGGCGATATGATCGCTTTGCAGCTGCCAAGGTATTTGCTCTTCAGTCTAGAGATCGTGTGGGCATTAGGGTAAGCGTGCGCGAGTATCTTGGAAGAACCTTAGCTGAACATCATCTTGAAACGATTTCGTAATCACTGCACTTACGAAAGGATGATTGCGGGCTACGATATTGTCAAGAAGAATTTCCAGGTGATCGAGAGAGGACGGCCTAAAACACTACGAATTAGGCCGAGAAAATGTGGATTTGAAATAGACAAGACGCTTACCAATGCTCAGTACCAAAGCTGATGTAAATCACACTCCGGTTTCCGTTTGTAATGAGACATTCGTCCAGAAAATGGGTGACGGCGGTACCCAAGCCTTCCGGGCATGTGTTAATTTCGATCTCGATAGCTTTGCTAGAAAAGGTACGAGTGCCTCGAATGAGCGGCAGCATAGGGCCAAGATGGAAGGTCTTCCTGTCGTTGTGACTTCCTATCCATTGTGATATAGCATCGAGACATTCCGCACTATCGTATTCTGGAGCGCATGCTGTCAAGAGCCCGTCAGCTCGTTCCGCAAATCTGAAACGTTAGCTACTAACAACGTTGTCTGAAGTTCGCGCAATCTACCTCGTCATTGTGGCCTCCGCAGCGTGGATCTTGCTCGCTTTGTCACCCACATCTTGAGGGTTCAGATCGCGACACGTCATTGAAGGCATGCCTGGAATATCGACGCGGTCCTCACAGTCATGTGATTCCTGGCTCATAGGCTTTCCACTTCTTCCCCCGAACTGTGCCGGCCCGCACATGTGCATGAAGCCTCCTGAAAATGCCATCATCCATTGAAAGACGGGTGGAGATGATTGTTCAGATTTGATGATCTCAAGCCATGATAACTGGAATCCCTTCGTGAAGAGCGATTAGTCGCGGGTAACGCATGGAAAGGTAGGGTTTCCCACATCAAGTACGACCACCGAAGGTCTAGGGACTGCCTCAACTTCTTCCGACGTATAGCAGCATTGCACAGGTTTGTCGTCCATCAAAGCCTTCCAGACCAGCTTGAACTCATCGTCCAGAGATCTACCGTCTCTACCATCCGATGGCAAACCGACGATCCTACTCTAATGTAAGTATAGACCGACATGGGTAATAGGATGCGCTCAATACTTTTGCATCACGATATTGCATACCTTACTTTGCTGAAATCATCGAGTTGCTCAATGTCCGTACATCTCGAAACTTCTTGGGTTACCCTATCGACAACATTACCCGAACTAGCGACCAGTATCGTGACGGAGACGGCTCTTGAATGCGCTATCCGAGCAGAGAGGATGCACATGGAGCGGAGATGACCTGGTGTTGTATCAACATGCTGACAGCTTCTCATTCTCAAATTTACGTACTCCAATTTGCCTTACAAGAGAGAACGACATGACTAAGAGACATGTTTCAAGCGACGTTTTCAGTGTCAGAGAAAGTGAGCCACGTGCTGATATCCCAACACCGGATCGCAGAAGCACCAGTTGGTGATGACGAACGAGATGTGTGCAGCGCCCAAGTATGTTGACGGCTAGGTTTGCAGGGCTGTATTTTGGCTAGCTAGCTTCCGTGAACATGGTTCATGCGTTGCCAGCGCACTTTATACTATACCCTATTCAGGCATGGTTTGGTGATCAGTATACCTACGACCTTGGATACCGAAGCCTCGTGCTCTCGTCAAACTCTTCGCGCCTTCTACCATCTATCCGTAACGCCAATGTCGGAAGCAAAGCGCTTGCAGGTGGCCATCTGGTAGGCAAAGCCCGAAAATTACTGAACGCCAAAATCTTACCAAGACATTTCAGTGGAGGTGGCATTGCGGGGATGACAGTCGCAGCCTTGCTGGCAAGATATCCAGATATCGAGGTTCACTTGTTTGAAAGCAAACCCGAAATTCGCGCCATCGGCGCTGGCATCGCGGTGTGGAAAAGATTTTGGGATATCTTCGAAGAATACATGGATATGGATGAGCTGTGTGCTTCCAAAGGCATACGATGCACTCCATGGTCAGAAGGCAAGTATTGTAATTGTGTATGAAGATGTGGCAGCCGTAGCCACTGAGTATCTGCTAGTAGCTAACTCCACTCTAGTTCGTGGACCCGTCCTCCGAAAGTCTGATACATCTTCCGGTGGAGTAGACTTCTCGCAAATACCACATGGACCTAGACTTGTCCCTCGCGATGCCCTTCTTGACATCCTTCACACGCACGCTGACACTGGACGATGTCATATCAAAACGAACAAGAAGATGAAGTCGTACATCCAAGAAGATTCTGGGAGGGTCACCCTGCTCTTCGAAGACGGTAGCGACTTCAAAACTGATGTGCTCATCGGCGCTGATGGAGTCCATTCGCGTGTGCGACAGCACATGTTTCCAAGCAACGACGTGCTATCTGCACCTCACTTCAGCGGTCAGTTTGCGTACAGGATGAGCTGCCCAAAAGCCGATGTCCAAAAGAGGCATCCGAACAACGTGGCGTTAGACGGGTTCAAAATAGTAAGGCGTCTTCCGAGTGCACTAGCTCATCGACTGACCATGGCGGCAATGCACGCAGTGGTGCGGAAAAGGAAGACACGTAACCTCGAATACTGTCCGGGACGACATCCAGATGACGGCATACGACAATGTGTTCGATGCAGACGGGGTGGCGCCCCCTTTCGATGGCTCATGGGTTGCCGAGGTGCCATCTTCACAAATCGCCGAGCGTTTCGCCGGGTGGGAGCCAGACCTCGCCGATCTGCTGCAGGTTCCAACGGTTGCATCGCGATGGGCCGTCCACGTCGTACACCCTCTTCCAACCTTCGCAACGGACCGCGTGTGCTTGATCGGTGACGCTGCGCATGCCATGACACCACACCAAGGTCTTGGTGGGGGTCAAGGTGTTGAGGATGCATACATCCTGGCTCGCTTACTAGGGCACCCCGGGATGACGGCGTCCGATGTGCCGCAGGCGCTAAAGATATACGACTCCATCCGTCGGCCAGCTTCGCAAACGGTATCGCGGCAGTCGTTAGTCAATGGCCTGACGTATGGGTTCTTTGGCATGGAAGCCAAGGCACTATCTCTGCCTGAGATAGGAGAAGAGCTGGTTGAGAGCTGCCGGTGGCTGCTTGAGGACAGGGGTGCGGAAAAAGAATGGCTGAAAGCGAAGTCTGCACTCAGCGCTGCGCTGGAGCAATGCGAAGACGATCCGGCTTCCTCCAATCTCCTACCTGGCACTAGGCATCGGGAAGCGATGGTATGTCACCATGGTTGATGAGGTACTGTGGCCCTCTCGTCACCTGCCGGGCGCTTCATGGCAACCGTTAGTCTTAGCGATCTGGGTTTTAGACTAGAAAAAGATTGTGCAGTACATCGGACTTGTAGAAGGTCTTTGGGCACGCAAAGACTATTGCTGTTTGATTATTCACCAAAGCTCTCTCACGTACTCGGGGTACGCTGTTTCTTGACGCCCCGACTCCACCGACACGTCGTCGTGCTTGTAACGACAGCGAGAAAGTAGTCATTACCATTGTATCGCCTACCACATCACCAGTATGGCATCGAGTCAGGTTCAGCGCATCGTCGTGCCAGATCAGGAACGAACAAGTCAAGTCCCCAGTGCAGCGACCGTTGGTGCCGCAGTATCAATCCTGCATAGGGACGGGATAGTTGTTTTGGAAGACGTCGTCGACAAAGCTGCTATAGCAAAGCTGAATTCTGTCCTCACCGAGAGATCTGAAGAGCTGGCCAATGATCCATCCACGCATTTCAATCAAGGCAAAGCTACCCGCAACATCTCACAGCCACCGCCTGCTACGCCCGAGCTCATGTTCCAGTCCGTTTGGGCGAATCCTTTCACATCAACCATCAGCGCCGCAATGCTAGGGCCAAGTCCTCGGGTGCATTACGCCAATGGCAATACGGCACTATACTCGACTGAGCGGCAAACTGTCCATGCAGATCTCGACCACAATCACCTTCGCTTCCCCTTCGCGTTGGTGGCGAACTACTATCTTATCGACACATGTCCCACGAACGGCGGCACGGAAGTGTGGGTTGGTAGTCACCGAGACACCAGTCTCGCAGATCATGTCGATTCGCGCGATGCGCCAGGAGGCCTGTCAAGTATACGGCCAGAACTTGTCAGCGAACGGCTCAAGACCCTTCCGCCAGTGCAGATCTCAGTCAAGGCAGGAGATTTAGTTCTTCGGGATGTAAGGCTGTGGCACGCAGGAATGCCCAACCAGACTAACGTGCCCCGCATCATGTTAGCTTTTCTCATATTTCCTTGGTGGTATCAGGCGCCCATGAAGATGGCACTTCCTTACGCAGCGCAGTCACTGGTCCAGAGATGGACAAAGGAAACAGGGCTCGAGTTCGAAGTTGAATGGTTGAAGGAAGATGAATCTCCATCGAAGTTTTTTGTCACCACTGCCTCGGCGAATAGACATGTAGTATATGGATGAGAAATGGTGAATAACGGGGTTAGCCGAGATAGCATGCAGTCAAGCGTCATGCATGTTGTGCGGAATCAAGACGGAAGAGGATTAATGGCATGCGCGGCCAATTTGAGCCCCCCAGTACCAATAAACGTGTGAGCAGGCGGGGGACCAAAATGACCCAGTATCATTGTCGGGTAATCTGGCGGGGTGGAAAGTCTGTCAAGCTAACCTCTTTGTGGATTACCGTCATGTTCATCAGAGTGACTTCAACGAAGAACGACTTCTAGATAGGCACGCGAAAGAACCACCAAATAATCACATCATTGATTCATACGAGAGGCAATGGCTGATATCGATGTTGAAGACATCCTGTCCCGACTGACCGTTGCCGAGAAGTGCGACATAACAGCTGGTGCGTCCGATTAATTACCCATCCAACTACGAGCGAAGGTCTTCCAATATTGACATGATCTTAGGACGCGACTTTGCACACACTGTGCCTATTCCGCGGTTAGGCATACCAGCACTAAGAACGAGCGATGGCCCAAACACAGTGCGCGGTACACGTTTTTTCAACTCAACGCCAACGATATGCCTACCAGCTGGACCTGCACTTGCAGCTTCATGGGATCGACAGCTGCTGCGAGAAGTAGGAGGATTGCTGGCCGATGAATGTATCGCGAAAGGAACGCATGTTCTCCTTGCACCCTGCGTGAATATTCCACGCACTCCGATTGGAGGTCGTGGCCATGAAGCCCTCGGAGAGGACCCCCTTCTCGCGGGTGTTCTTGCAGGCTACATGTGCATTGGCATCCAAGAGAAAGGGATCATAGCCACGCCAAAACATTTTCTCTGCTCTGATCAAGAACAAGGCTGCTTCAGCATGAATTGCATCGTCACTGAGCGCGCGCTACGAGAAATCTACCTCATGGCGTTTATGTTGACTGTCAAGATCGGCGACCCGGGTGCTATCATGGCGGCATATAACAAGATCAACGGTATCCATATTACCGAGGATAAGCGCATCTTGAATGATATCTTGAGGGAGGAATGGGGCTTTCGCGGTCTAGTCATGAGCGATTGGTGAGTAGTTTGACACTCTCACCCCTGAACATACGCTTTTGGGACGACGCAAGCGATAACTTTTTGATGAATAGGCACGGTCTATATGCAACAACAAGTCCCATCCGAGCAGGACTAGACCTCGAGATGCCAGGGCCCAGCCAATGGAGAGGGAAAAGTCTAGCACACTCACTGCTGGCCGACCGACTCAGCACACGTACTCTTGACAACTGTGTGCGGCGCGTCCTGAACATGGTCAAAGAAGCCGCTCGCTCCAAGATACCCGAGAACGCGCCTGAAGAGCCTTTGAACCGCGAACAAGACCGGAAACTACTCCGTCGCGCTGCAGCCGAGTCGATTGTACTCATGAAGAATGAGGACAAAGTGCTTCCGCTTGATTCCAACAAACCCATCGCCGTGATAGGTCCAAACGCTGCTATTGCCGCCTATCGCGGTGGTCGCATTGCCCATCTCCGACCGTACTATGCAGTGACCCCACTAGACGCCATTACCCAGCGAAGCAAAGGAGAAGTTCATTTTTCCCGCGGAATATACAACCACAAAGAACGACCTCTCCTCGGCCACCAGCTCCTCACCAAAGACGGCAATTCCGGATTCGACATGTACATCTACGCGGAGCCACCATCAGTTGCCTCGCGTACCCCAGTCGACCAGTACGAGTTCCTCAACTCATGTGGATACTTCCTCAACTACGAGAACATGGATCGCGTCGATGGTCAGAACTGGCATGTGGACATCTCGGGGCGCCTCGTCGCAAGCGAAACAGGGCCCTATGACTTCGGCGTTAGTGTACAAGGTACCGCGAATCTATCCGTCGACGGGAAACTCGTCGTAGATAACACCGAGGACCAGCAATTCGGTGAAGGCTTTTTCCGCGCGGGTACGGTGGAGAAAGTTGGCACCGTCCACCTCACCAAAGGCGAGACATACGAAGTACTAGTCCACTGGGCTGGTGCGCACACGTCTGATCTCATCAAGAACTCGCCACTTACATTTCATCCCGGTGGGCTACGACTAGGCGGATGCTACCAGATGGATGTATCGGCTTCAATCCGCGCAGCTGCCGAGCTAGCGGGCCAAGTAGACCAAGTCGTTGTTCTAGCGGGCCTGATGGGAGACTGGGAGAACGAGGGCGCGGATAGACCCAATATTGAGCTTCCACAACACACTGGCGACCTGATTGAGAGCGTACTGGATGCGAATCCCAACGCTGTCATCTGCATTAGTTCAGGAAGTCCAGTTACGATGCCGTGGGCTGGTCGTACTAAGGCTTTGCTGCACGTTTGGTACGGGGGTAACGAGACGGGACATGCCATTAGCGATGTTTTGTATGGCGATGTCAATCCGTCGGGGAAGCTACCGCTTTCGTTCCCACTTTCGTTACGCGACAATCCTACATGGCTATGTTCTCAAGCAGAGAGGAAGCGTATCTTGTATGCTGAAGATGTGTACGTTGGATATCGCTTCTACGACACGATGGAGAGACCTGTACTCTTTCCATTTGGCCACGGCCTCTCCTACACCGAGTTTCGCCTCTCGGATCTTCAGCTCGAAGTAAAGGGTTCGAAAGAGAAGGCGATGATTACGGCGCAGGTCAAGATTGACAATCTGGGTGACTATGACGGCGCAGAAGTCGTGCAGGTATATGTCGCACAGCGGAAACCTAGTGTTGGTCGTCCGGCGAAGGAGCTCAAAGGGTTTGAGAAGAGCTTTGTTGCCAAACAGTCCAGCACTACAGTCAAGGTCGAAATGGAGCTGAAGTATGCGTTGTGTTTTTGGGACGAGGCGGAAGACCGCTGGGCTTGTGAAAAAGGCGAGTATGATGTTTCGGTGGGCACGAGCAGTAGGGGAGAGTTTTTACGAGATACTTTGGTTCTTGAAGAGACGTTTTGGTGGTCAGGTCTATAGATGAATTGAGGAACAAATGCTATTTTCATTTCTAAGGAAGCAGCCAAGATGCGTCTATCTAGCAACCCTAAACACTGGAAGCAAGATATATTCAGGCTTCATGACTATCACGACGTTGCTTGATCTTCTCGTCAGAGGCCATACCCATGGGCGGTGTCTCATTCAAACCAGCAAGCGTAGTCTTGATAGTTCCCAAAGCAGCTTGGTGGCCTTTGACTACATCGACAAAGTCCGCCGTCGCCAGCAACAGATTGAAATGCTTCACCCACGAATCCTCGGCCGCGGAGATCTTGAAGGACACCGTCATGAGCGGCTTTCCATGACGGTATTTGACGTCGATAAGCCTGTTGACGGCGTCAAGAAACCTCGGGTCGTCGCGTTCGCCGTATTTGCGGGCTGGCACGCCTAACGAGAGACGGAGGTCTCCGGGTCCTAGCATGAGGCAGTCCACACCATCTGTAGCGGCAATGACATCTGCATTGTCCATTGCTAGCTTGGTCCAGTCAGCATGAGGTGTGACTGCAGTTCCTGCAGTGATGACATACCTGGCTCTCGATTTGGCAGATAACTGCGATGTGATTGTCTGCTACTCGATCATGTGTCAAGCCGTGGGGCGCTGTATCCGTGATGCCAGGCACCAACGCGCATGGCGATAGTGATCGGTCTCCACCAGAGGTTGCATAGCGACACTTGGACACGGCTTCGGCAGCTTGCTCGGCGGTATCGATATGCGGGAAGATTATTCCTGCAGCGCCTGAATGTGGAAAAAGACGCGATGGTTAGCTTTTGTTGAGAAACACTGTCGTATTACGAATGTGTCGGTCTACGACGATGCATGTGCTTTGATAATCATGCAGCCAAGTGGGTATGTGTAACATACCTGCATCAAGCGCATGCGTTAGCAGGTCGGAGTGTGCAGACGGGACGCGTACAACGGCAACCGTTTTCCCTTCGCTACAGAAGTTGATGGTGTGAATGATGCGGACTAGATTCTCGGTATCGATTGGGCTGAAGTGAACGTTAAGTTAGTGCTTCTAGCTCTATGGTACCCATCACTTACGTATGCAGCGCATCCACCATGACATAATCCATACCCAGCACAGCAATGGTGCGGGCGACCATTGTATGTGGGAAGGCCATGATCGAGCCAAAGAGGTAAGAGGGTGGAGCGGAAGGGTCCATAGTCTTCCGCATGGCATAAGCCAAATTGGAAGGTTGGAAGAGTGACGTCGCACGATGGTGCTGCATGGTGCCGGCGGTGGGATGCGAGTTGATGAAGGTTCGAATAGCCAATCAAGGAGAAAGAGGCTCGTAGGCGTGAGAACGTGGTATAGCTTTGTGGAATATGTACGGCGTAGTTACTGTCATCTAGCCTCGTGACACGGTGATTGCGACCTTGCTTTATAATGCCTGTGCATGCTTCCTACAACTTTCTATCGCGGTTTCGGGGCGCGAAGTTCCTCCAAGAGACTATTGTCGTTGTATGTTAGCGCCGCGTTGTGTGCATGTGTATCTCGCCGAGATAGTTCCATTGTGTATGGTTTTGATGGTCCTCGCGACACTCCCCATTGGTTGGCCTTGATTAGCGAGATTGATCTCTTAGGAAGCTGGCAGATCTATACATTCATCGACACTGGGTCAATGCACAGTCGGTGTTGGGACGTTTCGCTGGCCTTGATAAAATTCGAGGCTAATGCTAAGGATGCGGTGTCAGTTCAATGACAGATGTCGCGAACAATGTCTGACGCAGACCGATAGTGGTTAGTATGCGGCGTGTGGATCACCGCTTCTGCAGTTCGCATGAAGCTAGCCAGTCTGGGGAAATGGGCACCGGGGCTGCCCGTCATCGCGCTAGGATGCTCCCGTGACCCACCGAACCCAATTTCCCAAAGAACATGAAGCGCTAGGTGCTAAATTTGTGGTTGTCTGAAGAAGCCCACACACACCGTGTATGTAGAGGTATGTATTGGTTCGGCTTTCGGACCCACGGCTAATCTAGCTCCAAAAGCACCGTGCGAAGAGCCTCGCGGAGTGTGTTCAGTTCCCGTGCCGTCCCCACTGTAATCCTTACGCAGCCTTTACATCCGGGTTGTCCACCCACATATCGAATGGAAATGGCGTGCTGCTCTCGTAGCTGCTCGGTTAGGCGCCTAGCTAGTACGTCGTCTCGTTCGCCCTGCGTGACAATGGGGACGAGTACGAAGTTTGCAGACTGGCCACCGATGGCAGTACCAATGCGATTGCGTGTAAGCAAGGGGTCTGCAAGCATCTTAACCAAAGAGTCCCTGTCAGCCATGATCTGGCGCTGCAGTGCAAGTGCAGATGTTTGGCCGCTTTCGGAAAGCGCTCGTTCGGCAATATCCAATACCACGCTTGACAACTTGTATGGCATTTGCACCTTGGAGAAGATGTCTATAATGGCAGGATGTGCAATGGCCATGCCGACCCTGGATACCTTTAGCGTTGCACAACATCGAAGGTGAGCTGAAAGCGGGCTCACTTCCGACGTACCTGATTCCGGCAAGTCCATGAGATTTACTCAGAGATTGTACGACGATCAAATTATTGTATCTTGGCAAGAGCTGCAGGGCTGAGGCCTGCGTCGCCGTTGGCGTGAAATCTATGTAGGCTTCATCAACAACGACAATGCCCTTGAAAGCTGACGGTAAGGTGTCTGTTAGCTCCTGTCAATGTGGGTATTAGAGCAGCTCCAACGAACCGTTGAGATCGAGAATGCGTTGTATCTGATTGATGGGAATCAGCGAGCCCGTGGGGTTGCCCGGCGACGCTAGGATGAGCAGCTTGATGTGGGGATCTTCCGAGAGTGTCGCGCAGATCTAGGAGTGGCTTTGTCAACCGTGCATCGCGCTTGGCAAGATTGGGGATAGACAAACCTGCTCTACTGGAACGTGGAAGGTCCCATCGTCTGCCAGGCTCTGCACGCACTCCTCCACGCCGACGCCTTGGAGCGTTGCACAAACTTTGTACAAGTCGAACGTGGGAGGCGAGATGAGGATCTTGTCTTGACCAGGTGTACAGATCATTCGTGTGATGATATCGACAACATCCGACGCGCCCGACCCTAGGCCGACCTGGTTGATGGCTAATTGCGAGTCACGATTAGCTAGCGAGCTCAGGCTTCACGACAAGAGAGATGCCATCTCTACGTACAGTCAAGACCTCGCCACTGCGCCACCCGCCGACGTAGAGACACCTGAGACGCTGAGGGATATCGATGCAGGTTGTCGATATTGATTGAGCCCTGCAGCATATTGCGCCACCAGCGCATGGGCGCGTCGAAAATGCGGGGCTCATCCTTTGGTGCAACCGCCAGACAGGAACCCGCGGAATTCTCGTTGGCATCGAGACACACAGCTGCACGTGCTTTCTCGTGGTCGGATGTGGTTGTCTGGTATTTCGGGAAGGCGAGAACATTCGGCCTGATACTGAATTCTAGCGAAAAGTGGCTGGGAAGTAGTGTTCCAGGCATGACGGGCTTGGGGGTGGATGGCACACACATTCCTTCCTAACGGCAGATTTATATATCGTCTACATGTCGAAAACGATGCTACACCCGATGTTTGGGTAGCCGGATGCAGCCTTCACGTCAACCTGCGCAGTGGCAGGCAAGCGGTCAGCTCGGGCAGCAGGGATATGGCAACCCTCTATCCAAGTTTCTCCACTCTCTCAAGACTCTCTCGGATCTTGAGTAACTGTCAAATGTATCTTGGTTCGTTGGTATCTCGAAGTATCGATCATCACGCTTCTCCATCGCTTCTTCTGCCTCCAGCCTCAATCTCAACTACTTCAGCGAAACACAAGCCTCTTTTACTCAGAACTACTTCTCAACGATTCAAATCATGGAACAACGAGAATGGAGACGTGTTAAGGCCGATACCGTGAACTACTCTATCGAGGAACTGGTCAAGCAGCCAGAGCCGTACACGTTTGACCATCCTCTAACCGTCGTCACCTATTTTGTATCATGGTCGCTATGGGCCGTGTATCTTACTTGCAGATATCAAAATCTCCCGCCCCTCACGCAAGCAGCAAGTACTTCTATTTGGCTTTCAGGATTGATATTTCTGACGGAGGTGCTTCTCCTCCTCCCGGCCATCTTCAGTGCGCTGCACATGGCTCTATACATCGTCTTCGGCAAACGCAACAAACACCGTGCGTCCTATCGACTTTCCGGACAGGAAGCGCCTACCATCGACGTCTGTATAACATGCTGTGGAGAAAAGCTCGACGTCATCATGGACACGGTTGCGGGCGCTGCCATGCAGGACTACCCCTCGGCGAGCTTTCGCGTCTTTGTTCTTGACGACGGCGGAAATGCAGCTCTGAAAGACGCCGTTGGCGACTATAATCGCTTGCACGGCACATCGGTCGAATATCTTGCAAGGACCAAATTGGAAGGCGAGTCCCACTTCTACAAAGCTGGAAACCTTCGCTTCGGGCTCGAGACAACGGAGAATTTTGGCAAGGGCTCCGAGTACTTTGCAAGTCTGGATGTCGACATGATAGCGGAGCCTGACTGGCTTCGCCGAGTCGTCCCGCATCTTATTCTCGATTCCAGTATGGCTTTAGCATGCCCAGCACAGGTAGGAATCCGGCAGACTAGAAATGCATGCGATTACTCAACCAATGCTAATACACATAGTGGCATTACAACATTCCCAACCCAGACCTGCTCGGTCAGGCCGGCCCGGCGTCTATGGAGATTTTCGAACCGATGCATGACAACATTGGCCTCTCGCATTGTTTTGGCTCGGGATACATTGTCAAGCGCAACGCGCTCAAGCAAGTTGGAGGGTGGCCCAAAGTGCCCGTCGGCGAGGATATCTTTTGCTCCTACATGCTGGCTGGACATGGATGGGGTATCGCTTTTGTGAAGGAGTTTGTGCAATACGGTCTCACCGCAGGATCCTTTGAAGCACTCAGCAGACAGAGAATGCGATGGGTAAGTTACAGCCCAGACATGGTGGTGAAGTGAGCATGCGGTCGGTCGCTGACAAGTGCATGCAGGCTGACGGTGATTTGCTCTTGATGAAAGGCATCAACTTCTTCATTCCATCACGAGACCCGGCACCTCGCAGGACAGTTCCGCAAAGACTGTCTGCCATCATCAAGATCTTGCGCTCCTTCACTGCCGCAACGGATTGCATAGCTATGATACTCTTGCCCGTCACATTATGGATTGCGAGTAGTCGCAACGACGGTGCAGCAGGGCAAACGTGGGGCTCTGAGCGACACAGCTTGAGAGGGCTTCTCTTGGCCACAATACTTATGGATAAGATCAACAACGCCATGATCTACTGGAAGGTAGGGCGGCAGACGGAAAGCCGGTTCTGGGCAGCGCCTTGTGAGTATCGCCATGAGCTCGTCTAGCGAAGACACATATTAACACATTTGGACAGGGACTACAGCAAGAATGATATACTTGGCGCTACCGCAGACTATCGTTTCTTTTACAGCCACAGGAACAGTTCAATCGGCAGTCAACGAGCGTCAGGCCAGCCTGCGCAAGGGACTCGCGACCCGACTGCTGTCATGGACCATGGTGGCGTACTTTGTTTACACCATCTCTGCCTTGACGGCCCTGGGATCGGTCCTGATGAACAAGCCGGGTAGAGGCGGGCAAGGTACAGGAGCGGCACTGCGTCTAGTAGAGTGTGTTTACAAAGTATCGGTGCCGCTCCGGTACATGACATCTCCCCCGACCGTTGCGGAGCGGCGAGACCTCATGGAGCAGGATGAGTTGGGCGTATACCGACCGAAGGAGAAGTATAGCATGAAGGTAAGCAAGCGGATCACGTGGCTGGACGTGGCAGAGGTTGCGACAATGGTCGTTCTGGATTGGATATGAGGACACATGCGACGTAGATGGCTAGATCAGACTCGGCTGATGTATAAATGTGCCGCGGCATCTCCCAATAAACTCTGCCGTTCGCACCACCGATTTGTTGTGAGCACCGCCACACGCACCGCCACCGGACGGAGCTACAATCACCCGATCGCTTCCCATGTTGCCGTCACCTGTCCAAGCGCACGCCGCTCATGAAATTCCAGCTCACAATACGGGAAAAAACGAATCTGAAACGTCACGGCGCAGATGGGCTGCACTACTTGGCCCGCACCTGGCGCGCGCCTTGAATGCCAGTGAATCGTATACAGCCATCGACATCAAGAGCCACCTTGCCTTTTTCAATGACCATGTCTGTTCTTGGCTGGGACAAGGGCCGCCGTGCCCGCTGCGACCTGCATTTCCGTCGGCGTTGACATGCGATGCGACACCACTGGAATTAAGCTACAGCTGGAATGGCACGACGCCGGTTGCGGTCCGCTATGTCGTCGATGTGGTTGCGCTAGACAAGACTCTGACTCGTTCGGCGTCTCTCTCCGCCGCCCGTTTGGCGATTGACAGGTTAACGCGTGCGGGAAGCGGCCCCGGGGCGTACCGCATCGACATGCTGCCAGACGTGTGGGTGGCGGTGACGGCGCGTCTCGCCTACTGGGAGCACACCGTTCACCCGGCCCTCGCATGCGACCTGTGCAGCCCTTCGTCAACATTCGTCGGCTTCGACCTCGCTGCTTCACGCGCACGCGGCAAGCTGTATTGGCTACTGCCTTCTTGCCTCTCCCCCCAAGTCTTGCTAGACCTCTTGGACGACGTCTTCGCACTATTGCCATCCGACATCGTCGCCCACTGGCGTCACGTGCGCCACTACCTGAGCTCGCATGGCGCCAGCGAGTTGAGGCCGCGCATGCTCTCGATCGATGCTTCACACTACCCAGCTCCGCGCATCAAGCTATACAGCCGCTGTTATTTCAACTCGCACGCCTCCTTCTCCGCTGTAGAAGCCCACCTCACTATGAACGGGGCCGTTCCGCTCCCCCCACACAGCCACTACGCGAATCTGTGGGCCCGTCTGCAGGCCAGGTACCGATCAGATCCGCGGCCACAGTCGCGCTACTGCATGGTTGTGCACGACATATTACCCTTGCAGCTCAGGAGTAAACTCTACTGGTTTGCCCACCAGATGCCCTGCGGCGACGGTCTCATCATCAACGACTTCCTAGCCGACTTCGCCCAGCCTACTGACCTGCTTCGACGCCAACTCCGCGCTGGCCATTTGTCCGAAGAGTCCAGCTTCATCCGCGAAATTGGCCTGGCTCAACGAGACGGCGCTTTTGACATTGCCACTTACATCAGTCCTGCTTTGTTTTCCACGTAGCTAGCTTACCTACCTCCACATGCTCCGCAATACCTGCTTCCAAGTCTCTCCCCTCTTGCCATACCTAGGGAGCTAATCTCGTTTCATCGTCTTCTTCTCTCATCTCAGCGCCCAACCAACGGGTTATTTGCCTCGTCAACACTGACACCATGACGAACAGACCCGCCGACACCCAGAAAGGGAGATACGTCCACCGGCCCCCCTTTTGCATGCCGCTCATCAGTAGGCCTGCGAACATGGGGCCACTCACAATGCCGGCCATCCGATCTGCCACATTTAGACCCGTATAGAGCATCGTAATCCGATCTTTTGGGATTGATCGGGTTACGCTCGACTGCAATGCGCCTGCCATACCCCACCCCATCATATAGACGAGTATGGAGCATATAAACACCACTACCCTCATTCCCTCTAGTGTGCTGAGAGATGACATCGCCGATCCCAACATACCCAATAACGTTAGCCATTGGCAGACAGTAACCAGAGCGATGTCGAGCCGTGCGCTTGCGTAGCCTGCCCTTTGCAGCCTGTGGAATGACCATGAGAATCCTATCAGCGTCATGGCCGCCACCAGACGTTGACCCGCCATGAGGTAGTTGGTGTGGGCGAATGTCCAGTCGAAGCTACGGCTGCTCCATTGCTGCACGATGTTGTTTACGCCGTGTCCTAGCTCATTTAGGAAGACAATGGCCAGTGCCATGGCCGTCGTAGGCTCGAGGAATAGTACCGAAACTCGCCGACCTGCTGTCGTTATCGAAGCCCATATTTGCTCCCACACAGGCAGCTCCTGGTTCTCTTTCGTCCCGCCACTGGCGTGCGCGAGTAGAGGATCAGTGGCATCTTCAAAACCTCCATCTGTTGTCCTAGATCCTTGCTTTGGCTCGGGTGGGTCCGCAATCAAGCAGAGAGCGGGAACAGCCAAGCAATGCATCGCCAGGCCTAACAATGCGGGTGCCCATAAATTGTCTTGCATGAGACGAGCCCCCACCATCTGGCCGACGGCATTGACGATGAGGCGCATGGCGTTGAGGAGAAAAAGAACTTTGCTCCTGCGTCTCTCGGTTAGCCAAATTTGGACTACGCCATGGCGGAACGGATACGGTACAGATGTGCCGCGGGCAGGCTCTCGGCGATCAAGGCGTTGGCGACGCTCAACAGAACGCCATCGCCACCACCGAAGATTCGCCAGAGAGACTGGCCCAAAACAAGCCGGACGTCGAATGTCTGGTGATAGTAGCCTGCATCAAGCTTGCGTCAGCTCGTCGGTCTACCATCAGTCACGGCGAAAGAGTCCTCATGACTCACAGATGCATATGTAGTATGTGAAAGTGCTGACGGCGCCAGCGACATTGGCAGCTAAGATCATGCGTCGACTGAATCGTGCGCAAAGGGCCGCATATGGAAAGGCTGTCATGATCTCTGGTCTTTGTTAGTTGCTTTCATGAGTGACCAGCGGGAAAAGGGCTTCGAAACGCGCTCTCACCAACGATGGATGACACAGCCATGTTGTATGCATTGATCATGGCCAAGTCTTTCTGTACGGGTATTGCCTTGCACCTGTCTTCGGTCAAGTCTGCATCCGAGGGCACAGATCCAGGAGATCGTTGACCGTGATAGGAACGACATAAGTCCAATTCGACGATGCGTAGGAAAGGCGCTTTGCATAAAGCCTGCCCCAATGACATGACCACGAGGAGGAGGCCACATCCTAGGGCAGTGTGATATTTCGAAGCAATCATTGTGGGAAGAGATTCTGGTGCAAGTGGAATGGCGCTGCCGATGTGAAGAAATTCCATACCCTGTTCAACTCACGTGCCGAGAGGGTGCTGCAGCCTGCGCATCATTCATCTTTGACCTCGATCGCTTGAGACTGCGAAACGTTGCGTATGTGGATATCCATTACGCATAACTCCGTTCTCAAATCGCTGGTATCTTCTTTTAATTGCTTTTCATCCTCCTCGTTCTAGAGATGGCAATCATGAAAGACAAACACCAGACTATACTTATCATTGGCGCAGGCATAGCTGGGCTTGCTCTCGCGCAGGGTCTCAAGAAGGTCCGTATCACCACGACCGTCCGCTTATTATTTCCACTCACTGACAAAACAAATAGAAAGGGATTCCATTTCTTGTTTTTGAAAGAGATGCATCAGCCGTGAGCCGGCCCCAGGGATGGGCTCTCACAATCCATTTCAGTCTGCCACTATTGTTAGACTTTCTTCCCGACGATATTGCAAGCCGACTACACACCACGAAAATAGACCAGGCTCCAGGACAAGATCAGAGTCACTCAATATTTCTCAACCTGGAGACTTGCACCTCTAAATGGTCTTTACCGCCCACATACGGTAACCGCATGCGGGTCGTGCGAGGCCGACTTCGCAACATGCTCATGGACGGCATTGAAGATAGAATTCTATGGGGAAAGAAACTGGCATCATTCGACGTCGGGGCAGAAGGCGTCAAAACAGTCTTCAGCGACGGAAGTTGTTACAGCGGACAGCTTCTAGCTGGGGTGGACGGGTGTCACTCGACGGTCCGGTCCTTGCGGTACGGAGCGGAGCTCTCGCAACCCACACCCATCCCAGCCTGCTTCCTAGGCACCCAAGCACTGGCCACGGCATCCCAGATGAAACCACTGCTTGCACTGGACCAGACGCTTTTCCAAGGGTCGCACCCAACGCACCCTGCCTGGATGTGGTTTTCCGTCATGGAACGCCCGAAGCCAGGTGGAGCAGACCCTGTGTGGCGTGTGCAAATATGTCTCTCGTGGCTTTCCGCCAACGGGCATGCAGATATACCCAGCACGGACAATGGGCGCATTGCCTTGATGAGGCAGAAATCGGCAGACTTTCACCCGACGTTCAAAACTATCTTCCATGACATCCTGTCCGATAGCCATGGGCCCGTTGTCAACGTTCCTTTGGAATTCTGGTGGCTACCTTGTGATGACTTACCCGGTGATGCAAAGGGCCGTGTCACTCTCGCGGGTGATGCGGCGCATACTATGCCTCTATGTTTGTCCTGCCTACCTCCTTGAACGAGCTGTTCGTGTATCGCTAACTTGGCTAGATCGCGGAGAAGGCTTCAATCACGCTCTCATGGATGTGCACAAGCTTCTTGAAGCTATCGATGGCGTGCGCGCCAACGACGCAGATAGAGAACGCATAGTTCGTGACTATGAGATTGAGGTACGCGCGCGCGGTCGCCGATCTGCGTTGATGTGTCGCGACGCCTGTCTTGAGGTACACCAGTTCGATGAACTTGGTGATCATTCTGTTGTACGCCAAAAGACTTTCGAATAGTACCAAGGCTGTTGGGCAGGGGCTAGTTGTTCCGCCGGTCTCCCTTTCTTTCGCATCTGCTCCCGTTGTTCCGATTGCTTCTCAATATCGAGACTATATCATGCCTGGTCGTCAGACTATCCGTGCACGAAGAAGGAAATAGGATCGCACTCGCTAGGCACGTGTATCCTGAACCTTCATGGGTTCGCAAATTATGATCATCGAGATAATCGATGGTGCTCAAGAGATGTCCCAACTCGGTGGTGCTTGACAAGACTACTCATTCTCAACACAGCAATGCTTCGCCGCCGTCGCGTCTCAGACATCAGCTCTTTGGTGCTTGTCTCGTATCTTTGCTTTACGTGTAGCGTTGGTTCTTGAGTCGAGTTGCAAAAGCATAATAGTACACTACCCGCACATCATTGGCGATCTGTCGATCACCCGCTTCCCGAATCTTCCTACCACGTCGCACAAGGGAAAAGGGCGACGCTCAAGCCTACTTTGGCGAGTTCGAGCCCGACTAGAAGTGTCGCATGCCTCCCATGCCTCCCATCTAGGACGTGCGACCATGAAAATAGAAGCAGAACAAATTCAGTTCATCTCCGGAAATGCTACGACGGCGACGTGCTCAGACATGCTTCTTCCACGGCCCATGGCTGTGTATATATCAAAAGGTCTTGTTCGTGCATGCCCTTCACATCCTCCAAAGGACCGGCGCGAATTCATTCCTTCCCTAATTCTCGCATGTGATCATTGCAGTACGCACGCGAGTGACTGCCTCGCCCCAAAATGTTCTTCACCATGACCATCGCCTGGAGCATGGTCAACCTAATACATGTGGCTCAGCTCATCCTGGCGATTGGCTTGAGCAGCTCTGCTTCAACACGCCTGTTTCTCTGGCTGCGGCGCTCGGACTTGCGGAAAGCATTATTCGAAAACGACCAGCGATATCAAGATGAAGATGGGTGTGCATCGGAAGAGTCACTCATCAGGTTTTCCGACCGCTGGCCACGAGCTCTGTTTGCCACCAATACTTTCGTTGGTAGCTTGGCCGGTTTTGGGCTCGTCGTGCTTGGGTCGCGCAACAGGCTCTCGATCGACCGGGTCGTTCAATTTGGGATATGGGTACGTTGAAATTCTTCTTTCATCGTGTTGATCCGACTAATGAGTGATGTGTAGATCACGTTGATGCTACAGTCCATGACGTTGTTCACCGAGCCATGGGCTCCGCGCCGATTCGGATTAGCGCTGCGGGGCAGCCTGAACTCCGTCAACGTAGCATGCGCGGTCCTCTTCGCCAGATACAACGACCTTTCGCAATGGAGCCAGCTACTACAGGAAGAGCGCATTCTCATAATCATCGAGCTCGTGTCAGCCGCCCTGGCTGGTGCGCATGGCTTACTGCTGCCACGCCGCCCGGAGGTCTTCTGGAACGGAGTTGTTGTGGACCGACAAGCCACAAGCTCGGTGTTTGGCCTATTGTTCTTCTCTTGGTCCCAGTCATCGCTGCATGTCCTATCGAAGGCAACAGCGCCGATGATATGCTGCCTTCCGGAGCTCAATTACAGAACGCGCGCGCTACACCTCCTGCAGCAGTTTCGCCAACATGACACTCTTCAAAACAATCCGTACCCTCTCTGGAGAAAGTTGTTAGCCGTTTACTCGCGGAAATTGACTGTGCAACTGAGTTTGACCATTTTTGGATCCATCATTAGCTTTGCGCCGCAAATGATGCTTCTTGGCATCCTCAGGGCCATGGAGCGAGAGACCGATAGCGAAAATAGACTGACTACGACTACTCCGTGGATACTTGGTCTTGGCGCCAGCGTCATTATCTCTGCTCTGGTAGAGAAATGGACTGTTTGGGTGTCGAGCATAGACTTGGGTCTCAAAATGCAGAAGCAGCTTACCATGCTTCTCTTTGACAAGATGCTTCGAGGCATGTCTACTGAACCGGAAGAAGAGGACGACGAGGATGATACAAAACCAACAGACCCAGCAAGTCTCAACCTTATCAATCTGGTCGCGGCCGATACGCAGCAGATCGGCAACTGCATTCGAGAGGTCTACCGGGGTTACGAGTCGCTCATTAAGCTTGCAATCTCCGGCTTCCTTATTCAGCAGCTTATGGGATGGAGAAGTCTGGTCGCCAGCATCGTCATGATAGCCGCGCTTTTCGGTGCCAATGCCCTCGTTGCACGGCGGCTCGCGCAAGGGCAGAGCAAGCTCATGGCGGACAAGGACCTACGCGTCTCAGCCGTCACGGAAGCTTTGCTGGGAGTCCGTCAGATCAAGCTTTCTGGAGCGGAGGATAACTGGGCCGCGTATGTTTCAGACCAACGCAATAAAGAGCTGTACAGTCTCTGGGCCGTCAATCGATGGAGCATGGCCTCAAGGGCAATCTGCACGCTAACCCCAATCGTACTTTCCGTACTCGTCATCTCGATACATGTACACGCTACCGGGAGTTTGAAAGCATCTACCGCTTTTACTGCGCTATCTATCCTTGGATCTATCAACGGTACACTGGCGGCTATTCCTCCCCTGCAATCAAGTTGGGTGCGCGCCTCGAACAGCTTGCGACGCCTCCAGGACTACCTCTATGCGGCTGATCAGTGCTTTCCCTCGACCAACCATGATGAGATTAGCTTCAGCAACGCCACGATACGGTGGAATGGCACAGGGCTGAACGACTTCGCTCTCAAAGACCTGACATTATCCTTTCCTCCAGGTGCTGTGAGCGTCATCGAAGGGCCCAATCGCTCTGGAAAGAGTCTACTACTGGCCGCTGTCCTTGGCGAATGCGAGCTCGTCTCGGGCAATGTCACCAAGCCCGGCCTTTTCGCTCAGACACAAGGTGTCCCAGGCGGCCGCTCTTGGCCCTTGAATGTAGCAATCGCGTATGTGGGACAGACGCCGTGGATTGAAGCTGGCACGATCATGCAAAATATCACATTCGGGCTTCCGATGCAAGCAAGACGGTACAAGAAGGTACTTTTTGCCTGTGCCCTGGAAACGGATCTTGCAACTTTCAAGGATGGCGACTGGACCGAGATCGGACCGCACGGAGTCAATCTCAGTGGCGGCCAGCGCTCACGTATCGCACTTGCGCGTGCCCTCTACTCCTCCGCGGCTACACTAGTACTGGACGACATCTTCAGTGCTGTTGACGCTCACACTGCGCTTCATATCGCGGAGCATGTTTTAAGCGGCTCACTCATCCAGGGACGTACCGTTATCTTGGCATCACACCATCCCTCGCTTTATATGCCCAGTGCGAACTACATTGTTTCACTATCGGGCGATGGCCAGTACCAGTGCAGATATGCTGACGACCGCATTGATAAAGAATCACAGGATACACCTAGCGCTATGAGAAAAATGACCACAAGGATTCGCTCTGGGTCCATTGCCAAAGCTAGGTCGAGACACTCTCGCAATCTCTCAACCTTATCTGTCACATCTGGGGAGCTTTTTGTGATTCCTGATATCACGGGCGTCCTGACGACTCACCAATACGTCGCGGATGAGCAGGAACGGAACTCAGGATCGCAGCACAGTACCTTGATGTTATATCTGCGGTACATTGGAGGCCTCTGGTACACACTATTGATTGTCCTAATATACGCGGGCAATGTTGGTATTGTCGTCGGACAGGTATGTCTTGCGTCGTGAACACGAGCGATTTCGTAATGCTAACGATTATTAGTCATGGTGGATCGCCCATTGGGTACAAGAAGACGAACGAAGTACTCAAGCCATGCGCATTGCCAGAAACGACAACGATACCGGCCTCTTTTGGTACTTGGGTATTTACGCGGCATTTGCAATGGCGACTTGTCTTATCGGCATTGGGCAAGAATACCTAACGTACGCGTCCATGTTCAATGCTTCAAGACGGTTGTTCGACATGCTGTTGCACGCTGTCTTACGTGCACCCATGGACTTCACCGACCGCAATCCCCTAGGCCGGATCATGAATCGTTTCACAAGCGACACGGCGATTCTTGATGAGCAAGTGGGGCAAATCCTCGGCAGCGCTTTGACAAGTGCCCTGATGCTGATTTCGATCTTCGGAGTCGGAAGTAGCGTTAGTTGGTGGACGCTACCCATGTCCTTACCGATGCTTTTCATGTGCACTTACAGCGCACTTCAGTTCTTTCAAATAGCACGCAAACTAAAGCATCTCGATAACATCAGTCGCAGCCCGGTACTTGAAAGCTTTTGTTCAACCATGGATGGCCTGCCTACTATCCGGTCGATGCTTCTGCAGGAGAGATATACCCTCAAGTTCGGAGCCTTGGTCGACGACAACACACGGGCACTTTGGAATCTTTGGCTTGTAAACGCCTGGTTCGGTTGTCGTATGGCAGTGATTGGGTCCGCCTTTGTAACTGCAGCCACCTTGATCATCGTTTCGATGCCCGGCATCACAGTCGCAATGACAGGTTTCGCTCTGGGCTTCCTCATCCGCTACACGGAGACTGTTTCTGCGTTTGTTCGCAACTTCATCAATCTCGACCTTGCCCTCACCAGCACAAGCCGCATTCTCGAGTATACCAACATACCAAGCGAGCATTACAGCTGCGGAATGTTACCACCCGCAGCCTGGCCAGAGTCGGGCCGCGTAAAGATTTCCGATCTAGTCATCAGACACGCGCCCCATCTCCCTCCTGCTCTAAATCACGTCAGCTTTGAGATTGGTCCAAACGAGCGGGTTGGGGTTGTCGGTCGCACAGGCGCAGGGAAATCGACTCTTGCAATGGCCTTCTTTCGCATTCTCGAAGCGGAACAGGGCAGCATCACGCTTGATGGCATCAACATAGCGGATGTGGCTCTACAACAGCTGCGCCAGCGTCTCTCCATCATAACGCAAGACCCGCATCTCTTCTTTGGTACTGTCCGCACAAACCTCGATCCTTTTGACAAGCATGACGATACGGATCTCGTCCATGCATTGGAACAAGTTCATTGGCCCGGCTGCGGCGATGGGCATAGCAAAAAAACGAATCGACTATCTGGTCCTGGTTTGTTCTCAGATCCCGATGAGGCGGTTTCTAGAAGACGCATGCGTGTTCTATCATTGCTCGAGCAACCCATCATGGATGGCGGAAGCAATCTCTCCCAAGGCCAGCGCCAACAACTCAGCCTCGCACGCGCTATCGTTGATCGCTCAAGGCTTCTCATCCTAGACGAAGCGACATCCTCCATGGATCCAGTCGTTGATGCAGCAATCCAAAAGTCGATACGGGAGCTATCCGCATGCGGGTTTGCTTCTATGCTTGTTATTGCGCATCGGATAGGAACAGTCATGGACTTTGACAAGATCATCGTGTTAGACAAGGGAGTTGTTGTGGAAACTGGTAGCCCTAGCGAACTGCTGAAGCTGCCAGGGGGACACTTTAGAGGCCTAGCCGAAGACGCTAGAGAAACGGTCAAGGAAGCTGAGGTGCAAGAGATGATTATTGAGACTATACACACGCGCGAAAGCGTTTTCATACAAGAGTCTATACAGCATTCTGTCTCGTAATCCGCAAGGAGGAGGTAAATGCAGCGCTGGCGGTTTGCAAAACGGAGGTTAATGTCTATGTAAACGTTGATGTTTCAGAACATGAAAACATCTCTATTTTTTATTCTACCTTTGCACTCATATTTACTCATCGCGCATCTCATTATCTCTGCCGCACTGAGTAACATGAACGATAACAGCGTCAGCATCCCGTTGTCGCATGCGGATAGCATCTGCGACACACTCCGCCACTAGCCGACAAAACCGACTAGCCCGCACGCTCGTGCATACACTTCCTGCAAGTGATTGCAAGGATACAGGAACGGAGCGGCCGCACCCTGACGTTGGTTACATGTGCTGCAAGCCAAGGTGTACTTAATATGCATATTGGCTTAGCTCCTCGAGACACCATCGCCCGCATGCTAATCTCGATTCATTCATTGATCAGCATGCCCTACCACTGCGTCATGAGCGCCTTTCAACATGAGAACGCTCAAATTGCTCCGGCATGCAAACGACTGTATTGCATAAGACCAGCGCCGTACAAGCGGCTATGCGCGTGCCCACGTGACATCACCGTCTCACTTTACATGCTCGCACTCCCGTACACACGATTGAAGGTACAAGCAATCTCTTGATGCAAAAGCTGGACATTCCACAACTTCTCCACGCGTATATCACATCATGGCAGATATCAACGTAGAAGATGTCCTATCTCAATTGACGCTCGCAGAGAAATGCAGCCTCCTTTCAGGTTCGTCGTATCATCTACATCTCGCTCTCGCTCTCTCCATTACAACCACAAGAAGCATCTCCTCACTGGCCGAATACTAACCATCACCCAGGCGGTTCATTCTGGCGCACCCTCCCAATCCCCCGCCTCTCCATCCCCTCCCTCTGCATCACCGACGGCGCCGACGCCGTCCGCGGCAGCCGCTTCTTCAACTCAACACCGAGCGTGTGTCTCCCCTGCGGCTCCGCCCTTGCCTCAACATGGAACCCGGACCTACTTCAACGCCTCGGCACGCTAATGGGCGAAGAGTGCCGTGCAAAGAAAGCCCACGTTCTACTCGCTCCCACAATCAACATCCCGCGCAGCCCCCTCGCTGGCCGCATCCACGAGTGCTACGGCGAAGATCCATATCTTGCTGGTATGTTGGCGGGTGGGTTTATCTGCGGGATAGAGCAAACGGGTATAACGGCGACAGTGAAGCATTTTGTTTGTAATGATCAGGAGCAAGGGATTTTTGCCATGGATTGCGTGGTCAGTCAGAGGGCGTTGAGGGAGATTTATCTGAGACCTTTTGAGTTGGCAGTTCAGCTGGGGAGGCCGGGGGCGCTAATGACGGCTTATAATAAGGTTAATGGGGTGCATGTTACGGATAGTGTGGAGTTGTTGAAGGAAGTGTTGAGAGGGGAGTGGGGGTACCAGGGGCTTGTTATGAGTGATTGGTAGGGCTTTTCAAGTTGTTGAGTTGGAAAATGTGTACTAATTTGGTTATAGGTTTGGCATGTACGGCGTGCAAGGAGCAGTCGAAGCAGGCGTTGACCTAGAGATGCCCGGTCCAGGTGAATGGAGAGGCAAGCGGCTCGCCCATGCCGTTGCAGCGAAACGAGTAGATAGGGACTGTGTAGATGACCGAGCAAGAGCGGTACTGAATCTGGTCAAGAAAGCGTCGGCGTCAAAGATCGAAGGCACCGAAGAAGAAACACTGGACAGACCTGAGGACAGAGCTCTCTTGCGCGAGGCAGCAGCCGAGTCCATTGTCCTCATGAAGAACGACGAGAACATCTTACCCTTCGACATCAACAAGCCAATAGCAATCATCGGGCCCAACGGGAAGGTAGCAGCCTACCGAGGAGGACGAGTAGCACATCTACGTCCCTACCACACCGTCACGCCTTTTGACGCAATCACAGAACGATCCCAAGCCGACGTCCACTTTTCACAGGGCATCTACAACCACTACGAACTGCCACTACTCGGCGCACAAATGCGAACAAAGAGCGGGAAAGTAGGCTACGACATGACCATCTACTCCGCCCCACCAGACGCAACAACATCTACACGCCACCTGCTTGACCACTACGAGCTCCTCAACTCGTGCGGTTTCTTCTTCAACTACCACGACAAGAATCTGCGCGAGTACTCCATCGATATCACAGGCACCTTCACACCCTCCGAATCCGGGCTTTTCGACTTCGGCCTCAGCGTCCAGGGAACCGCGAATTTGTACATCGACAACGAGCTAATCATCGATAACACATCGCACCAAAAGAAAGCAGATGGATTCTTCCGCAACGGTACAGTCGAAGAACACGGGAGCATGCACGTCGTCGCAGGGCAAACGTACCAAATCCTGTGTCGCTGGAACTCACCCAGCACATCCGGCTCAGCCAACAGCGGCAGCGACGACACAGCTTTTAAACCAGGTAACATCCGTCTAGGCGGGTGTCACCGCCTCGACACAGACACTGCCATCGCATCTGCCGCTCACCTCGCCTCCCAAATCGACCAAACCATCATCCTCGCCGGCTTCGTCGGCGAATGGGAATCCGAAGGCAACGACCGCAAAGACATGAACTTACCCCCCAATACCGACTCTCTCATCACCGCCGTCCTGTCTGCAAACAGCAAAGCCGTTGTAGCCATCAGTTCCGGCGGGCCTTACTCTATGCCATGGCTGTCTGACACGAAAGCACTCCTACAGGTCTGGTACGGCGGCAATGAAACGGGGAATGCGATCGCGGACGTGGTATACGGAATCACGAATCCGAGTGGCAAGTTGCCGCTGAGTTTTCCGGTGAGGGTGCAGGATAATCCGGCGTTTCTTTGTGGACATGCGGATCAAGAGAGGGTGCTTTATGCGGACGATGTTTATGTGGGGTATCGGTTTTACGATACTGTTCAGAGGGAGGTGGCGTTTGCGTTTGGGCATGGGATGTCGTATACGACATTTGAGATTAGCAACGCTACGGCCAAGATAGATGGAGAGGAGCTGGTGGTTGAGTGCCAAGTTGAGAATATGGGGGAGAGGGAGGGGAAGGAGACGGTGCAGGTTTATGTGAAGAACCGGGAGGTTAGTGTGAGGGGGCCGGAGAAACAATTAAGGGGGTTTAGTAAAGTGAGTGTGGGGAAGGGGGAGAAGAGGAAGGTGGAGGTCAGGATGGGGCTTTGGGGTGCGACGGCGTGGTGGAGTGAGGACAGGGGGAAGTGGGTGAGGGAGAAGGGGAGGTATGATGTTTTGGTGGGAGCGTCGAGTAGAGGGGCGTTTGCGAGGGCAGAATTCACGCTGGATGGTACGGAAGAAACGGTCAGTCGGTGAGGTGTTGTGGTAGAGAAGGATGTCGGTCGATAGTGCTAGGTCGCTGTCCTTTTGTCTTCATTCAAAGTTCTTCGCCGGGTATCTACATTGTCTCCTCTTATCGCTCTCTCAGCCACAAACCATACCATCCCTAGGTTCCTCAACAACCTCCTTCTTATCACCCTCCTCGCCCACAACCCTCTCCTCAACCCTTCCCCCGGGCTGTAGTCCCACACTTTTAGCCAATTCCTCCTCATTCTCCCCCTTCTCAGCTTCCTCCTTTGCTTTCCTCTCAGCCTCTTCCTCCAACCTCTTCCTCTCCTTCTTACTAATAGTCATACTCCCCTTCTCCAACGCCTCTTTAGGCAGCGGTCTAACATACGGCTGACACACCCAATACGGCCTCTTGACACGCGCAACAGTCGCGAGAGAACTCTCATATGGATCCAACTCCTGCTCTCCATTCCCAGCCTCTTGTACCTTGAAAGGTGCAGCGAGCTGGGGTTCCGTAGCAGCGTCATTAGCGTGCTCCTCCTCATACTTCTGAATCCCCTCTTTAACAGCCTTCTCAACCAAACTCAGTACATTCTCAAACGCATCGATATCGCCAGTCCTCGATCGTGCCAGTGCATCTCGTACATTGTGATGTTGAGAAACGAGTGGACGCAGTAGATGAAACAGATGAGCTTGCATAGCCGTGAGATTAGGGTTGCTGGCTTCCTTCTTCTTCGCAGCTTTAGACAACGGTTTCTGTTTCTTCTTTGGTGGACTTTCCCCCTGTTCGACTGGTCTTTTGCCGTTTTCTGCTGCATCCGTGTTCGAGCTAGGCTTTGCTGTTTCTTCCGATTGCTTCGATGGCTCTTCAATTTCGGGGTCGCCAGGCATCCAAAGGGGTTCCCGTTGTGGCGGTTCCTGACCGAGCGCATATTTATGGATGATGTCCATATACCGTCTCATCACAGCGTCCATCCTATACCCACCTTTTCCATCGCGTCCACGCCAGTATTCTCGTCCTTCCTGACCGGGTGGCGGTGGTGCAGCGAAGATGGTGGGATCGTAGAGGTTTCCTTCTGCGCTCATAACGCCGTCTGCGCCTGTGGCTTCTAGACACGCTGCGATGTCTTCATGTTGGAGGATGTTGCCGTTGGCGAAGATGACAGTTTCCTTAGGGAGGTTCTCGCGCAGATGGCGGATCATCTTCCAGTCTGCTAGTCCTGTGTTATGACCTTTCTGTTCTCGGCGTCGGCCGTGCACTGTAATGATGCTTGCGCCTGCATCTAGCAATGTCTTTGCGTATGCGAGTGTCTTCTCTGGTGTCTCCAGCACCCTCATCTTCGCTGTGACAGGAACGTCCAACTCCTCGTGTAGTTTGCGGATCATCCTGGATATCAGATCCCAGTCTTCCTGCAAGAATGCACCGTATTTCCCCCTCTTCGCGATTCCTTGTGGACATCCCAAATTCAGGTCTACCGCATCGCAGAAAGGTGCGACGTGTTTTGCCGCGCGCAAAAAGTCTTCGGGATCGTTTGAGCAGAATTGTACGGTAAGGGGTCTGTCGAACGCAGGATTGCCGTCGAGATGTCTGTCCGACTCAGGTAGTTGTGAGAGGTGGTAGTCGTCGCTGGGTGAAGGGATGGTCGACTTGAGGGGTTGGAAGTGCGCATCACGGTAGTTGCTCTTCTCGCCGAACATCTTCGAGTGGAACATTGGAGTATATGCTAGGAGGTCTTTCTGTTGGGATTCGGGAAGGAACGAGCGCGAGAGTAGTCGCCATGCCTACAGTCATTGATGTTAGCCATCATCTTTGCTCAGAGTCGTATGAGATGAAGAGACATACGAACTCAGACTGTTCGACCATGGGCGCAAGCACCAACTTCGGACTGCCGATACTCTCATAGAATGCGCGCCCATGTAGTTTCCTTCTTTTCCCGTTTGACTGCGCCACTCCATTACTGCTTCCATTTTCTTGCGTCATTCCATTCCCGGTATTGCGCAGAGTCCCCGCCACCTCTCCATCCTGCACCGCTGTCTGAGCCATAGTCGCCATCTGCGCAAAGTATCGCTTCGGAAAACCTCTTGCTGACCTGGGGGCGACGACGCCCCCAAATACTTGGAGAAGAGAAGGACGTATGGCGCCGAATACCGAACGAAGTGAGGTTGAGCTCTTATCGAGCCGGCGAGTGAAGCGCGTGCAGTAAAGTCGTACGACCGTGAATGCCGATTGATTTCGAGTAAGATCAGGTCAAGAGCACGAATCAAAGGATGTATAAGGCAGTCTCGCGTATCTCACCAGATCCCTCGATGACTCGTGCAGTAAACGTCGTCGTGCTCGTCCGGCAAAAAAACGCCAGCAGCACTCCACCGCATCTGACCAATCGGAGTGCGGGGTATCTCCGAATGGCACTATTGTGCGAACGAGGTACGAGGGGGAGTCAAGCACTTCATCTATAACACTTCAATCATTTTGCTTCTTTACTGCATGTTTATCGATGTTTCATTCAGTTACCGGTCATAATCGAGAATACTTGCATGTTGGGGTGAGGTCTTGGTGGATCCATAATCTACACAACTCCATCCATGCTCGAAACCTTACAAGGGAGATGCCAACATATAAGCCATATCCAAATATCATCTATAGTTCTCGACTACTGGGTTCAATACCAAACATTTCCGACTGCATGGCACATAACCCACAAGTGGTCTCCACGCATCAAACACATCTTTTAGCCTCGCCCGGCCAAACCCTGACCGACATCACGCCATCAGGGTACCACATCACCTCACGCTGGCCACGCCTCCCACATATACATGCACATGCCCATCACCTCACCGATACACACACACGGACGGAAGTAGAGGGAAGAGACTTCCACCACCACCCCTCCTCCTCCCCTTCGCCTCTCCCACCCCCACCCACACATCACAACACTCACCACGCCTATTCACATATATCAAGGCATCCAGCACATCACCAATACACTTTTACACTCATGAGTTCAGAATATGCCAATATGATTTCATCTCTTCTCATCGAACTACAACCACCGTCTTCCCCGCATACCACATGATAAAACACATACACCCAGCCGAACAACCATCAGCCATTTACGCAGAAACCTCTAGGTCATGGCGGCACGCAGTAAGGTGATGCAGACGAACACATTCTGTTCGGTATGCGTCCGTCCATCTCATCTCACCGCGCACCACCAACACCACAGATTCATCGAAAGAAAGACATCTCCAACAATCATTATTCTGGATATCTTCATCGGCCGTAAAAAACAGTAACACGTCTGTCGACTCCACAAAGGGAGAGATCAAGAGAGAAAGAGAGAGAAAGACTGCTCTCTATAAGTTGTTAAGAGGAAAACGCTGAATCGCAAGACAAGAGAGAAAGGACACGCAGACCACCCCGTTGACTGGTAAGACGCCATGTTGGAAAAGCAAGAGAGACGCCGGTATTATGCAGTTTAGTTGATGCAGATGCAAGAGCTTCGTGTGGAAGCTGGGAAAAGGTGGAATGGAACCAGTGCGGTTAGGCGATGCTGGCCCCTCCGGATATCATCAAAAGAGAGTACCCCAGGAGCAGGAAGTCGGTCCGTCCAGGTGTTATGAAGATATGAAGGTTGATGTGGGCGATGAAAGCAACAGTGGGTATGTTTAGAAAGTGCTCCAGTTCCATGTGCCTTGGAAGCTCTGCGCCAGGCTGCCTACGCGCGTGTTCTCTGGACGCTTGGCTGGGGCAGGAGTCTCGATGGACTTGGCGGTAGCGGGGCTGCTGTTGCTGCTGTCGGAGCTCTCGCTGTTGGTGCGGCTAGAGCGGAGGTGTTCCCACTCGCGGAAGGAGCTGTGGCAACGGTCGCAGGCACGGTGCCAATGGCCTTCTGGATGGAAGCGGGCGAGCTCGTCGAGACGCACGTTGTTGCGCGAGTGCTGCCAGCAGAAGATGCCGCCGCACTTGCGGCAGTGGTGGCGGCGCTGGAAGAAGCCAAAGGGCTCCTGGCAGCTGGATGCCGAGCACACCGAAGTGGAACCGTCAGCCTAGGGACTCGTTAGCACACATTCTGGACGGCAACTCTGAAATGTGGACAAGTGGACAAGTGTCGCTAGCCCGAACAGCCCGAACTCCAGCCCTGCATCGGGTAAAAGTCTAGGTAAAAGTCTAGCGTGGGGGACGTCTGGACGAAAGCAGTCGAATGCCGGCAGGACGATGGAAATTATCCGAAGCCCATGGCGAGGCGACATGCACAACATGATCGTCCTTGGCCGCCGAGTTTGCCCCCAGGCGTCTTGTTGAGACGAGTTGAGGGCTCGGCATGTCGGCTCTGCAGACAGCGGGAGGCCAGAACAGGGCGCGCTAGGCAGTGGGACCGGACCATGTACGTAAGACGGTCCCCTCGCAGCCCAGATGAGCACGCGACAGGGAAGCACGGACGGGCTAGCAGCGGCATAGCGGACAAGTAGGAAAGGCGCGAATACATACCTGCCAGTGGTTGCGTGTGATTGGCCCCGCAACGGGCGACAGTGGTTCGGCGTTGTAGAGGCTCTGCATGTCTTCATTGCCAATCTGCGAGACGGGTGTCGCGTTGCCCTCGTTGGCGACCCACCCGTAGGTGCCAGCCGACCAGCCCTGGTTGGGGGAGGACAGGCCCGAGTCGACCTTGGGCGGCGACTTGCTGCCGGGCTTCTCTGTCTTGCGCAGCGCCGCGGGGATGCCGATGGCGGTGCGCGGCTGGTAGATGCCCTGATGGCGGGCGAGGGGCAGGTGTGTGGTGCGCGGCGACGTGGGCGAGACGTTGGCGGGCGTGTTGATGCCCGAGTGGGTGGGCGAGTACTGCGAGTGGGTGCTCTTGCGGTAGGCGTGGTGTTGGTAGGGTGCATGTTGCGGGATCGCAGTCGCGGTCGAGAAGGTCGTGGCCATGGTGACTGAATGAAGCTGAGGTTGGCGAGGAGTCGAGAGAGACGTATAATACGTTGTTGCAGGCGGTGAAGTGCTGCGCTGGTATTGGTGCGTGGGCGTAGTGCGATAGTCCGTAAAGGGAAGTGTCTGATACAGCCCTGGCGGAGCGGGAGGCAATCAGTGGCTCTGCAGTGGTGCGACAGACGCAGACTACGCTGACAGGCCAACAGGACGCGTGCGGCTCCTTGTAGACGTGTTGGTGGTGCGGATGCGTGTCAATTGGTAGCTGACGTGCAGGCGATAAGAGACGGAGGGCGGTGATACAACAGACGCCGGGGCCAACAGTCGACCGTGGTTTAGCAGGACATGTTGATAGTCGGGTGAATGGATAGTCGGCGGTATATGTGGTCGAGTGAGGCGGATATAGGTGTAGATAAGAAACAGCGGTGTCGCGTGAGTGCGGAGGAGACCTGGGGTGAGGCTCTGGGGACAGGATGAATTAAGTTGTCGCCCGCCAGCTGCTCCAGCGACCTCTTCCCAGCAGCGAACTGACGGAGGAGCGGCCATGCCCGATGGGGAATGCCTGCACCCTTGGCGACCGACCGAACGACAGGGTATCATCGGGCTACGACCGGCCATTTGGAAGATTCTAATTGTAACATGGCCGTCGCATCGAGTTCGCTGTCTTCACACTGCCCTCCCAATCTGCTTCAAAAGACTCAAAAACTACAAGTCCTAGGCTGAGTATAGAGTCTATACCCTACGCGAACGCCCCATTTTCCTCTTCCCCATACAAACCCTCACTCCTTCACCATCGCCGTTGCGCCTCTTCTCGAGGCGGCCAGCCGTTGGGCCCCACTGTGCCCGTTTGGGCGTCTCTTATCTCTAACCAATCACAACCCCTTCAAATGAAAAGCAACGCCTCAACCTTCTCCGAGGACGGAACTGCTGCGTCAAGCGTGAACTCATTTCCTGAGGGCCCGTACGTATGATGTAGTGCCAACACGGTATCTTGATTGCGACACCCTGCGCAAACGCAAGAACAGGCGGTGATAGACATGATAGACACGACATTGACGACGACTTACATCACAGCTAAACGACGGGCAAGTATGCCGCGAGAGGCGCCCACCATCCAACCATACCGCTCAAGTACGGCCATCCTGCAACAACTGGCGGGGCATTTGGCCACACTACTGTATTCATTCAATGCACCTCATCCACTATGAAGCCACGCGAGAGACGCAATTATCCAATATATTATGCTCCACTTGAGGTGGAATTGAGGCTATTCGGCCAGACCTCACGATCGTGGATGAGAGTGGGACGCTTAATGAAATCGTACCCGCTTAAGGGTAGCGGTAGCGTCGTTGTTCGTATTCTTGTTGTGACCGTGCGTGCATCGTGAAGCGGTGCTGCGTGGCGTCGCAGCGGTCCCCGGTTGTGGTTTTGACATCGTACCAAACCTTGCGACTCTGACATCCGAGAACTCCCCACCGTATCCGCAACTTTCCTGAGGGAACCACGATGAGCCTGAACAAAGTTTTGATGACTGAACTCTGATTAGAGTCCTGGTAATGTCAAGTGTAGTTGCACGGTAAGTCCTCGTCACCTTTACAGTTACAGACGTCCATGGATGAAGTCACGAAATCGAATCCATCTCTTCATCAGCTATCCATCACCATTCGTCGTCCCAAGTGTTGCTAGATCTTGGCATCTTTTGCACCAGTGCAGGAGTGACGGTGAAGCTGAATAACATCTTTCATGTGATGGTCGGCGGCGCTGTTTGGCTCACTACGTCAGAGCCACCCACGTCCACCAACCGTACTATCTCCAACTTCCCAAAGCTGCCAATACACACCATCCCACATCGCAATTTCTTCGCCATGTCTAGTCAACGTGGCTGCATGGTTTACACGACCGAGTACCAGCTTGCGGAATACGAGATCATGTCGGCTATACACAACATGAGCAAGCACAAGTACGAAGAGGACCTCAAGGCCGTCAATCAAGAGCTCTATGAGCTCAAACAGGAGACGAGGCGTATCTTCGATATCGGTAAGGAGAACAAGAAAATCATCTGCACGAACAAGATCAACGATCTTACCGCTGAAAGCGCTCAGCTGGATGACAAACTGTCGTGGCTTGACGAGCAGATTCAGCGCCTCAAAGAAGAACTTAAACCTCCTCCTCCGCTGTCGCAGAGCGAGCTTGCGGAAAGGAAGGCACGACATGAAGCGCATATGCGCGCTAAGTTGGCGAGGACCCACGGATAGCTTGAGCAGTCTGAGGTAGACGCTCCCGGGGAGCAGAATGAGCCTGGACGTCTTGCAGTACGGCGTATAGCAGCTGTTTGATGCAATGTAAAGATGGCAAGATTGAGCCCCTAATCCTGTCGTTAAACTAGTCTCAGCTTCAGAACTGAAGTCAAGGTCTTAATTTACCTAGGTAGTACTGATGTTTGCGCCTTAGCTAGCGAGCCTTCAATAGCTGGCACCAACGGCCGCTTGCTTTCGAAAGAAGACTGCTGGGCAACGTCAGCTTGATTACGCGGAGCCAGCTAGTCTGAAGTGCAGATGCTCCCATCGGAATCACACCCCAAAGCGGCATTGAACAAGTGTCTTGATAGACAGTGGCCTTGTGGAAACCTCATCTCGCCTAGAAGGAGATGGCGTTCTAGTCGGTTCCCTGCATGTTCCTGAGGCGCACCGACCAGATTCTGCCGGATGGATTCAACCGGATAATTGGATTCGTGGGGACGTGGGACGTTGCGCAATCATCCATGGCAGCATTTGCCTCTCACAAAGTTCGCTCGAGCTTCTAAGATTGCGCATGTGCCGGTAGTTTCTTTCGACTACACCATGCGCAATGGCAGTAACGCGGGTACAGGTAAGAGATGCAAGTTTGGCCGGGAGATGTCTCGTATTACTGGTCTTACGCTGCGAGATGTTTCGACATAGTCCAGCTTCACCAGGCGCGAAAGAAAGCCCAATTGGAGTACTCCTGCTAGATCCGGAGATAAGCGACTCCCTCCGTTGGAGTCTTGGAGATCAGACGCCGGCCAGATTCGCCGAGATGAAGAAGCGCCCGTCTCATCCTGGTTCAAAGACCGAGCCGACCCACCCACCATCGTCGGGGATTCGCCTCACTAACAGCGCCGCCGGCCACTGCAACCTCACGATACCGCCAGAACTTCGGATCACATGGGCACGCTCTTCGAGTGCATTGATGAGAGATCCGCATTTTACGACGCTGAGGTGCGCAACGGCCCACAAGCATCGAAGGCTAACATGACTACGACTGAGATCTGCCGCGCGGATCAATGCAAGACATCACAGGATTTAGCCGATCTTGACGACCCTCTTGGAATTCATAAGATGTTCAATGGCGGCTCCGGCGAATCTGTCCTTCCGACATTCACGAGCAACGGCAGCCTTGGCAATCCTTCGCCGGGACACGTCAATGAACTTTGTTTTCTGAACCGAGGCACGAACCGCCACGGGCTAGCAAACGTCAACAATGGCACGGCTTGCGGCGCGGGGGAAGTTGCTTTATCTCTCGCAGTGGACGCCGCTGGAAACTAAACAAAACGACGCCTGCATCCTTAGCATGCCCGACAGCTCCACCTTCAAGACCCTTTGATGGTCCACGCGCCACATTCAGGCTATCCCTGAACACCAAACTCTACGTGGCAAAATGTCAACAACACTCCCTTCTGAGCCCGTTTCGCCGAAAGCTACTCCGCTGCCTCCGCTCCCAGCTGAGGATCCGCTCACGCCTCAACAATGGAAGACGCTACTTGCCATTACGGATGCTGTCATCCCAGCAATCAAGCCCATCTCCACGGCGAAGACGCAGACTGAACTCGCCGCAACCGACACCGACTACTCGACTGCAGTCAGCAAGCTGAGGGCTTTAGCGCCCGGAAATGACCCTGATGCGGAGACGGCGGTGAAGGAGTATCTGGACGACTATGCGAGTCAGGATCCTGCGTTTCGGGCGGAACTGCAGCGCGTCTTCGCCATGTACATGCCGCAAAACCAGAGAAAGGATCTGTGTATGGTGCTGAATGTCCTCAATACTCGGGCGGGGTCACTGGCTTTGACGGGTTATCTCACGCCAATCAGCGAGCAACCCGCTCATGTAAGGGAGTCGATTATCCAGGGCTGGGCTACCGCGCGGTTGGGACCGCTTCGCCAACTGCGCCGCTCGTTGGTGATTATCACCAAGCAGGCCTGGATCAAGACGTCGCCTTCGCTGAGACGCGTCATAGGTGCCCCCCGCGTGCCTGTTGGTATGAGGCCTGGGAAGGGTTTCGACTATGAGTTCATTCAGATACCTCCAGGTGACGAGCCTGAGATTATTGAAACAGATGTGGTGGTTGTGGGTAGTGGATGTGGTGCTGGTGTGACGGCGAAGAACCTCGCTGAAGCTGGACATCGTGTATTGATTGTAGAAAAGGCATATCACTGGACGCCAGACCATTTTCCCATGGCCGAACTGGACGGATGGCACCATCTGTTCATGAGCGGGTCATTCCTAACATCCGACGATAGTTCAGTGAGCGTAGTAGCTGGTCAGTCACTAGGTGGTGGAGGAACAGTAAACTGGTCTGCCTCTCTCCAAACCCAAGGCTACGTCCGCCGCGAATGGGCAGCTCGGGGTCTTCCCTTCTTCACATCCGCCCAGTTCCAAGAATCACTAGATCGCGTCTGTGACCGAATGGGCGTGTCAGACAAGAACATCAAGCAAAACCGCAACAACGAGATCCTGCTCGAAGGTGCCAGGAAGCTCGGCTGGAACGCTGCACCTGTCCCCCAAAACACCGGCGGCCAGCAACACTACTGCGGCTACTGCAACTTCGGCTGCGGTTCTTGCGAGAAGCAAGGCCCAGTTGTATCCTTCCTTCCGGACGCCGCCCGCGCAGGAGCAAAATTCATCGAAGGCTTCCACGCCGAGAAAGTCGTCTTCTCTAACAAAAGTGGCAAGCGCGTCGCAACCGGCGTCCTCGGCACATGGACCTCTCGCGACGCCCAAGGCGGCGTCTCCGGCACCCCCCTAACCACCCGCCGCGTCCTTATAAAAGCAAAGCGCGTCGTCGTCTCCGGCGGAACAATGCAATCGCCCCTCCTGCTCATGCGCTCCGGTCTCACAAACCCGCAAATCGGACGGAACCTTTACCTCCACCCCGTCACCTTCCTCGGCGCCTATCACAACGAAGAGATAAAACCCTGGGAAGGCGGCATCCTCACATCCGTAGTCACCGAATTCGAAAACATGGACAACGCGGGCCATGGCGTCAAGCTCGAAGCTACGAATATGGTTCCATCCGCGTGTCTGATGTGGGTGGACTGGAAGAGCGCGATGCAGTATAAGATTGATGCTGCCAAGTTGAAACATATGGTTGGGTATATCAGTATTGCACGAGACCGCGACACTGGAAGAGTGTATCCTGATCCCGTGGATGGACGATGCAGGTTCTCCTACCAGACGAGTAACTATGATAAAAGGCATGTGCTGGAGGGTGTTATCGCCCTGGCAAAAATCCAATACGTGGAAGGCGCATCCGAAATCTTCACCGTCATACCCAACATGCGCCCCTTCATCCGCGATCCCTCTCTTCCCTCAGGCGACGGTATAAACGACCCCGCTTTCGTAGCTTGGCTCGACGAGATACGATACAAAGGTCTTCCGTCTCCGGAAAGCGTGTACGTGTCTGCGCACCAGATGGGTACTTGCCGCATGAGTGCGAAGGAGAGGGATGGTGTTGTCGACCCCAAGGGCAAGGTCTGGGGCACTGACGGCCTTTACGTGGCAGATGCGAGTGTGTTTCCCAGTGCGAGTGGGGTTAACCCCATGGTTACGAATATGGCGATCAGTGATTACATTAGTCGAGAGATCATAGCGGGGCTGGAGGTTAGGGAGTCGGCGAGACTGTAATAGGATTGCGCTTTAGTTTTGACTTTAACGTTGTGTTGTTGGGTGGCTCACTTCGCGCGCCGGCTCGATTCGCCCCTCACGTCGCTGTCGCCTGCGTGCACGAAGAGAAAACACCCAAGTCTTATATTCGAACTTTGACCACGATCTCTAAACTTGGATTTTCCTGGAGAGTTTTGGGCAAGAGCCAGGAAGAAAGCGATATACGGCCTCCGCGGCCTGCGGAGTACAGCGTGCGATGGCTGCTAGCGTGCTAGAGCGGCGCTCGGCCGAGTCGTCCGACGTTATTCGAGCGTACGTTTGAACGACGTGCCTGATGATGTTACAGGCCTATGGGGGTAAACTTACTTTCCTATTGACAGTTCGTACGAATACGTGCATGGAAGTAGTGACCACCGCATGAAGAGGACGAAACGCGCTCCGATGCCTCGATGAGGGCGGGCACGCAGCACGGCCATGCCTGTTACTGACGACTCCAAGAAAATGTGTATATATCGCTCCAAGACGACGATGAAAAATAAAATTAAACAACGAATCAAGCACTACCACTGAACTGTGCTGCTGCTATACAATCTTCTGTCTCATCTTTCGAATCCATTAGCAAAACATGTGTCCTTCCAAAGCTCCGGAGCCAAACACGGAGTCGAAGACTGATGTGTAAGTTTTAACAAAGGCGTAGCTCCTCGTCTTTGCCTGGTATATCTGATATGGTTATGCAGAGTCATCATCGGTGCCGGCCCCGCTGGGCTTATGGCTGCTTGGTGGATGGCACGTTGTGGCATCAAGGCACGCGTCATCGACAAGCGTGGTGTCAAAGTCATCAACGGCCATGCCGATGGCCTGAGGCCACGTACGAACGAGTTTTTCGACAGTATGGGCGGCGGTATTCACGAGAAGATCGCAAAGGAGGCATTCATATTCGAAAACTTGAAGAACTGGGTACGCTTGCCGGTGGAATCCACTCTAGTATAGGCTTTTCGACTGACGGAGAAGCAGGTCCATGGCCCAGACGGGAAGCTCACCCGCGTTGGTACGCAGCATCTTCACAGAGACTACATCGAAGATCTGCCCTCTCCTTTCCTTGCTACCACGATCTCTCAGGGACGTATTGAGCGCTTCATCCTTGATGCAATCGCAGAAGTCTCCAACGGCGAGTTCAAAGTCGAGCGCGGTATCGTGGCTGATTCCATGGCCTATGATGCTGCCCTGGAGGATGTCCCGGGAAGCTATCCCATCCAGCTCACCTTGCGTACGCTTTCCGATGTTGAGGCAAATCCACCTCCGGCCCCAGGTGCTTTTGGTGGGCGAGATGTCATTGCGAAGGGCAATCTGCCAAACGATGAAGTACACCAGGAGAACGGCACTAGAACCTCGCCAGGGCATATTGAGTTGGTCAATACCAAGTACCTGATCGGTTGTGACGGTGCACATAGCTGGCTCAGACGACAGTTGAATTATGGGCTGCACGGCGCCTCGACCGGCTCTGTATGGTATGTCACCAATGGGTATATGTCTAGGCCACACTTACTGAACTATGCTAGGGGTACTATGGACTTCGTCCCCATGACCAACTTTCCCGACATCCATCGCCCTGCCTTCATCAAGCACGAGCTAGGCATCCTGATGATCATTCCTCGCGAACGCAACATGACGCGCATCTACGTGCCCTTGGACGACGCATTTCACAACGAACGCCTCGACCGCTCTTCCATCACCCTAGATCATATCTTCACCAAAGCCAAGAAGTTCTTCGAGCCATACACACTTGACTTTAAGGTCTGCGAATGGTGGAGCGTGTATGAGGTTGGTCAGCGCGTCGCCGAACGCAACCAGCACCCTTCTACGCGAATCTGTCTCGCCGGAGACGCCGTGCACATGCATTCTCCCAAGATAGGGCTGGGCATGAACACGAGCATGCAAGATGGATACAACCTTGGATGGAAAGTAGCAATGGCGGCAGCTGGCGTCGTCCGCGACGAGAAGGCTCTTCTTGCAACTTATGCGGCGGAGCGATACCCTGTCGCCCAACGACTCGTCGCCTTTGATCGAACGTTATTTGGGGGCCATGGCATAGTTGACCCTGAAGAGTTCCTCAAACAGCATATGCAGTTCGCAGACTTTGCAAACGGCTTCAAACTCGATTACCCGGAGAGCGTGCTGGTAGCTAAAAGCTTGTCCGGCCAAGCTGTTGCGACTGAGCTGATGGTCGGAGAGTCTTTCAAGCACCAGCGTGTTTTGGGCCACGTAAACTCACAGCTGTACTGGACCACCAAGCTGTTCCAGAGTGACGGCCGCTTCCGGATTCTCCTTCTGGCTGGAGATGTAAGCCTGCCAGATCAAATGGCTAGAGTCAAAACGTTTTGCGAGGAGCTCGAGGCTGAGAAGAAAGACGGCAACGGCAACGCCACATCGCTACTTCACACCCGCTACCCGTATTGCTTCGCTCAGCCGTCGCCTCTGCAGTCGCAGAACGCTCTTGCCATCAATCAACACCCATCCATCTCCTTCTTTCACGAACGATCCCGCAAGTCGATGATTGAAGTTGTTGCTGTCCACAGCGCTGTGGACACGACAGACTCCATCTCCATGTTCGACTTTCCTACGGCGCTATATGGACCCTTTGATCCTGATTACCATGGCTGGGACCACACGCGCATTCATATTGATCAAGCTGTAACATATGACCGCTACTGCGACGGCCTCGCGTACAAGAGATGGGGTGTTGATAGGACGAGGGGTGCTGTGGTTGTAGTGAGGCCTGACATGCATGTGGGGTGGGTTGGTCATCTGGAAGACACGCACGCTTTGGAGTCGTACTTTACTTCCATCTTCAAGTAGGTGCATCTAATACTCGAGTACTCACCATCTTGGTCTGGTAGTAGTTAGATCAGCATACCTGAATCACACGTTCGTTCCTTATCGCGCAGTGATCCAGTCCTACCTCTCCACGTGCATTGATGCTGTCGGGAAATGGTGTATTTTGCAGGCATTCTTGAGATCTAGCTTGTTGGTAGAGCACCGCGGGTAGGCAAAGTAGCATCCAGGCTTGTACCTTGGGCGCATGCTAGAGAATAATGTCAGAAAGCACAATAAAGTCTTCCCAGTTGCATAGAAGACAGCCACGCTTATTAGCTGCCTTGATAGTTGCCTAAATTGTTAATGTCGCGCGGAGGCGAAACATAATAAGCCTTAACATTAATATTAACATTTACTCCTCTGCGCACCCTTCTTCATTGACAATCTATACAAATAACAAACGTTTTACAATACTAGTCTCTCTAGAGCTAGAAATAGATTCTAAGTATCCTAACGCTCTAACTGTATTGTTACAATGTCTGTATATCTACAAAGAAACTATCTCTAGCAACACGCTATATCTGCTTGTTACTATTAACAATCCTAAGACAATCTTAGTTCTAAGTAACAAGCTAGCTACATTAGACGCTGTTATCTGTATTATCTAGCTGTAGTCTTTACGCAAGTCTGCTAACAACTACTTCTTACTTCCCGTTACTGCAATTAGAGTGCTGCACATTAGGATATCCCCGCGCGTCTCCTCTGATGATGTTCTGAACGACGGCGACATATTCGGCCCATTGATGACTCCCTTCATTCAAAACTGGAGCAACGCATTCTGTTGTATACTAGAGCGGTCTTCAATCGACCGCGTTGTATTCAATGTGCGCTGTGAAGATTCACGCGTGGTACGGAAAGCTGGCCAAATTGGTATTACTTCGAAGTACTGGAGCTTGGTGCCTCGGAAAAACGTCTGGAGTTGTGCTGGCCGCGCAAACGCATGGACATTGGAAAGGTCGTTAACGCTATGGAAGTCGCTTTGATGGCGCTTCATGCGTTTGAGACTTGCGCATAGGCCCTCATAGTCGGATGAGCTGATGCAGCGGTATCCAGAGATAACAGGAAGGCCATCCACGGCTGGTGTTCCAGAGACAGGTACAGGCACTTCTTCCGGCTCGAAGAGATCGAGCCCGTTTGCAAACGAAAGAAGAGCTTGTCTTTCTTCACGATAGATTTTGTGGCGTAACAGGTGGCTGGAGATCGCGCTTTTCTGGATCGCGTATTGGCACTCGCGACAGATCAGTATCCGATAAGTCGCGTTATAATCCAGCAAGTCCCGCGGATGGAGTTTCGCGAACGACATGAAGTATTTTCACTGCCCTTCATGAGGGTGACAGAGCCGACACGTGCGACTCTTTGATGGAGTTAAAGGATTTTGATGTGTAAGTGAAGGAAAGAGCAAACACGGAAGCATGGGTCCGGAACAACACTAGTTCCGTCTTGAGCTTAGCGTGGGAATCGAATGCAGTGTTCCGCCGACTCATGAGCCTCTTTCCAACGTGAGCCTCACTAGCACCACTAACGCCTGATCCTTCGATACACTTCGCTGCGGAACCCTATATTCTGATCCAGAGCATGTCAGGGGTATGCCGTACCGCAATGCGATGGATCTCGCTGTCATTCGTCCGCGCACACGCATACTTTTCAATCGCCTCGTACGTGATATGCCATCCGACAAAATGGTCCAGAGAGATCTTGTAATCGACCAAGTGCATAAGTATAAGTAGCTGCCTTCTCCTCTTTCCAGGGCATCTTCATCAGCGTTTTGTCATTTCTCTTGTTAGATATCATCACCAATCGAACTCCTGCCTCTACCAACTCCCAAATTCTCTCTTCAATCATCATGTCGGTACCTCAGAACCAAGTTGCATGGCTCGACAAGGCTGGAGCTGCTTTTAGAGTCGGCGATACTTCTATTCCTACTGCTGACGCCGGCGAAATTATTGTCAAGAACGCCGCTGTGGCTATCAACCCTCTGAACTGTCACATGCAAGACCTGGGTATTTTTGTGCAGCAATGGCCAGCTGTTTTCGGCTGCGATGTTGCTGTTGAATTTTATAAAGCTGGGCCAGATGTCACGCGTTTCAATAAAGGAGATCGTGTGATTGGGTAAGCGTTCATTGTTCGGAGGATGAGAACATGACTGACGTGATGTAGACATACCGTCAACTTAGTCAGTGGCCACCCTCAAGACGGAGGCTATGCGCTGTACACGGTCGTGCCAGCCGATAAAGTAGCCATCCTTCCGAATGCTGTCTCCTTCACCGATGGTGTTGTCGTGCCTTTTGCCATTGAGGCTGCTGTATGCGCTATGTCGCTCAAGGTACCTGGCCAAGCTATGCCTGGTGTTTCAACTCCGGCACTCGGCCTGCCCTATCCTTCGCTCAGCACAGCAACTTCCATCGGCAAGACACTGGTGGTGTACGGCGGCTCCTCGTCTGCTGGCTCGATGGTCACTCAGGTTGCCTCATCAGCCGGTATCCACGTCATCGCTATTGCTGGAGCACACAAATTTGACTTAAATAAGCGATCAGGCGCCGTACAAGTATTCTACTACAAAGATGATAAAGTTATGGACAACGTTGTCGAAGCAGTCAAGCAATCTGGCAACGGTGTCGTGGGTATTCTCGATGCAATTGCAACTGCCGAGCCCTGGACAGTTGATCTCGCTATCCTCGAGAAACTTGGCGGAGGTCATCTCGCGTGCTCGCAACCTCCTCCTACTGGAGTGCCGGAGAACGTCAAGGCGGGCATGATTTTCGCGGTCAACGACATTGCAACTCCAGTATGGAATGCCTATGTTACGCCTGCTTTGCAAGCTGGCAAGCTATTTTGTCTGACAACACCTACGGTTGTTGGAAAAGGATTGAAATTTATTCAAGAAGCATTGAACAAGTCTAGCACTGGCGGTAGTGGTACCAAGATCGTGGTAGAACTGTAGAGGGATGCACTCTCAAATCGATCGATCTTTGCTTCAGATCTTTGCTTCAGATGATTCTGCCTGGAACCTTTCAATACAAATAGATTCCCAGCTTGTATCCATACTTTCTCAACCTCGAAGTGGTGGGTGAAACTAGCGCCGACCTAACAGGCGTTTAAATCGGCTCATCTTTTTGCGCATCTGCAGCTTGTGATCCTTACAGCACTCCAACCATGCGTCACTCATCACCCGCAATTTCATCTCGTGTTTGATACTCTGATACTCTTCTCTTACTTTGGCCGGACATTGGCCTTCGAAACTTATTGTATCTGGTGGTTGGCGCTGTTTTACGAGGTCGCACACATTGCGGAAATCCTGCAGCAGCAACCTCGCGTCTAGTTGTGATACGAGCGAAGCAGCACCACCAAGCCGGCCAACATCTTGTGTATTGGGTCGATGAGATAGCAGGCAGGAGCTAATGCATGCGCAAAGTTTCTAGTTCGAGATTCAGATGTCGAAAGATGGGTCATACCGATGAGACACGACTGCTCTGCCCGGTGCTGACAGCTTCGACAACGCCTTTGCGATGACAAAATGGGCGTGTGCCTAGCCTGGCCCTCCAGGTACACCGGCACAGGACTTGGGCTCGATTCATTGCAACAGAATCGCAAGTTCTTCTACATTGCAGACTTTCTAACATGAAGTCATAAGGTGCATACTGCAACGTGAGGTTTGGGCGTCGGCGTGACGAGCTGGATCCCGCGACGTTTGACCACAAGTTGTACAGCAGCATGAGGACACCGCAAATAGGGAGGTGAGTATGAAGACGATCTCCGACAGCGCCCAGCTGCAGATCGATATGGGGACTTCACCAGAGCTGAGGTCAATGCTATACTTTTGGGCGTCGGAGGGCTTGCACAGCATCTTAACAAATCTAATAAAGAAAAATCACGCTACTAGACTAGAATTTATAAATATCTCTAGGCCGTATACAAAGTCGGCTTTTAAGTTATAAGCGTTGCCTAGCAGATGAAGACTACTTTAAATCAACGCGTGCGACACTAAGGGAAAGTTGAGGACATTATCAATAACACCGGCCCCGACATGCATACCATCCAAAGAAACGGAGTCAAGACGTTCGATGCCCTTCTGAACTCACGCCAGGGGCTCCCACCATTCGCTTCGCCCTTCGAACTGTGCAATGCATAGATAAACTGTTTCTTATCCACTCCCAACACTCGCTGTATCGGCAATACGAACTACGTACTTGGTAGCACTATGCTCTCCATTCATCATCTTCCGCAAAGCATCGGTGACTCCGTCCAGGCCTTGAGCGACAATTTCTCGTGGCACAGGCTTCAACCAGCCATCTTGGAGACCCCTTCCTATATACCGAAAGAACACATACCCAAATTCCTTCTCATTCTTGTGAACTGCACCAACAAAGGTCCAGTTAACCTCAACACCGTCGGGAATGCTATTCATTGGAGGAAGCTCCAAAGAGCTTGGGACTTTCATAGCGCTGACCCCACCCGCTGCGCGAGGTAAGACCGTAGCAACTGAACATTTGCTTGGCTCGTCTGCTTTGATCAGGCGTCCAATGAATTCATCGGTACCGGGCATGGAAATGCAATCAAAAGCGTGGTAGATTGCCTTGCTCCCTATGGCTTCCCGCACTTGTGCAGCCACAGCATCTACGCCCTGGCGATAGTCAAAAACGCAATCACCTTCGGACGGCATGATAAGAGTAGACACGTAGTCTTTTGACCGGCCTGCGATAGCAATGATGGGATGTAACCTGGCTTTTACAGCAAACTGAACTGCGTACGCCCCCACAGCGCCTCCTGCACCATATATAAGCAATGGTCCACGTGCAGCTGCATCTGGCGTGACATCCCAGGGAGGTGGCAAGCGGAGTCGACTGAACAGGCCTACTGCGGCAGTGGCAGCCACCAAGGGGACCGCAGCAGCGTCTTCGAAAGCAGTTTTTTCACCGATGTGAAAAACAGAATGGGAAGGGGCAATGGATAATTCGGAATAAGTTCCGTGAGGTTCAAAACTCTCGTGGTAAGCAGCGACACGGTCGCCTACTTTGAACTCGTAGACGTTGGCACCGACTGCCTCTACAGTTCCTGCCATGTCATCTCCAGGATTCAAGGCAAGGCCTAGTATTTCAGCTGCCTTCCAGTCCTTTGGATTGAGCCCTGCTGCGACGATACGGATGAGGACTTGATCCGGACCGGGCTGAGGACTTGGAGAGTCAATAATTTCGGCTTTGAGGCCTGCAGCATGGTCAGTGGAAACAATCCATCCGTTTCATTTCGTTTACTCATACCTGGAGAGATGAAGAGTTCTTTCATCGTGAAGTACGTCACACAGGATGAAGTTCTAAGTAAAGAGGTGTTGTGTAGAAAATTAGAACATTATGGTTTGTATGTAAGTGTGAAAAATTATAAAGTACGAAGACTTGTATTAACAATGGCTGAAAACAGTGTACCTACAAAGCGTTATTTCGTGAATGTCCGGGAATACGTCTGCCACACCATGTCGGAGGTCCAGCTGGTTGATCCGAGATTCTTCGTCCGTTGGCTCCTAGACTAAATGTACTCACCGGCGGATAAGTGTAACCTCTAAATCTAGATTCTAGAAGTCCAAGTATCATGAAGTTGATGCAAAAAGGCCCTTTTAGACGGGGACGAAATCGGAGAAGTGTTTAGTAGAAACGCAGATTGGACTGTATGATTGGGGGCTCCGTTCTATTAGGTTTCTTAGCTAATAAGGCGCTTGTAGGTGCGTACGCAACCCACAATGTCCCCCTTGAGCATTAAATGAGGGTGACGTAGTCCTGGGCGACTAGTAGTGTCGTTATCCTGGCGGGTAGCCACCATGTCCAAGAACGTCGACTCTCATGGTTGCGGCGGACCAAAGCAGGCCAGACCAGGAGTGCCAAGCACTACCCCCCCCCCCCCCCCACCAATTTTGTCACAACTTGGGCAAGACTACTAACGCAAATAATTATGGCTGTATATAATTAGTGGTCACATCCCCCTTGCAGATTACCGTTCAACAGCCATATTCCAACGTCTTTTAAGTGGTAACGCAAACACATTCTTAAATCTTAATTCAAAATGGGTAAAGTCGCTGTAGTTGGAGGCACGAGCAGTAAGTATCCGGGCGTGGTATATCCAAAACGACGCTTAAGTCGAGTACTAACATCAGTTGTTATAGGCGTAGGACGGGAGGTTATTGACGCCATTATCAAAAGGGGCAACCATGAAGTGACTATCCTCAGTCGAAGGGTAAGCTTCAGTATCTGAATGTTGCGAACGGGCTGAAACAAGATAGGCTGAACGTCCGGCCGACCTGTCACCCGTGGTTCAAATGGCCCAGGTGGATTACAATAGCCACTCTTCTCTCGTTTCGACTTTCCGTGGTATTGATACGGTCATATCCTTTGCGACCGCGATGGATTTTGACGCAAATGTGAAACTCGAGAAAAGCATCATTGACGCGGCCATCGAGGCTGGCGTCAGCAGATTTGCTCCTTCCCAGTGGGCTGCGTGAGTATATCACCTCCCTGGTGTCACATACGCATGATTGTGTTAGATCATTTGGCTAATCATAATATTTGGAACAGCAATAGCCAGAACCACATTACCCACTACCAGTGGAAAAACAGGGTGGCAGATTACCTAGCAGAAGTCAATTCTAAGGGAAAGGTATGCTTGGACTACATGACTATTTTGATTGCCTTTCGTCCATTAACCCCGTACAGGTCATTCAATACTGTCTTTTCCAACCTGGCTTCTTTGCAGACTATTTTGCGCACCCGCGCAGCACGACAACTCACTTCCATAGCATGCCGATGCTAATTGACTTCGAAAACCGACGAGCCATCACTGTCTCTGGATGCGAAGATGCGCCCATAACGATTACGACCGTTGCAGACCTGGCATTGACTGTGGCTGCAGCCCTAGATTATCCCAAGCCTTGGCCGGAAGTCGGCGGTATTCGTGGAACACAAACAACAGTCCGGGAGATCATAGCATTGGGAGAAAAGCTGCGGGGCCCTTTCGAGGTGACACGACTCGATGCGAAGGATGTTGAGGATCATAGAATTGAGACGTCGTGGTATCCACTAATTGATCACCCAGGTGTTCCAGTGGACATGCGGGAGGTTGTATCAAAGGGTGTTCTACGGGAATACTTGCTGAGCATGTCTAAAGGGGAATGGTCTGTATCAGATGAGTGGAACAAACTGTTGGATTTGCAGTTGGAAAGCATGCACAAGTACCTAGGAGAGGTTTGGAAATAAGTGTAACATAAGATAGCGAAGGCGCAGTAAAGAGAACAATTACATAATATGCTTGCTTCTCTCGCTTGCGTCTTAGAGGTAGAATGATTTGTATCTAAAGTCACGGATATTTGATTTTGTCTGGGTAATTGACTTAGTCACTCTCTCAGGACCACACCTCTTGTACTACCCATCGCGATGCCTCAACAACCTGATTTTCAATCCCTCTCCCGTGAAAATATTATTTTTATTACCTTCCAAAATATAGAATCTAACGCATCACTAAGCCAGCAACGCGCCGCCGCTGCAGGCACTTTCCTCAAAGCACTATTAGTTCCCGACGCGCCACAACCTTGCACGACACGATACCCGTCGCGACCGATCAAAACTTCGAAAGGCTTGAAGAAGATGCACCAATAAGAGCGCAACAAGCTATGAGCGCTGTTCTGGAGACTGAGGTTTAGGTGACAAGAGTCGAGGAGCTGAACTCCACCTTGACTGAGCCTGGGTCTTACAGGAGCGAGCACTGTCGCGACAGACCATTCACTTCACAGCTAACTAGACATACTGGGAATGTGGTGGAGGGGTGCTCTGCGAAACGCTGACTCGAGTGCGCAAGTGAGTTGCATTCTCATGTGCAACTGAGTGGAATGTGCAGGGTGGGAGGGTGAGTGGAGGAATGGCGACTCCGTATCGGAGGAAGGGGAAGTGAGTTGGTAGGGGTGATGGTGTGGTGGTGTTTTGACTGTGTTCTTTTGGTGATTCCGTTATGATAGTGGATATGGAAAGAGGATACGAGTCGAGGGAGATATATATATGACATCCAACGCGCAATGTTTAGCAACTTCTGTGCCTATTTCTCTGGCACCACTCCCCTCATCTCGATGCGTCATCCATCTTTCTTTACAACTCCTTCTTCAGAAAGTGCTCAGGTCGATGATCCGTTTCGTAATCTACATGCACATAGGCCCTCTCCACGTCTGGTAGACTCTCCAACTTGATCTGAAGTTCCTCGGCTACGTCGTGTGTAGCACGCAGAGTAGCTTCCGGGTCCATGACGATGTCGACTTCGACAATGAGGCGGGGGCCGGAATGGTAGGCGCGTACGGTGTCAATTTGGAGGATGGTAGGGGAGTGTGTCATCGCTATTGTGAGCGTCAGAAAACGTTCTGGTTCCCATCTTTCCGCAGAAGCATGATGAAGTGGTAGAACCAAGGAAGAGGAAGAACTTACAGATATACGTAATGTGTTGCAGCATCGCAGTATCAGCCGTAACACCGATGAGGAGTTGGAACTCCGAGTACGCCGTCCTCGACCAAAGGAAGATGATCAAAACAGAGAGTATCATGGCGCCCATGGGATCCAACCACCACTTCAACTTCGATCCACCGACACTGGTCAAGACACCGAATCCGTTGATGAAGAGATCGTTCCTGTGATCCTCCCACAGAATGCGGACTTGACTGTACTTGTTCCTCAACGCCCAACAGTACAGGAACAAACTGAACTTCGTCGCGAACGCGATGCTGACAGCGATGACGGACGGGAGGAAGAAGTCGTTCGTCTCAGGTCCAGTGTGTTCCGCAACCGTACGGATAGACTCGACAATAATAACCACCGAAACGGTAATCATAAGCGCGCAGAAACAAAGATTGCCCGCCGTCTCAATCCTCGCCTTCCCAGAAGGGAACTTCCTCGCATCAACCCTTGCAACAGCGCGATTACACATGATCAACGTGAGGTTACTCAGCGGATCGAACAGCGAGTCCGCCATAGTCGTGAAGAGGGATAGCGACCTTGAGCTGACCGCCGCATAAAGCTGCAACACCGCAAGAATAATGTTCGCAGCAAAACTCCCAATAACCGCAATCTTATACTTGAGATGATTCGCCGTATCTTCATCTTTCGCCGCAGCCCTATGCTCCGCCACGGGCTTGAGCAATCTCTCTATGTTCTCATTTTGGGCAGAGTAAAACTCTTCGAGCTTCTTCGCTGATGTCGCCTTCTTATTGAGAGTGATGGGACCGCAGCCATCGCGTTTGCGCGATGTGTTGGCGCGAATGAGGGCGAGTTCGGATTCGGGTTTTATGGCGGAGGAGAGCGAGTATGGGTCGTTGTCGGGGGTGTAAGAGGGGGGTGATTGCGATTCTATGTCTTCGCCTTCATGGTAGCTGCGGACATGGCGGGCTATGGGGTCGTGCGAAGAGGGTGTTGGGGCGCTGGTTTCGATGGCGGTGCTGCTGGCGTCGTTTTTGCTGGGAGTTGATATGTCGGCATGGTGTTGCGCACTGCTGCTGCTGCTGGGGTTGAGGTGCGCGTGGTGGGGACTTGATGTGCGTTCTATGCGGTCCGGGTGCGTGTGGAACGGGTGCGGTTTCATGGATATGGCGCGGTGCAGATCGGGCTCTGACATTGTTGCGGTGGTTTATCGGTTTCGCAGACTGATGCGAAAGAGTGCAGATGAATACCGAAACAATTGCGCGCTCCTTTCAAAGATGCTAATGATGGCGGCGGTGAAATAGGTCCGGTGAAGCAAGCCAGCCAAGCGCCATAGTTGCGATCGACCGCTTGTGGCCAAGCTTCCAGCGTACACGTGGGGGAGATGCACGGCGAGGTGATAGGTGAACTTTGTTTAATCGTCCCGACTCCTTTGTTTGCAAATTTGCCTCTCAAAGCATCGTGGTGTCCTAACAAACCATATCCCTACAAACCCAGCTTCCAGGGACAATCTATCATATGTCACCATGCACCCGTACCACGGTACGAAGTACTACGGCCTACCAAGCCTGCCTCCACAATCTAGCGCGCGGAGTCCATCGCGCCCAGCCCGCACGCGCAGCCATGCAGCGGCATTCCAAGATCCCAAGATCCCAAGGTGTCTAATCGATAAGCTCCACACCCATTCCGTCATCGGCGCCCCGCCACATGGAGACCTCGCCTCGGCTGGCCTGCCACGTTGAACACGACCACGTGCGTCACGTTTTCTCCCTCAACATCTACCTAGGTATAGACGGATCATGAACCCTGCATATACCTCACCAGCTCATACAGCATATCACCACGACTTGCGTATACTCACCGATGAGGATACAGGTCGGTTAAGCATTTCGTGTTACTGCCAAGATGGACAAGACGTGTGCCTGCTGTGGGCTTGGTGGTGAGGATTGTATTGTCTTGGGATGGTGATGGGGGTTTATGCGGGTATCTTGGCTTTGGCGGAACGTGTGATGGGGATGTAGAGTTGTATGTTGTGATATGTTAGTATTCTCTATCAACCAGCGTAGTAGAACTACTCATGCGACCACAAAACCAACACGTCAAAGTCACCACTCCGCCTATTGCGCGCCCACTCTTAGCCTAAACACAACCACCCACCCAAAAGGTGGAGTAAGTCACCTCACCTCGTAACAACCCCCTATATGTCCTCTACTAAGCCCTCGCACATCATCTCAACATCACTCTCTCCCTCTGTATTCGGCAAACAGTGATGTACGTGTTCATGTTTATATCTAACTACATCTAACGTGCGTGCGTACATGCATGCGATCAATCTCGCATCTCCACTAGCTATTTAGCCACCACCAGAATCCGGGGTATCATAATGCTCACCCCCCTTGTCCATAACAAATTGTGAAAGGAACTAGGGAAGATGCCTAACCATGCATGCGGTACTTGGTGACAAAAAGGTGCGGGGGTAAAGAGATGGGTGATGGGTAAGAGAGGTGAGGGGAAGAGGGATGTATGCAGGAAAGAAGGGAAAGATGTAGACTGGTGAAAATGTGGAAGGAGATGGACATGTACAGAGCTACCTCAACATTCTACTCCAAAGATGCCAGCCACCCTGACTCTTCTCCAACCAGGTAATATGCAGATCGACAAAGATAAACACCGCGGCTTCGGCAGCGCAATCCCAGAAACCGCTTCAGCGCGCGCGTCGACGATCTGTTCCTAACCCGCAGCAATCATCCTTTATCCCGATTTCCCGAGATGCGCGCGGTACCGCGAATTTACCATGTGATTATACATGAGACGAAGGACAAGGATACCACAGCATCCATGTCGTGAGTACTCCGCGTCTACGGGTGTCGGTGCCGGCTGTTGTATATTGCTGCTGCTGCTTGTGCTACGGTTGTAGACAACGCATCGCTTTCCATATCTGGAATCGAGGTCTGCGACGGATTTGGTCTGGTGGGTATGCGACAACTGGTCCGCTCTCGCCCGGTGTCGCTGGATGGAGTCGTCCTTAGCATCTGCATATCGGATATGCGTTCCAGTGCTGCGTAAAGCCCCAAACATTGTGCATGCTGTGTCTTTTGCGATGCAGGAGCGTCAGTTCAACGCTCTTCAACGTTGCGATTAGTTCCCATGCATCCAACACGCGCCCTGCGCCCCAGAATCCTGCGCCGCACCACCAAACTCATATTCGTTCCCCAGTCCAAACGGCGTCTCTAGCATATCTGGCAAGTTTGTATCCCACATCATGTCGTCCCAGAAGTTGTTTAAGATAGTGGGATCGTTACTGGCGCTGGCCCAGGTCGGTGTTGCTGGATTGTAGTGGTGCCCGAAGGTGGAGGGATGCTGTTGTTGAGGTTGTGGCATCGATGGGTGCTGTGATGTGTAGGCGGCGGCGTGGGTGTTGAGCATGGGGGGTGCGGTCGAGGTACCGGGGATAGCGAAGTGGGTGTGCGTTTGACTGTGAGGGTGAAGTTGTTGTGAATGGTACTGCTGGGGTTGTGGGATGTGCGACATAGTAGGCTGAGTCTGGTGCGATAGGGTTGAAACGTTCGTTTTGTACGCTGCATAGAGGCGGGTGACTGCGTCGCCGCTTCTTTTCGCTGCGATGCTCCAGTCTTTTACTGTCTCGAAGAACGTGAGTGCTGTCTCGATGCTGGTCTTCCATTTCTCGACTTCTTCTGGTATGCTCGTGTCGCTGAAGAGGGAGACGAGTGGGACCATGCAGGCTTGGAAACAGAACCATACTGCATTCCAACCTGAGATGAGGTCGGGCATGCATTCTTGGCTGATCTCTTCGATGGTCTTGGAAGCGATGAGTCGGCATTTGCCTACTGCGAGCTTCTCGTCGGAGCTCAGGGCAACCCATGGGGAACGTCGGAGTGCAGCGGTGAGTAAGATGGGGCGGTGGAGGATGATGCGGATGTTCTGGAAGCGCCACTTCATGACCAATCGTGTTCGTCGAAGAAACTCTGGACACGGCTCATCGGGGTTCGAAAGGATAGATGGTAGCTCTTCATGCCATTTCACAACCTGCGCGTCGTAGCTAGCTGTCTCTGCAGAGGAAAGGAGGGGCGACTCAACGAGTCGATCCTGTATCCTGGTAGCAATCTGACAGAATGCCGAGGCGTGGACCAGAGGAAGGATCTTGAGCTGCTCGATGTACTGAGGGCTGTTGGGTGGTGGGATACTCTGAGGCTGTTGTAATGTCAGTATCGCGCTTTGAAATATTTATCAGCAAATCTTACAGCGTTCACAGCCGTGCCCGGTCTTAAGACAGTAATCGACGGCCCCATCCTTCCCAGCGAAGGCCGTCCCGTCGTAGTCGAAGCCCATGAATCCAGACAAAACAGACTCCACCAAATGCGCCGGCGCATCTCAGGCGATATCGAGTCTTCCTCGCCCGGCGCCATGAACTGTCTACTCGCGTCACTCCGTTCTGAGTACTCGCGATGTAAACCAAGTGCAGTAGCCATGCGAAGCGTACCACCCATCAGCGAATGCGCTTCATTCGGGCGGTTCAGATAGTGCATGTAGTATCCGCTCATGATCGCCAGAGCCTGGAGGACTTCCAGATTGCCGCTTCCGAACGACTCCAGAGACAGGTGCCGCCGAGATCGATTGAAGTAGACATAGTGAGCTTCGTTGTCTGCAGCTAGGGAGGCAAGCGACCCCAACGCGAAGACCATGTTGAGCAGAGCCAGCCATGCTGAGTCTTTGCGGTTACCGTAGAGGAATGTAGACCAAAACTTGCGCTCATCGATCATAGGACAAAAAGGGTGTACGCGGTCGAAGTAGCTTTCGATCAGTTCTTGGCCATGCTGGGGAGCCGGTAGAGCATCAGGTCTGTTATCTGCTAGCTCTGGTGGCGGCGAACCTGCACGGCTCGGTAGCGCAGTCTCCTGGCTGTTATGTGCGATTAGTGAACGTGCCTGGGGCGCGCATCGAACAATGACCTTAAGTGCGGCTGTGATTGACGAGATGCCAACGTAAGAGGACAGGCGGTCGACCGACATCGACAGCCCGTTCACATCGTCGGAGATGCCTTGGACACGGAGTTGGTGCTTCCGTGCCTCGTCCCAGTAAGGATCTTCAGGCGGCGCCTGCTCGAGCGCTTCCAAGCTCTCGGCTCCATCAGATCCAGCTTGGACGTCGGACAAGGCTTGCGAGTCGGCTGCCGATGGTGATGTTGTTGGGCGGTTCGCCGAGGATGACAGAGCCAGTTCTAGCAATTCTTCCCGCGGAAGATGAGCGAGCGATTCCAGATTCTTGACTCCGTACAACTTTGTCAAAATGGTCTTGTACTGTTCGATGTTGTTGGAAAGCTTGTCGACTAGTCTACCAAACTAATTAGCGCCAAATTGCCCTGGCCGTGTTCTAGAATGCTCACTTTCTGCTAGGCACAACTCGCTGTGCAGGCTTTGAATAGCCACATGCCTCAGGGTGCTGGTACCATTGGCATTGTCCGCAAGGTTGCGAACCGTCACACCGAATCTTGCGTCTCCGGCATTCGACACATGCGTTGCTGGTGGATATCCGTCGTGAGCCCGGTGGTCGTGATGGTTTCCCCGCGCTGTCGCTGTCTATCCCGGGCGAGCGCATACCCACGGACGACTGGAAGGTATGGAACATGTTGCGATGACCTCGGTGGTACGTCGGCTGGCCACGCACTCGACAACCACGAGCTGAAAGAGAAAGAAGTTCAGACCAGAAGTGTCAGACGACCCTGCAGGAAGCTCGATCAAATATGTCGTGACAGGTAAGTCTGGAGGGAGGCGAAAAACCAAGACGATGGTCCAAAGTACCAGTGGTACGTCCGAGGACCAATATAACAAGACTCGGAACTAAAACGTCGACGAACCGGGATCTGATATATCAGAGACGCTCGTTAGTGCAGTTTGAGCTGAACGCATACCACCTGCAGCCTGAATAAAAAAACGAGAGGTGCAAAGAGGCAAAAACGCAAACGTAGGTGCGTCTGGCTTCCAGGCATGTGCCGTCATAATCCTGCAGAAAGCTTGTGTGTATGAAGTCGGCGCGCGGAAGCTAGTCGCAAGTCGCAGTAGCAGGGCCGGAGCGACAAAACAGCCTTCCAGAGTGGACTATTCAAGACGGTATAACCCCCGCATTATAGCCCACAGCACCCTGGTGGTGCATGCAGCAGGGCTGACTGGTGGAGTT